CTCTGGAGCCGCCCTCCCTCCTCTCAGGCGGTTTTGTGCACGAGCCCCGAGTGTTCGTGGCGCTCTCAGAGCTGAGCACAGTCCTGACAGCCAGCCCTCAGTTACTCCTCACTCCCTGCACGGCGCCCAGCCGGGACAAGGGTAGTGGAGGGGGGCGGAGGGGACACGGCCCAGGTCACCAGGGTTCAAGCAAAATTAATCATGAGTTTTAGTGTTTTAGCTGAAAGTGTCGTCTTGAAAAGTCATAGCATTATTATCCTGTACTATTCCTGTGTTGTATTTACATTTGCACCCGAGAACTTAGTTTTAATATGAATTATGTAACTTTTTAACTTAATGATTATTTATTATATATTTGGTTTTAAATGTTTATATTCATGGCTTCTTATTTAAGACCTAACCATATTAAACACCACCCGTCAGTACCAGTGTCTTGTGATTCCCTGGAAACCTTCTGTTTTATCAGAAAACAGAAGTCGCGTCTTGCTTTCTGGGAGCCCAGAGTTTCACATCTGCAGAGTCGAGGTGATCTCCTCTGGTGGGCTGGACTTTGCCCCAGCTGCGCCCCACCCATGGGTGCGGGAGGTGTGGAAGCCCCCACGGTGCTGGGTCCCGCGCGCACGCCCGCGAGCAGCTGCCCCTGACCCGGCGCCCACTGTTCTGGTTCTACCCCCCCCAGGGCACCAGCACGGCCCCTCACCCCACCCCCCACGCGCCCCCCATGTCCCTCCTAGGCCCGGCCGCTCCTCTCACGTGAACCCTATTCCCTCCGCACCCCAGTGAGTTGCTGCCGGGTGAATGCCCCCTCGCTGACCCTCGCAGGGAGACGCGTCCTCTCAGCCTGTCCTCTGCATCCTTCCCGCCTGGCCGCCAGAGAGGCTTAATGACACCGAAGTCCAGCGAGCCTGTCCAGTAACTCAGCCCCAGTGGCCTCCTCCCACGACCCGCGGCCCTGGGCAGCAGGAGGCGGCACTCCTGGGCCAGGAGAACCCTGTGGCCTGCGCCCCGAGTCCCAGCCGACAAGCGTCCACAAACTTAGCTGAACCCAACGCAAAGGGCAGGACGCCGCCCACGCGAGTCCGGGTCCTCAGGCCGGGCCATGCAGCGCCCACAAAGTGCCCCAAGCCAGCGCCCGCCCGCTGCTCAGCAGAGGCCAGTGAGCCTTCAAGAAGTCAGCTGGCCCAGGCTGTGGCTCCAGGGCCACGCCGGGGCCAGGACCCAGCACTCCCTCAGGGACACCACACCCTGGGGCGTCCCGCCTACTCCTGCAGTGCCCAGGGTGGGCGCTGGCCCGGACCCACCTGGACTCCGAGGGGGAGACCTGATGCCGCCTGCTGGCTTGGCTCGGCCCCCCCCCCCCCCCCCCCCCCCGCTCTCCGGGACCTCCTGCACCCGCCCCCTGCCCCACCGGACACCCCCCACCCCCGCCCCATCAGGCCCCTGCCCGCATGCCCGGAGGCAGCCTCCTCCTGCCCCCGGAACGCAGAAGGTGAACATGGAAGCTTGGTTCTCATGGCTGAGCTGCTCAGAGGCTCGTCCACGGAGGGCGCGCCCCCTCCACCCCCGGACCCCAAAGACGATTTTCCACCTTGGTGACAGCGAGGCTGAGCTCATCCCAGACGCCTCCTCCCGCCACAGACTCATCGGCCCTTCTTGGCGTCCCTTCCCCTCAGTCCTGGGCGGCCTGGAGGCCCTGATCTTGCGAGGCCCCGCCAGAGCCCGAGGCCCAGCCCGAGGGTGGGGGACTCAGGCTTAATGAGTCTCTGAGGAGCGCCAGGGCACGCTGTGAGCTCAGGGGCGGACCTTCGCATTGGCACCTGCCCCGGCGGGGGCTGGGAGGCGAAACATTCTCCTGCGACCCCAACTCAAGCAATTCTCAATCGAACTCAAGAGAAAATAGAAAAGGGGGGGCACAGCAGGACTGGACGCGATGCAGCCCCCCTGTAGAAACGCCCTTCGTGCTGCACATTCCCGGCCACCCCATCCAGGAGAATCCCCAGTGCCCCAGCCCCTGTACCCCCAGCCCTGTACCCCCAGCTCAGCCCCCAGGCCCCCTGCCCCAGCCCAGCTCCTACCCCCCAGCCTGTCCTCTGTCCCCCGAGCCCCCAGCCCCGGCCTGACCTCTGAGCGCCCCCAGTACACAGGGAGCAGGAGCCGTCGGAGGGAACAGACCCGCTGGCATCTGCACCGCACAGCTGTGTCCACTGCGCAGCAGTGACCTTTCCATGTCTTTAAACTTTAATTTTAAATTTAAAATAAGAAGATGACTTAGGGCAAAGATCCATTTTATTATCCAAACAGGCACTTCCAGGAGTCGGGGTTCGCCGGGGTGCGACCGTGGGGCTCCGCACGGGTGCATGCTGACACGCTCACAGGTGCACGCTGACACGCTCACAGGTGCTTCCCCTGGAGCCGCAACTCACTGCTCTCCAGTCCCCGGGCGGGGAGGAACCCACCTCGGCCACAGGAGCAGGTCAGGGGCAGGAGAGGCTCCCCCGGAGCCGGGCTCCACAGCCCACCCGCCTCACTGCGCCCGCAGCCCAGCCCCAGCCGCACTTAGGGGGTCTCCTGTGGCTGGGCCTGGCCGAGGGATGGCCGCCAGGCGGGCTGGCTTTGTTCTCACTCGCGCCAGAGCCGGGAGGATGCGGGCCCAGAAGGGAACGTCCTTCCTTCGGCCGCCGTCTGAGGCAGAGGGGCAGGAGAGCAGGACTTGGACTTCCCGGGGGCAGGTGAGCAGGACTTCCCGGGGCAGGTGAGCAGGACTTCCGGGGGGGGGGGGCAGGTGAGCAGGACTTCCCGGGGGCAGGTGAGCAGGACTTCCCGGGGCAGGTGAGCAGGACTTCCCCGGGGGCAGGTGAGCAGGACTTCCCGGGGGGCAGGTGAGCAGGACTTCCCGGGGGCAGGTGAGCAGGACTTCCCGGGGGGCAGGTGAGCAGGACTTCCGGGGGGGGGGCAGGTGAGCAGGACTTGGGGGGGGGGGCAGGTGAGCAGGACTTCCCGGGGCAGGTGAGGAGGACTTCCGGGGGGGGGGGGGCAGGGCGGTCCCCAGGGGCCGGCGCTGGCCGCAGCTTGAGCTGAAGTCCCTCCTGGGGCCACGAGGCTGCCGGCGCGCGGGGAGCGGCCGGTCACCTCAGAACCCCGCAGGGCTGTTCCCGAGCCTGGCCTCTGCCGCCACCTGCTGCCACAGGACGCCAGCGTGAGGCCACCCCGGCCCGGCTCGGGCTGTCACCCCAGGCCGCGGAGCTGCCGGCGCTCGGACCCCAGGACCCCAGGACCCAGGACCCCAGCCGCCGGCGGTGCTCACGCGGCCCGGCCCGCAGCCCAGGACGGCGCCCCGGCGGGCCGGGACCTGCCACGGCGCGGCCGCCCGTCGCCCTCGCCGGGACCCCGGAGCCGCTGCTGGGCGCGGGGCCGGGCCGGCTGCCCCCCTGACCCGGCGGCGCGCCCGCCCGGTCTCGGCCCGGGGCGCCTGAGGGCGCGGGCGGCGGGAGCCGGGCGGAGACGCCCGCGAGGCCTCCGGGGCTGTGGGCGGGGACCCCCGCGGGCCCCGGGGGACGCCCGAGGCGCTGGGCCGGCTCGCTGCCCACGGCCGCCGCGGCCGGGCCGGGTGACCGCGCAGGGGCCGGGAGGCGCGCGCCCCCCGCGGGCCCCACCGCTGGCGCCCCGGGCGCCGGGACCCCGCAGGGCCAAGCCGCCGCGCGACCTCGGGACCGCAGAGCCGCCGGCCCGGGCGCCCCAGGGCACCCGCCCCGCCCCGCCCCGCCCGCAGCCACGCCCCGTCAACAGCCACGCCCCGCCCGCAGCCACGCCCGCCACGCCCGCAGCCACGCCCCGCCCGCAGCCACGCCCCGCCCGCAGCCACGCCCTGCCTCGCAGCCACGCCCGCAGCCCACGCAGCCCCCCCGCGGCCCCGCCCGCAGCCCGGTCCACAGCCACGCCCACAGCCCCGCCCCGAAGCCACGCCCCGCCCCGCAGCCACGCCCGCCACGCAGCCCCGCCCCTCCCGTCCCGTAGCCCCGCCCGCCACGCAGCCCCTCCATCCACGCCGTGCCCCGCCACCCACACCGTGGCCCGCCCCGCCGTAGCCTCGCCCACCGACGCCGTAGCCCCGCCCTTCCAGGCCGTGACCCCGCCCCGCAGCCCGCCCATGCCGTGCCCCCCCGCGGCCCCGCCCACCCGCGCCGCGGCCCCGCCCGTGGCCCCGCCCCCTGCTCCTCCCTCCAGGGCCCCACACAAGAGGAGAGGGCGCAGCCGGGCCTGGGTGGGGAGCCCCGAGACTCCGGGGGCGTCGGGCGCGGAGCCCCGCAGGCTGGGGCCGCTGGCTGGGACAGGCCGCGGCAGCCTCCCTCGGCGCCCCCAGAGTCCGGGCACCGAGGGCTGCGCCCCGGTCCTGGGGTGAGGCTCGACGGCAGCCCCCAAGGGTGGCGCCTGGGGCGGGGGGCTGCGTCTGCCCTGGCCCCTCTGCGGCCCCTGCCCCCAGCAGCGCCGGGCGCCCCCCCAGCAGCGCCCGCGCCCCCCAGCAGCGCCGGGCGCCCCCCAGCAGCGCCGCGCAGGCCCCCGGGGGGCGAGGGTCCCCGTCCCGGCCCCCAGCGGCGCCGCGCGCCCCGCCAGGGGCAGCACAGGCCGGGCCTGGCCGCGGGGCCGGGCGCCTCCCTCGCGCCTGGCGCCCCGCAGCTCCGCCCGCGCCGGGCTGGCCCGTCACCCCAAGCAGCGGCCGCTCCGCGGGGCGCCTGGCCCGCGCGCCCCGCAAGGCCCAGGCGGCAGGAGCGCGCCCCGCCGCGCGGCCTCTTGGGGGGGCTGCCCGCGGGCCGGGACATTTCCAAGGGAGCGGGGGATCTGCGGGGATTCCGGCCGGCCTGGGCCCCCTGGGCCCCGCGGGGCGCCGACCCCGCCCCGGCCACAGCCCGGCCCGCGCGGCTCCCCCGAGAGCGGCCGCGGGGAGGTCGCCGGTTCTCTCTTCTCCAGAGAAACAGCTTCCTGCCGAGTGAGCCCGAACCCCGATGCGCTGGGCCCCGCTGGTGTCCCCCTGGCCCGAACCCCGATGCGCTGGGCCCCGCTGGTGTCCCCCTGGCGCGCCGGGCACGAGCCGCAGGGAGCTCAGGAAGCGCCGCGGGCGAGCGAGTGTCCCGCACGGCACGGAGCCCCCGGGGACTTGGGGCCCAGGAGCCCCCCGAGAGGGGGCGCCGAGGGAGGTGCGCACGAGGGCTGAGGGCGCGGCCCCTTTCTGCTGCGACCCCCTCCGTGCCGGCGCCCCCAGAAGTCTGGGCTCCAAGCGAGGAGGGCGCGCGGGCTCAGGGGGGCCCGGGATGGGGCCTCGGGCGCTGCTGCAAGTCCGTGTCCCCCCAGGGCCGCCAGGGCCCCGCAGACCCGCCGGGCGTGGGCGCCGCTCAGCGCAGGCCGGACGCTGGGCCGCGGCGGGTCCGCAGCCGGCCGGCCCGGACGGAGGCGCAGCCCCAGCTCCGAGGGGTGCGAGCAAACCACGGGCATCGGGGGCCGCGCGCGGGGGACGGGGTTTCTCAGAGGCGAGCGCGCCCCGCCGCCCGGGCGCCCAGACAGCGTCCACCCGGCTGGACACGGGCGGGGACCAGAGACGGAGGGAGCCGCCGGCCCTGCCGGGACGGCGCGGCCGCCCCCTGCGCCTCCGCAGACAGAGGCCAGCACGGCCCTGGCCTCCCGGCCGCGCCCTCCGGCCGCACCGCCTCCCGCAGGTCGAGTCTGAGCCCCGCAGCTCTCAGAGCCGCGGGGGGCCGGGCGCGGGGCGCGGGCGCTGCCTCTTCTCCGCGCGCGTCCCTTCCTCGCGACCCCTCCAGCGCTGGGGTTCCTGCGCCCGCGAGCCTCGGAGGCCCGGGGAGCCCTTCCTGAGGGCAGCAGGCTCCAGCCCTGGGGTGCGAGGCGAGGGCGGGGGAGCCGCCCCCAGCCGGTCCTGGGCTCCCCCGGGCCCCCGAGCTGCCCTTGGCCAGGCCGGCCGCGCGCCCGAGGCGGGGCCCAGGGCGTCCGCGCAGCTCGTGGCCACTCAGCCGCTGCCCAGCGTGGCCCGAGCCCGCGGAGCGGTGGGCGCCGGGAGGCAGGGCCCGTGGCGGCCAGTCCCGGAGGGGCGCAGCATGGCCGGGGCGCCGTCCCCCTCCCCTGCCCGGCGCTGTCCAGGCCCGTCCTCAGCACCCGGGCCGGGAGCCCCGACGGCCGTGGCCACGCCCCCCCTGCCTTCTCCTGGGTCCTCGGCCTGCCAGCGGGCGCGCGCGGCCCCAGCGTCCCGCAGGCGCGTCCAGCCCGGGTCGGCGCCTCCAGGCCCAGGTCCTGCTGCCGGACCCTCCCCGCCTGGCCCGGGCTGGGCTGGGCGCGGCGCCCGCGGGAAGCGGGTGTCTGGTCCGGTGCGCGGCGGGGCCGAGGCGCCCCATTCCCGGCTCCGGAACTGGAGTCAGGAAGACGGACGCGGCTCTCCCTGCGCGGGACCCCCGCCGGCGCCCGCCGCCTCTCCCCGTGCGGTCCGCGGCTCCCCGGGGGCCGGGCCGCGGCGGGGCAGCGGGGAGGCGGGCGGTTCCTGCCCGCGGCCCCGGAGCCCCTTTCTGGAGCCGCGGCGTTTCCAGGAACCGCCTCCCCGGGAGCCGCGTGAGTCACCGCGGGGGGAACCACACGAGGCGCCGCCCCGGGAAGCCCGGCGGGCCGGGGGAGGCCCTGCGGGGGACCCACCGCCGGGCAGGAGGACAGCGGCGGCCCAGGGGCGCGCGGCGCCGACGGGGGCGCCCCATGTGTGCCTGGGGCAGCCGGGGAGCCCGGGAGCCCGTCCCAGCCCCGGAGCCCCGAGCCCCGCTCGCGAGAGACAAAAGCCCCTTTTGAGAGGTGACTGCAGCCGCGCCCCCCAGGCTGAGCCACTTCGCGGCCGCGCCTCTTCCCTGGGGAGGCTCCTCGCGGCTCGGAACGCGCCCCGACTTCCTGGCCCGGCGCGGGGCGGGGGCCTCCCGCCGCCCGCCCCGCCGCCCGCCCCCAGCCAGGAGCGTCCCCCGGAGCGGGCGGGGGGGGGGGCCGGCCCGGCTGACCGCGGAGGTCCGGTCTCTCCAGCTCTTCCGGGCCCGACGGCCGGGCCGGAGCAGCGGGGGCCGCGCCAGCACATCCTGCCGGGCCTCAGCGGGGCGCCCGCGGCGGGTCGGGGCTTCCCGGGGGCGGCAGGGACCAAGGAGGCGGTGACGGCACAGGCTCCCGCGCCGCCCGCGCAGGCCGCGCCCCCCGCCCTCCCGCGCCCGCCGGGGCCGCCAGCCGGGACCGGAGGGACCCGCCAGCCGGGACGGAGGGCGCCGGGCCCGCGTCGTGTCCCGGTGCGGCCGCCGCCAGCCCAGCCGGCCGGCCGCAGACACGGCGGGGCGGCGCAGCGCACGGCGGCGGGGACGGGCCTCGAGGGCTGCCCGGGGCGTGCGGGCCGCCGGCCTCCTGAGCCGCCCCTCCGTGGCCGCCCCGCCAGCCCAGCCGGGCCTCCCTGCGCCTGCCGCGGGCCTGGCGGGCAGCGCCTCCCGGGCGGCCAGCGAGGCCGGGCGGCGACCTCCTCCGCGAGGACCCGCGGGCGGGCAGCGGAGGCCGCAGGTGGACCGGCCTCCCCGGGGAGGAGCTGCGGGGAGCAGGCAGGGCCTTCCCCGGAGCCCCACGGCCCCCTCAGAAGAGCCCCAGGCAGGTTCCCTTCCATTGCCAAAGAAACCCAGTTGGGAGTGAAAGGAAAACAACCCCATTTGGGGGAAAATAAAGTCGCAGCAGAGCAAAGGTCCAGGGTGGGGGTCCTGGGCCTGATTCGGAGCCCCGAGATTCAGGGAAGCGCCCCCAGCCGGCAGCATGGCCCCAGCACCCCAGGCGGCCCCCAGCCCCGTAGGTAGCCCAGCTCCACCCACGCCCCCACCCCGCCCCGCAGCCCCCACCCCCCAACCTCGCCCGCCCCTCCCCTCCCCCCACCGTGGCCACTCCCCGGCGGGAGGACTAGACGTGACCCCTGCGCCCCGGGTGCCCGCTGCCCCGCCAGGTGGTGTGAGGGCCCCCGGGGACTGCGGAGATGGCAGCACCACACGCGCCTCCCCCAGACCCCCTTCCTGCTTGAGGGTGCCCTGACGGCCTTCCAGGCCCTCCTGCGCCAGACCCCGCCCCGCCTGCTGTGCCTGTCCTGCGCCACTGCCCGCCGCTCACGCGGCCTCTGGACGCTCCTGCTCCCTCCGGCCACCTGGGCGCGGCGGCCCTCGCTTGGGGGGGTGGCCCCAGGGTGGGCGCGTCTACCCCGTCCTGGGCAGCCAGGGACCCCCAAGTGCAGAAGCGGGACCCGCCTGTGGCGGGACTTCGCCGAGGCCGGAGCCCTGGGTTCCTGACGTGATGGGCGCCTCCCCGGCTCAGTCCCACCACGTGCGGCACAAGTGCACTCGGGGCACAGACACGCACACCCGCACACGCAGCAGCACACACATGCACGCGAACATCTGCACACACCAGCACACGCCCCAGCACACGTGCACACATGCACAAATGTGCTGCACACCAGCACATGCACCACACACCAGTGCACATGTGCACCTGAACACCAGCACATGCACCAGCAGCACACACGCGTGTGTACACACGTGCAGGCGTGCGCCGCCCCCCAGGGGCCTCAGGCCCCCAGCGTGCCCGCAGGCCGCCTCCGAAACCCCCGCACAAGCGCCTCCGGGCCCCGCGGCGCGGGCCGGCCCGACCCCACGGCAGTCGGCTGCAGCCGCGCCCACCGCCCGCGCGCCCCGCCCGCCCCGCGGCCTGCAGGCCCAGCGCGAGCCCGGGCGGGGTCCGGGTCAGAGTGTCGGGGTCTGGAGCGAAGGGTCCGCGGGCGCCGCGGGTTCCGCTGGGGCATCAGGGGCGCGTCCCTCCCGCCGAGACGGGGAGCCGCAGGCGCCTCCCGCTCGGGTTCTGACTCACGCAGGGGCAGCCGGGGCCGGCCCGGGCAGAGGGGCCGGTCCTGCTCTTTCGGCGCCAGGGCCCGGCCCTGTCCTGCCCCGGGGCCGCCATTCCCGCTCTGACTCGGAGTTCGGCTTCCAGAAGGTTCTGCAGGCAGCGCCGAGCCCTGCTGTGCGCCGCGTCCTCGCGCAGAGGAAGAACTCGGCGTCCCCCGAGCCCCCGCACGGCAAGTCCCGCCCGAGCCCAGAGGCCGCTCCTGCCCCGCCCCCACCCACCCCGCCCCCACCGCCCCCCTGCGCCCCCCTGCGCCCCCGGAGGTGTGAGGGCCCTGAGGCTGACAGGGCCTGGCTCAGGCCCTCTCGGGGGCCGCGTCCAAGCCCGAGACCGCGCCGCGGCCGGCGCTGCCCCCCGTCCCCCAGCGCCCCCCCACCCCCACCCCCCGTCCAGGAGGAAACTGAGGACCCCGGGGCGAGACCCGCGGTTCCCGCCGCCGTCCAGCTCCGGGCAGCGCCATGGACGGGCCGCCGCCGCGCTGCGCTGCTCCTCTGACCCCCAAGCGGCTGATGCTCCGGGTCTCGGGCAGGACCCCGGCCCCCCCGCACCCCCGGCCCCCCCGCAGGCCCCCCGCCCCCCGCAGAGGCCCCGCGGCCCCCCGGCCGCCCGCTCCCGAGCCCGCGCTGCTGCTCCCGGCAGAACCCCCGGCGGCGAGGGTCTCAGCGGCGGGGTCCCCCCCCCCCCGGCCTCGCCACCCCGCCCGCCCCGAGGTCCCCGGCCCGGGAAGGGCCGCGCCCGGGGACAGTCCCGGCGACGTCCCGAGGCCAGAGAAAAGCCCCGAAAGTCCCAGCGCGCCCGGGGCTGTTTGTGGACGGGGCTTTCGGCCGCGGTGTGGCCGAGGCGCGGGCAGCGGAGGGGGGGTCCCCGGCCTCGGCCCTGCCGGCGCCCCGGGGGGCAGGTGCCCAAGCAGCCCCGGACGGGCGGCCGCTCCCCCCGCTCTGCGCCCCGGGGCCCGGGGGCTGGCCGCGGGGAGGGCGAGTCCCCCGCACCCGGCCGCTCCGGTCCAGCTCGGCCTCGTCCGAGGGCGCGGCGCGGGGGGCGGGGGGGCGGGGGGCTCCCCCAGACCCGGGCGGGCAGCTGACCGTCCGCCGCGAGGGGCGGGGGTCGCCAGCGCCGCCGCCGGGTCGGCCCCTCCCGGGACGCCTGGACCCGCGCCCGCCTGGCCCGCGAGGCGGCCGACCCACCCCGGACGGGAGCCCAGAGGGGTCGGGGCGCGGAGCCCGAGTCCCGGGGCGCCGGGTGACCCCCCGCCGGCCGTCCCGGGGCTCGACCCTGGGCGGCGTCTCCGTGTGCGGGGCTCCTCCAGGGAGGCGCCCCCCGCGCCCCCGTCCCCCCCACAACGGCCGCGGGGGCCGTGGCCGGCGTGGCCGGGGGGCTCTGGGGGGTCCGCCGCCCCCCGCGGCCCCCCGCGGCGAGCCGGGGCTTCCTCCAGCCCGACTCGGCCGGGGCGCCCCGGGGGCTGCGCTCGCGCGTCCATGGGGGGCTCGCAGTGGGGGCGCCTCTGCGAGTGGATGGGGGCTCTGCGGTGGGGGTGCCTGGGGCGGGCCGGGCCTCTGCGGGGTGGGGGCCCGGCACCCCCCGCGCTCCCCGATGCTGGACGAGGCGCGGGCGCGCCCCCGGCTCGGGGCGCATCTCGGGGTCGGGACCTAGAAAGGCCTGCCGCCCCGCGCCCGGCCCGGCCCGGGGCTCCGGCCGCCCCCGCCGGGAAGGCCCGGGAGGCGGTGCTGCCCCGCGGTGGAAAGTGGCTGGAAACTGACACTGACGCGCTCGGGGGCGCGGGCCCCGGGCAGGAAGCCCGCGGGGATCACCGCCGCTCCCGTGGAAAGCGGGCGTGGGGCGCGGCAGGGGAAGGACTTCGGGGTTTTCGCCCGCCGCCGGCTCCGGAGCCGGGGAGAGGCGCGCCCGGGGCCTCCCGGACCCCACGCCCTCGGCGGGCAGCCGGGCCACGTCCACGTCCCGAGCCCGGGCGCTGCCCCACGTCTGAGTCAAGGCCAAAGTACAACCCGCGGCCCCACGGGGCCCCACGCCACGGACAACCACCCTGAGGCTAACGGGGGGCCACGGGGTCTCCCTCCTGCAGCCTCGCGGCGCGCCCGAGCACAGAGCAGCCCCTGGGCGCCCCGTCCCTCAGGCGAGGCGCAGCCAGCCCCGACCCGGCCCAGCGGGGGAGCCGCCAGCAGGGGCCCCGAGACCCCAGCCGGGGGACCCCCGGAACTCTGGCATGGTGGGGTCCTGCAGGCAAAGGCTGTGTCCAGGGCCCAGCCAGGTTGCCACACCAGGTGCCGGGAGAGCGCTGGCTGTCCATCTGTCCGTCCATGGCACCTGGAGGCTGCCCTGGAGCCGCGAGGCCTCAGCCTTGTCCTCTGGACGACCGTGCCCCACCGGAGGCCCTGAAGGAGCCACGGTCAAGTGTGGCGGCAGCAGTGGGCTGAGAAGAGGCTCCCGGACCCCCAGGGCTTCCCGCCACCACAGTGCGGCCTCCAAGTCTCCGGCCCCCACCTGTGGCCTGCTGGGTGCGGGCCAAGGCCCAGGCGGGACCAGCCCATGTCACCCAGAAACCAAGCTGTGGCCTCGCTGCCGGTCAAGGGCTGGGCCCGGGTCCAGGCCCCTGGTGAGAAGCCCTGGGCCGGCCCTTTCTGGACAAACTGAGGTCAGCACCCTGACCACAAGGCTTCCTTCCCTCCCCACTGTGAGCAGCTGGCGCCCTACTCGGGGGTCAGGCTGGATTTGGGCCACGGCCACCCCTCTTCCCATAGCAAGGGCCCAGCAGCAGCCCTGGAAGGATCCAGAAGACCAGGGCTGCTCCAGTGAGCAGGTGGCCGAGCGTCTGGCGGAGGAAAGAGACCACGAGCAGCCGCCCTTCCAGTGCCTGGCGCATGGGCGTGCCAGTGCTGGGTGGGGCGGCCGGGCTGCCTCCTCCTGCCGCCCTGCTGGGCAGGGAGTCCGAGTGGGCGACGCCCCAGCACAGCAGGAGCGACCCCAGCAGTGTTTCCACATGAGAAACGGCAGCAGGCAGGACGGCAGCCCCCGCAGCACGGCGGGGGCACCCACAGCCGCCCGGTGCAGGTGGGCATGAACGCACAGGGATGTGCCCGTCAGCCCACAGCAGCGCCAGCCGGCACTGCCCCGGAAGCACCAACACGCTGCGGGCAGCCCCAGGCCTCCGCCTCGGCCACCACAGCCGGCAGCAGGGAGGCCACGCGGCCACCATGGGGATTCACCTGCTGACGGGGACCCCACCGTGGGGTCCGGGAGAGGCCTCTGCACCCCCACCCACTGACCCAGCCCCTACGAAACCAGCAGATCAAGTGACGGGGCATCCACACAGGGGCTGTCCTTCAGCCTCTAGCCAGGAGGCGCCCTGCACACCCACCTAAGGGCCTCGGAAACGGGGTGCTCAGGCTGCAGGGCTCACCTGCACAGGGTGAGGGTGTCGGAGCCCATGTGGATGGGGTCTCGGGTCAGTGCTATGACCACAAGGATGAACATCTCTGCCCGGGCTGGGGATGGCGCCCAGCAGGTGCGGCCGGAGGGGCAGCCCCATGTCCACTAGCGCTGCACAGCGCTGGGGCCACTTGGGCTCAGACCAGGGGGCGGGGTCCCAGCCGCAGGCTGAAGCCGGCCCTGCCCCGCCGGGTCGGACACGGGGCGAGTGCCCGCCCTGCCAAGGCTGGGCCAGGCTGCAGCCTGCAAGCCAGACCCGCCGTCCACCCAGGACCCGCCTTTCCCGGACTCATGTGCACAGACCCCACGAGGGCGGCCTCGGCTGGCACAAGGCTCATGCCCGCGAAGGCTGCCTGGGGAGAGGAGGCATCGCTGTCCATCCAGCAACATCCCGCGGTCCTTGCCGGCAGCGGCGCCCACGCCCCAAGCAGGCACCTGGAAGCTGCCTCCCAGCAGCTGCGGCGCCTTCTCCCCACCCCCGCGCGTCTCCCACGGTTCACCCTGACATCTGGGGGGCAGCTGGGCCTCCTGGCCCGGCCACGGTCAGCCGCTTCCCAGGCGCTTTCCCGCTGCCTCTCTCTTTTGGAGAAAATCTATGCCGCTCATTGGGCTGTTTCTGAATCGGGTTATCTGTCTTCGGACCGTGGAGCTGCAGGAGTTCCTGGTGCTCAGCGTGTGGCAGGCGACCCGCGGCGTCCTCCGGCCTCCCGGGAGGCTTTTCTCTCTCAGCGTGAACTCCTCGCCCGCTTACCGTCGCTTACTGCTCTCGCTTTAGCGACACACCCAAGAAACCGCTCCCAGCCCCAAGGCGAGAACGCCTCCCACGCGTTGGAGTGGCGTCTCCCGAGGGCGGGAGCGGTCCGTGTCCGAGCCGGCCGCGGGCAGAGCCAACCATCCAGGCAGAGACGGGGCGCCCGCGGAAGGGAGGCTTGGTCTCTGGGCGTCGCTGGGGCCCACCCGCTGCTCTCCCCCCGGCGCGCCGGCTCTTCCTGCCGAAACAACGCGCGGACGGGGCTGCCCTCAGGTTCCAGCACCGCGCTGACCACCAGCGCCTGCCTTGCGCATTCTCCAGCCACAGAAGCAGCACGACAGCCTGGAGACGGCCGTCGGGTCGGTCAGCTGCACGGAACAATAAACGGGGGCAGGCGGCAGCCGCCTCCTACTCTCAGCTCTCAGCCCGCCGGCACGGGCCTGGCCCAAAGCGCCCCCTGCTGTCTGCGGGTTCCGCCGGCCCCGGGCCCGGGCCCCGTGTGCTGGCACAGCAGCCCTGGCTCTTCGCAGCCGGCAGGGTGGGGGCGGCCACACCTCTGCAGCCGCGGCCAGTCCCCGGGGGCCACCCCGTGGAGACGCCGCCAGGCCGGGGCTCCTCCTGTCCCCAGGCGCCGTCAGGGAACCCGAGGAGCCCCCTGCAGCGCTCCCACAGCCCCCACAGCTGCCAGAGGGAGCGGCAGCGTCCAGGCGGGGCTGCGCGTGGACGGGACTCCCAGGGGTCCCGACTGAAGGGCAGCAGGGCCAGGGCGGGCCCGTGGCGGGCGGGGGCGGTGCAGCCTGCTGGTCTGTGGTTGCCTCGCGCGCAGGCACATTTGCATTTTGTAGTGACACAAGGAAAAGTTCCTGAGGCTTGTCACCACGGTGGCTTCCCCTTCGCGTGCTCCTGCCGAGGCATCGCCCTCCGGCTCCTATGCCCGAGCGCGGCCTGTCCCCTGGCCCGCGGCTCTGTCCCGAGGGGCACGGCGGCCCCTGTGGCGCCCGTCTCCCCTGCTGCCCCTCTGCGCAGGGCCGGCGCTCCGTGGCACACACTGGCGGCAGCCCGCTGGGGCAGAGGCGCCAGCCCTTCCCTGGAGGTGGCCTCCCGGCTGCTGCCCAGTGCGTGGGGCTCAGAGGCTAGACCCGCAGCCGTCCGGCCGGTGCCATGGGGCGAGGAACGGCCAGTCAGGGACGCACACCCGTGCCTTGGACGCTGACCCTTTCCCGAGCCATCTGTCACACCCCTGCCCCGGAAGACGAGCGGGGCCCCCGCAGGCCTGAGCTGAGGCCCTTAGTGCGGCCACAGCAAGCCGGGGTGCGGGAGAGGGATCAGCCACGCAGGGGGATCAGCCACCCTGGGGGCCGGACACAGACTGAGCGACTCTGGAGGGGGGAGACACAGGCTCAACCACTCGGGGGGGGGGCAGGAACACAGGCTCAGCCACTCGGGGGGGGCACACAGGCTCAGCCACTCGGCGGGGGGGGGGAGAAGACAGGCTGAGCCACTCCGGGCAGGTCACAGGCTGAGCCACGCGGGGTGGGGGGGCTGCATCAGCTCAGCCACTGCACGGGGAGCACCCCCCCCCAGCAGGAAACCAGCGCTCTTCCTGTTTGGTCGCGGAGCCTGAAGCGGTGTCCACAGCCCGAGCACCACAGCCAGCGCCTTCTATGACAAAGAGAAAACTTTCATGCACCCGTCCCGCCCCCTTGCCGAAAGGGAGGAAAAACTGCTTCACCCGAAGGCGTGAGCTGCGTGAAGAGCCCGCGGCGCGACCAGAGGGATTTTACCTACGTCCATCCAGTCAGTTCTGGGGGGTTTAAAGAAATTCCAAAGAGTCATCAGAAGAGGAAAAACAAAGGTAATGCTTTTGCCACACAGGTAGGCTCTTGAAAATATGTGTAATATGTAAAACACATGACACCCCCGGGCGATTTTTCCAGGATGCAGCATATAAATGCCCCCGGCCGGGCTCTGGGCCGCATGGAACCTGGACCCGGCCGCCACAATGCACAGGGCACCGCTGCTGGCCTGCCTGGCCCTGACGCTCGCCCTGCTGGCGCGGGGCGCCCCTGCTCCCCCGACCCCCGGGGGACGCAGCTGCAGCAGCTGCGGCAGGACCTGGAGCTCCTGCAGAAAGGCCTGAGCGTAAGCCGGTGGCCGGGGCGGCGGGGCCTCGGGGAGGCGCCGGCACTAACCCTTCTTCTTCTTCTGCTTTCTTAGAATCCCAAGAACCCCAAGCTCCGCAGGATGCTCACGCTGCCGTTCTACGTGCCCCAGGAGGTAAGTGGCCGGGCAGCGCGGCGCCAAGCCGCAGGGCGCGCACGGGGGCTTCGGGGAAGCCGAGCCTCAGGCCCGAGGACGGCCTGTGCCTGGCGTGCGTCCGTGTGCAGGGAGGGCAGAGACCGGTCCCTTCCCTTCACGGCTCGGGCGGTTCTCAAACGTCGCGCTGCTTCACCACGGAATGCTCGCCTTTGCGCCACCCGGTCACGCCACCGTCCACATGCTCAAAGCTGCGGGCAGCTCTTTGCGGCTGTGGGGAGTCCCATGGGGCAGCACCCAGCTCGCGGCCTGCGCCCCGCCCCCCAGCACTGGGGGCAGCTTTGGGCCAAGGCTGGAGCCACAGGAGGCTCTGACGCACCCCCAAGGCGTGAGGGGGCTCTGGGCCTCAGACTGGGGCAGCGGCCACCTGCCTGGAGAGCCGGGTCAGGAGTGTCCTCTCCTGGAAGGGGGCCGTCAACAGAGCAGAGACCCCCTCGGCGCAGGAAGGGCCCAGGGAGGATGCAGCCCAGCGGGGAGGGAGCCTCAGGGGCCGCAGACGCCCCCCCCCCCACGCCCCACCGTTCCAAGATCACGCTTCAAGCCGAGCTCTGGAGGACGAGGAGGGACCGCTCCAGCGGTCCGCTCCCGGGACGAGGCTGGGCGTGGCTGTGGACGGGCAGGCAGCAGGGCCGAGCGGCCTCACGAGGGAAGGCGGCTCAGGGCGGGCTCGGGGTCTGGGAGATCCAGCCGTCTCTAGGGCCAGGCCAGTCTGCTCTGAGTCACGCTTCCGTCCCCGTGCTCCCGCTGCCACCAGCCCCGCGCTTGTCAAGGCTTTTAGAAAACCATGGAACCGTTGACTTCAAAGGAGGCTATGCCGATGCTAGAGAGGCAATTCTAAAGCCACGTGGCCGTGGGAAACACCTCGGTTTGGAGGGTTACTCCTGGGAGACGCGCGACACACGCCGCACCGCACACGAGGGCCGCGAGTCTCCGCGGGGCCCCCGGGAGCCCAACGGTGTCCCTTCCGCTTGGCTGGGGCGAGTCGTTCTCTCTCGCACGCCTTAACGGGCTCGTAGCGAAGGAGACGCCTAGGGCCGGTGAGGGTCACTTGTCTGGAACGGGACGGCTTCTCCCCAGCCCCACGGCTCTGACTCGGCGGAACCGCCACGGTGACGCAGCATCCACTCCCCGAGGCCCGGGCCTGGCTCTGGGGCGCATGTCCAGGCGCAGGAACACGCTGCTCAGAGGCCCACCGGGCGGGTGGGGGCCGGCGCCGACCAGCTCGGCCACTGGCAGTGGGGCAGCCTCTGCGCCAGCCTGGGTCAGGGAAGCTGACCTGCCGGCGTTCCCGCCGCAGGTCACAGAATGGAGACACCTTCAGTGCCTCGGGGAGGAGCTGGTGCATCTGGAGGAGGCGCTGCGCTTTGTGGAGGACGGCGCGGGAGCCCTCAAGGAGCTGATGGACAACATCAACGTCACCGCCCAGGCGCTGAAGGTGAGGCACGCGGCTGGGGTCACAGTGACACGGGACGGGGGCAGAGCAGCACGGGCTGGGGGGCAGGCGCTGGAGGGTGTTTCATAGGAGCCAGACTGCGTTTCGTGACGTCCTGCGGCTTCCCCACAACCGCCAGGGCTGATGACTGAGAGGCTTTTAAATGGGGTTTCCCTGGCGTTTGGTAGGACTAAAGTGTTTCCAAAAAAGGCCAGACTTAAAATGACCAAAAGACTAGACAACTAGCTCATTTCAGGTAAACTCAGTGTCAGGAGCTGGAGGTTTTGCACACAGGAAGCAGGAAGCACACAGGAGCCGGGGATGAAGCCACCGCGGGCACCGCCCCCGCGAGCAGGGCTTGGCTGCGGGGGGCCGGGGGCTGGCGGCTTCCACACCAGCACCTGCTTGGAGGCGGTTTCCCTTTTTGAACTAGTAACATCTCAACACTGGCTCAGTTCCTCCATGTCAAGGTTTGCTTCTAGCATCCCCCCATCCACCACGTGCTCCGGCAGCTCTCGCCCAAGATGCCCCCGGGACTGCGCGGGCGTCTCTTTCTCTTTCTCCTTTTCCTAACACTCAGTCCTTTAAAATGAAAGCAAACTAAACTCATTCTAAAGTCTTCGTGCAAAATTAAAACAGAATTACGTGAGGGTCCAAGCCACGTTGGGAAAGTCAGATGTCAAAAAAAACAAAAACCTACCCACCTCCGAGAGGCTGAGGCATCTAAGCCACTGCCGGCCCAGGCCCCGCTCAGGCCGCCAGAGGGGAGCTCGGCTCACTTCTCAAGTCCACAGGACCAAAGCTGTCAGCGTGGGCCTCCAGAAGCCGAGGGTGTGCGGGGGGGGGGGGGCGCCTCTTACAGAAACACCCTGAGCCCCCCCCCACCCCACCCCCCCCCGGGCTGCCGTCTGCTCCCTGAGCACAGCCGGCGGCCGGGACGGCGCTTCGCGGCCTTCTGTGAAGTCCCGTCGCGACTGGCATTCAGACCCTCACTGGGCGGACCGGCCGGCAGGTGGCCTCGGGCCGCCCCGCCTCACGCCGCTGGGGCGAGGAGTGCGGACGGTGGACTTGCTAGCGTGACTGAACATAAAAGCCGCGAGCCTCTACAACTTGAGCAGAAAACAACCACATTTGGAGGATGACACGGCACTAACCCGCCTCGCTTTCCCCAGGGGGCCGCGCCGAGCTTCAAGTGTGCCTACGGCGCCGAGGTGGTCAACGTGACCGAGTTCCTGAGCACGTGGGTCGGCTTCTGCCAGCGCCTATTCCTGACGGCGGCCTGAGTCCGCCTCTCCCCTTGGAATCTGGGTGGCTTCTTATTTATTTAAATATTTAAGAGTATATTTATTTTTTTGATGCATGGTTTGCTATCTTTTGTGACTGTTCTTCTTAGTCTCCAGTGATACATGTGGATCTTTTAAGATTCTTCTGTAAGCCCCAGGGGCTCTGAAAATTCACTTATTTATGCCAAAGTATTTATTTTTGTACGGAATCACTGAGTATAATTTGTACAGGGATCAGCCGCTAAGATTATTTAATAAAGTGGACAGCTCAAGTCAAGGTGTTGTCGCTGGGAGAGCAGAGGGAAATGGCCGGACGCCCTGGGGAGCTCGTGGGGGACCCTGGGCCTGATGCGGGGTCAGGGGGCTCTCCCATAGCTGTGATGGAGACACTGTCCGCATACGGCCCCATCAACATTTTCTGATTATTTGCACACACTATGCACAAATCAGCCTCAATTTTTCACGTTACCTAGAGCTTCCTTTAAAAAGCCACGTCACTTCACCTCACGTGCCAAGTGAAAGACGCTTAAAAATTCCTCCAACCACACACTCTGAAGTTGCTCTTGGAGGCGAGTCACCAGCCAGTGTGGCCTGCAGGCGCGGGGGCCCTGGGCATCTCCTCCGGGGCTCAGGACAGCAGCGGCTACCCCCTGCTGCACCCCGCTCCAGGCACTCACACTGTGGCCTCACCTGGGCTGGTAGGGGGCTGCTCCACCCTCCCGTTTGAGCAGTCTCAGCGGTGCGCCCCAGCCTTGGGGGCTAACACCCGCTGACGCCCCGACGGTCACTCACACCAGTCATGGCAGTGGCCGTACTATCCCCTCAAGGACCCCAGCAGAACCTCAGTGATAGCCCCAGTCATGGCCCCGTCACTGCTGCTGCTGCAGGACTCAGCATCACCCTGTCCCCCTTAGTTCCTCTTCCGAAGGCCCCATCCCAAGGCGGTGCATGGATGCTTTGTCCGCCCCCCAACCTTGGGCCTCTGCACCCCAAGCGCCCGGCCCCCTCAGGCCCTGGTCGGGCAGGCACCCCTCCACCTCGCCCATGACTGCCCCCTCCCCACTGGTGACCGTTGGCACCCGACAAGCTCGCTGCCACCTTAGAGCGTGGGAAGGTGCCTGCTGCGAGCCACCCGGGCAGGCCCTGCTCAGGCCTGGACACTGCTCCTGCCGGGACCTCTGTGCCACCTCCGTGTCTGCACTGACAGTGATGGGAGGGCGAGGTTGCCGCACACGTGCAGCCGTGTCCTCCTCCGGGGCCACGACCAAGCTCACACAGGCCCTCAGGAGGGACGGAGACAAAGGCTGAACTCCCTCCAGGAACCACGGACCAGTTTCCAGTTTTGTGTGACAATTAAGCCTTGAAGGTGGCCGCCTGCCTCCTCCAGACACGCACACCGAGGGCAAAGCAGTCAACAAGCACACTGACGCGGCGGCCCCAGAACCGATGCGCAGACCCCATGGCTCTTTAACACAGAAATGAAAACCAGCAAAAAGCAGTCGAGGAAAGAGCCCATTTACAACGGCTTCAGGAAAAATGAAATTCCCGACAAAGAGGTGGAAGCAAGCAGCACACGACACTCGCCGGCAAGGGAGGCACCGGGATGCAGAGGGGGCGGCGCCAGGCACGGGGGACACGGCACCACCGGTGACTAGAACCACCCGAGGCCACGGCCAAGAGCCACAGGCCGGCCAGCTCCATGCCGGCCAGCGACAGACACAAGCCCCAGTGACAGTGACACGTGAAACAGCATCAGAAACATCCACGCGAAAGGAACGCCAGGGTTCCCACGCCCGCGGGGAAGACACTGTGACCGCCCGCCGCAAGGGTTGTGCAGACGCGCCGAGGTCCACGACGCCACGAAGCCCTCACTGGTCAGCTGTGAGGGACGGTCGGGAACCAACCCATCATTTCAGAAACAGAGAAGCCACCCAGGCTTTCAGCACCGGCCCACGCAGCCACCAGACGCCCGCCAGCAGCAGCCGGGCGGGAAGCCCAGCGTCCCCGCGCCCAGCGGCTTTGAGAAAGGCTGGCAAGGAGACACCTCAGACAGCGTCTCCTGATGAGAGCACGGAACAGCCTGAAGATGACCCCAGGCCGCAGCTGGCATGGGCCTGAGGGCCGCAGACGCAGCTCCTGGCTCAGGATGCGACAGGCCAGGGGACCCCGCGCAGGTGGAAGCAGCTGCAAGAGCCCACGGAAAACTTCAGACACGGGACCCACGTTTTTCAAGCACTAAAGAGGAGAGGAGAGATCTAGATGAACACTGCAAACGTGCAAGTCCTAGACACCGCCCCAGATCCCCTCAGCCCACACCCTGCCACACCCACATCAGCCAAAAGTGAAATACCCCAGATGTGAAGAACCAAGAGAGGGTGAAAGACCTTGTATTTTCAAAGTGAGTTTTAATCGGAGAGAAGTAAAAAAAAAAAAAAAAAACAGAAAACTGGCTTTGCCAGGAAAGGAAAACCGCCCGGGAGGTGGGGAAAGGGACGGGAGAACCGTCCTCCGGCGGCGGCAGCGGGACTGCGTGTGCGCGCGTGCTGACCCAGGTGTCCGCACCCGGCCCCGCCAAGCTCCCAGAGCTGCATCTCAGGCGCACCCACGGCCCTGGTGCTGCTGGATTGAGGGGCGGCTCTCCAGGGTGACCGAGCGGCCACGAGGCCGCGCAGGCTCCAGGGCAGCACCAACGCCTGCTCCGGCGAGACCCCTCGCCCTGCCCCGTCGCGAGCGCGCCCCGCTAGCCGGCATGTGAAGGGCCGAGGGGGTCTTATTTAAGGCAAAGTTCATGATTCTCCGCTGGCCAGAACCCACCCGCACTCCCCGACCGGCCACGCTGCTCTGACGGTTCCTGTCTGACTCTCACGCACGTGGCGACTCCGAGCCAACAAGTGACCCAGAACCAATCATTTCTACTGTTGGATTCTAAGATTAAAAAAAAAAAAGACGTGAAGCAGCGACACCAGAACACGGAGCTGAGCATCTCCTGTCCGGAAAGCTTTAAAGCACAAACTTAAGATAAATTCTCTAAAATACAGGTTTTATACCGTCTGCAAACACAACATGAAACGGTCACGTGCCACATCAAGTAAGCCCTGGTGTTTCGATGTAAACGGGCATGAATATTTACACATCCTCAGTGATCTTCGGACACTGCTTTTGCAAAACCGATTCTGAAAGCTGAAAAGCAATTTTTAAAAATATGTTTAGCAGTCAAAACACACCAAAAATAAAAGATTTTTAATACGACAGCGGCTGCCCGGTCACACGCTGAACTGCTCTATGCAGGGAGACTTCACGATCCAGGAGCCGTAGCCGTGCTGCCGCAGGTAGGACCTCAGCAGGGCCTTCGCTTCTTGGTAGGGGCCCGACATGCCCTGGAAGGGAGAGATGGCGTTAGCGCGTCACGGGCGGCGCAGGAAAGCAGCCGGCTGCTGCTCCAGTCTGGCACCCACGCGTTAATGAAAATTCTTTTGAATTCCTACTTGCGCTCAACTTTTCCAATCTGAGGGATTTCTCTTGCCAGGACCCCTACGGGGCAATTTTCCTTTTTTAGTATTTGAAGTGGAAGGGGCATGGTCCTCACCAGACACGCCTGAGGAGGGAGTGCAGAGGAGAGAAAAGCCACCTGTAGCCCCAAACCGCACCCAGCCACCATCCGTCCTTTCACGTGAACAGCTGAACACCCAGCTGCTCTGGGGGGACTGCGCCCCGAGTCCCCTCACGCAGCTCGGGTCTGTGTTCAGTGGACTCCCCAGTGCAGCCACCCCTGCAGCATCTGTGCTTCCGGGCCCAGCCCCCGGCAGCCTGGATTCCCCATCTCCAGGGTTGCGCTTTCAGACACGGATGCACAGAGCCCCCTCGGCCAGCCTTGCGCTCCCGCCCACTCCCGCAGCCCCACCGAGGTAGGCCTGTGGGGACTGACTGCGTCCAGTGCCCCCCTCCGAGCCCCTCTGGGTGTGGCTGCGGCCTCCTGGGACGGGGCTGGTCTCCTAGTGACCGAGGAGGCCTTGGCGACACGCCCCTGCGCTCACCAGTCTCTCCGCCCCGGCGCCCAGCAGCAGGGCCCCAGAGCCCCAGGCCCGAGTCTCTCGTCAGACGCATGGCTGCGGCGCTTTCTTGCTGTCCGATTGTTTTTTCATTTTCTTAATGATTTCTGAAAACCTAGTTCAAAACTTTTAAGTCCAAATGTTTTCGTCTTCTATAGCTTGTGCTCCTGGTGTCGTAATGAATATACATCTTTTCTCTAGAAGTTCATAGTTTTAGTTTTTGCAGGTCTGTGACCCATTTTAGAGCTAAATTTCTCGTAATTAATAAAAGTTGTTTTTTTTTTTTTTTGTTTTGCCCAGAAAAATCCAGCCACTGGTTGGAAGACTTTTTTTTTTTTTTAAGATTTATTTTTTTATGCATACAAGAGCTGGGGTACAGGCCAGAGGTGTAGGGGGTGAGAGGATTCACCAGAGACAGAGCGGGGAACAGAACAGGCAGACTGAAGTACGCTGCTGAGGGGGGCAGCGGGGAGACAGGAGAGGTCTGCTGCGCCCTGTGGGCTGCTCCCTGGCCGACAGGGGATAGAGCTTGTGCTGCAGAGGCTGCAGATTGCTTCATAGCACGGTGCTGCACCCCTTGCGCCACCAGGGAGGTCAGATTATTTTTTTTCTCTTACGTTTCCTTGGAGCCGTTGTACAAAAGCCAAGGCCCACAGAATGGGGTTACCTGGCTCTGCTGTGCAGGCGCCACCCGGAGGCCCGCCCAGCGCGCCATAAGCTCTGGAACCAGCCTGTTTCTCCTTTACACACTGCTTTACACACAGGCTTTCACGGCGTCTGGTTTCACACCAGCTCTTCAACCCAGCATCGCCAGCTCCCCTGGCAATCTGCCCTTTGCACCATCTTCAGCCTCGCAGTGAAGGTGCCTGCCTGCACTTGCTTTATGCTGTCGTGGAGGAAGCTGTTTCCTGGTTTTATATTTGAAGGTTCATTCCTGGCGTGTTTTTTGGTGTTGCTCTTATAACCTGTGGTGAATTCGCACATGACAATTGTTTGTTTTTGGTAGATTCTACCAGGTATTTACAATCAAGGTTGCACCTTCCAGAAGTCAGCACAGCCTGTGTCTGTCCACAGAGTGGAGCTGAGGACTAAGGAGAGACAAGCCTCCCTGAGACAAGCCTCGCCACATGCCCGCGGCAGGGCCCCTCAGCCTCCTGGCTCGTCCAGAAGGCCGCCGTTCCTTCTCCTTTGTTCAGCATTTTTATTGTCAATAGATTCTGAATTTCTGCTAGGTTGTTCTGATTTTGGATTCTGTGCCTCTATTGAGATGATGTAGGTTTTGAACCTGAATCTATTCATATTCTGTATTATCAAATGATGTTTGATGTTATGCCTTCCTGCACTCCTGGGACAAAATTCCTTGGTCATGGCAGGTAACCCCATTCATGTGTCACTGGTCTTCGTTTGCCAGTTATCCTGGTAAGGTCTGAATTTATGTTCCTCAGTGGTAATTGGTTTGTAGTTTTCATTTCCTGTGATGCTTTTGTCCGCTTTTGATACCAGGTTATACTGGCCTCATAAAATGAGTTGGAAAGTTTTCTATTTTGAAAGAAACTTTTGTGGGGTTTGTATTTTGTTAATATATTTGATAGAATTCATCTGTACTCGCAGATTTTCTTTAGGAAAGAATTTTCCTATGCCCACTGCAGTCCTATTTGCAATTGCTAAGTTATAGTAACAGCCTCAGCACCCAGGGACAAAGTACCCACCTGACGGAGCACAACCCAGCAACAAACAAGAATGAGCTCCTGTGTGACTGATCACAAAAATCTACAAAGAACTGCTGAGACCCAACAGAAACAAAGTAAATAATCCAGTCAAAAATGGGCGGAAGAGCTGAAAAGAGACTTCTCCAAAGAGGAAATGCAAATAGCCAACAGACATATGAAAAAATGTACAACATCACTTGTAGTCAGGGAAATGAAAATCAAAATTACGGTGAGATACCATCTCATACCAATGAGAATGGCACATATTAAAAAAACTAGCAACAACAAATGCTGGCGAGGGTGTGGAGAAAAAGGAACTCTCCTGCGCTGCTGGTGGGAGTGCAAACTGGTCCAACCACTATGGAGAGCTGTGTGGAGATTCCTCAACCTGTTAAAGATGGAGTTTCCGTAGGATCCAGCAACTCCACTCCTAGGTATTTACCCAAAGGACACAGAATCATTAATTCAAAAGGGCACCTGCACCCCTATGTTTATAGGAGCACTGTTTACAATAGCTAAGCTTTGGAAACAACCCAAATGCCCAAAAACAGATGACTGGATCAAGAAGATGTGGTGCACATACACCATGGAATATTACTCAGCCATCAAAAAAGATAAACTCATGCCATTTGCAGCAACATGGATGGAGCTGGAAGGGATCATGCTCAGCGAAATAAGTTAGAAAGAAAAAGAAAAATACCGGATGTTCTCACTCATAGCAGGAATTTAGAAAACCTAAATAAGAGACCAGGAAAGAGACTAATTATAATAAGGAAAAAATCAAAAATCAACAAGCAACTGTAGACCAGAGACACACTAGTGGGAGTGGGGGAGAGGAGGGATTAGGGTCAAAATAAGAGGGGGTGGGAATTGTATGGGGAATATAACCATAATGAAAATGCACACATTGTACAAAGATGAAAAATGATGTAAGAATTACAGAAAATAAAATGAAAAAAAAAAAAAAAAAAAAAGAGCTCCTGTGACTACAAAGAGCTGCAGGGGAAGCTGCTGAGGAAAGAAAATCCCAAGGAGAAAGACACATGCCAGACAGTCACTTCCATGTGCAACACAGAGAACAACAAAAGGTCTGCCGGAACCAAGCCAAAATTAACTCTCAGCATCTGACTGAAAACTGAGGGGAGGGAAGGGAGGCCCTTGGAGGGCGCCAGACCTGGAGGTGGCAGGCCTGAGTGTGGGCTGCTGTCAGCAGATAGAGACCGAGCCCTACTGCACCCCAGTAAACACGGCCAAGAGCACAGCTCCACTTCTTCCCCCCAGCGTGACGCAGACACTCACCCCTTCGCCTGACTCACCTGGTCCGTCAACGAGACTCGTTCCCGATGCTCCCAACGGTCACTTCCGCATTCTGGGAGTCACGTCCAGGTTTGGATCATCTTTGTTCTCCTTTTTCTCTCAGTTTAACCAGAGGATTATCAACTCTCTGGCTGTTCTCAGTGAACCAAACTTTCAGTTTTGCTGCTTGTTTTCTATTTCATTGATTTCCATCTTGCCCCACGAGTTCCTTCCTGCCACTCGCTTCCACTTGCTCTTCTAACTTCTTGGAAACTCAAATAGCTGATTTTAGGGTTCTCTGCCTTTCTAACATAGGCACTTAAAGTTATAAACTTCTAAGCACATTGGTTATATTCGGAACTGTGTAATGTGCTCTATTTTAAATTTTCATTCAGTTCAAGGTATTTCTGAATTTCCCTTACAATTTCTTCCTGACTCAGCAGAGCTGAAGCTGTTTAATCTCCAAATGTGTAATTCCCAGATGTCACTGTCACCAATTTCCAATTTAACTCCCCAGTGTTTAGATCATATTCTGTATGATTTTAGCCTTTTAAGCTGGAGACACGCTCCACGGTTTGGACGGCGGCGGGAAGGCCTCACACGCACCTTCCACACCACTGCCTTGCATTAACCCTGAGGGAGATGCAAGGATACCTCGAACTGCCACCACCTGCTCCAGCAGGACTGTAAACCCGGGCACAATGTTCTCCTGGCAAGGTGTGGCACTTTCAGCTGACAAAGCCGAAAATGCCCCAGGGCCCCTAGTGGAACCCCTGTGGAGGTGCAGCCTCGCTGCCCCCCGCCCCCTGCTCTGGCAGTGCCCTCAGCAAGGAGGGACCGGAGTGCCCAAAGCAGCCGCCTTGGGCCAAGTTGGAGCAGTTTCTCTAGAACTACCACTTTTGAATGTGTTCTGCCTTTAGTCAATTTCCAAAGTTGTGAAAAGCTTGGTTTCTGAAAGTTTTATCCAGTTTTTGTTATGATGTGATGTTGTGATTGTTCTGATGACCTTTAGTGCACCCAAACCAGAAACTGTCTAAGTGACCTTTTGTACTTAGTTGTTTCTGTACATACATGCTTCACAGGCTTTTCACGCACCATTATCTATATCTATACATCCTTAGTAAAATTCAGCTATCAGAAACAACTGGTTTTTGATAATATGGATGTGTCACATGATGGTAATATTCAAGTTATACTGTTCTGAGTGAAAAAAAAAAAAGTGAACTAGAAAACATCTCCAGTATGTTAGTACTTTAAAATATATGACTACACAGAAAAATATAATGCCAAGAAATGGAAATAAAATACTTATAAGAGTAAGAGTATATCTGAATAGTAGGTGAAATTTCAAGTAATTTTTAAAAATTGTCAAATTCTTTAACAAGCAGTATGCTTGTAATACTAAAAAGAAAAAATGTCTTTAGTATATGTGCTGCCGAAGCGAGCACAGAAAAAATGTTTTTAAAGAGAAAAAAATTATCTACATTACCTACTTAATCCAGCCTAAATCACACACTTCCCGCGGGGCTCTCACATGTATTGCTAGATCACTCAACACTCCGCAGTTAGCGCAGCGGGTGGGGACAAGAAATTTTATTACCTCTTTGTTTGCCCTACAAAGCCTGTTTTGCTTGTTGAAATAAGTAAATGAAGCAATGCGGCTACTTTCACAGCCACTTACACACCCACGTGACCCGACACGACAGCACTGTCTGCTTGGGCCGCTTTCCAAACACTTGTGCTACGTAGCATAGAATTACACTGTTGTCTCAACTTTTCTCTCTCTGGCCAGCAGCATTCCAGTGAAGACTTACCTTAGCTGCATGGTATGTACTGGCTTGGAGTAAATCTTCCCTTTTGGCCTCTTTGGCGAGCAGATTAAAGCGACTTAACATTGCAGCCTTACAAAGTCGACTTGCCATGGACACGCCGCTCTTGAACGGGGAGCTAAAGCAAAAAGGAAAGCGACGTCACAGATGACCTGTCACAGCAGAAGGGCTCACGCTGCCAACTGTGGGCTTACCTTCAACCCACAATCTACAAATACTTGTGAATTATGGGCGATGCACATAGTGAAATATACATAAAAAATAATTCTGAATGTTTACTTTCTGAAGCTAATTTCTTTAATGAAATTAAGTTAGTAACTCATTAAAAATAACTTTTTCTATGAAATTATTAACTTACTAAATATTACATTAACTAGAGCAGGCTACGGACATTTGGAACAATTGTATCGTTTCGAGCAAAATTATCTTTGGTGATCTCAAATAAGGGAGTGGTTCCACCAGGGACTGGAAACATTTTCTGGGAGGTGAAGTGACCGAGGTCACCTTCACACAGGCAGAAACAACTGTCAAGGCTCGTGGAATGGAGGGGCCGCTGCCGCGCGCACATTCTAACTAGAACAGTGAGACACATGAGCCGCCGCCCCGGGTACTCAGGCACTCACTGTCCGGTCAGCAGGGTCCGCGGTCATGGGCCCCTTCACACTGCGACCGCCCCAGGCCACAAACCCCCCCAGGCCCTCTGTTCCTGTCTTCACATTCGTCATGCCGGGATGCCCCAGCCCTCCGCCGTGACTGCGGCTGAGCACCATCCCTGGGGTCTGGGCAGGTTTCACGACCGTGATGAACAGAACAGACGTCGTGCCCGCCCCGAGCCTCAGCCGCAAGAGACCTGATGCTCACACCTCGTGGAACCCGCTGGTCTCCACCAACAGCGCCACCCCGGCCCCCACCAGGTCCAGCCCAGCCGGCATGGGGGCACTCCTGCACCCAGAGCCGCCATTCTCGTTTCCTCGGCTCCCTGGGAAGAATCTTCTGTTGTGGGAGCTTTTCAAACGATTCTTTTGGGCGTTTTGGGTACGAAAAGAGCTCATAAGCAAAGAGTGGTATTTTCACCTCCACCTTTCAGTAAGCTGCATCTCCCACTCCTCCTGTCCAAATGCACAAGCAAATGGTGAGCAGCAGTGAGGACCACATCATGTCCGGGGACAAGGCTCTGCCACCGGCCTCAGGGACATCTCTGGACATATCTTCATAAATAACACAGACTTTGGCTATTGCTTTTTTCTTGAGTATCTTTATCTAGAACAGTTGTAGACCTGTATTAGATGCCTTCTCAGAGTTTATACAGATGAAGATGTTTTATTTCCTAAATTATGATGACAAATAACACTAGTAAGAATTTCTAATCTGGTATTAATTCTACTGTGGTGCTTCCGTCACATTCCTGGGGGGTGGGGGAGCTGTATGAAGCTAGCACCTCATCACCCTGCTCCTGCTTCCTCAAGTTTTACTCAGGAATTTTCCTTGAATACAAAAGTCTACAACTTTGAAGAGGGGCAGCAGTTTTCAGATTCAAGTTTCAACAACACTCTTGATAAAGCATCAGAGTGCTTTCACCATTTGGGATAATAACGGAAGATTCAAGGTTTATAAAATTTCCTGAGCCACCTCAGAATGGTGCTTTCTTTGGGGAAAAAGTAGGTACCTTCTTGGTAACTTTCTTATGAAAATAACCTGTTCAGATTTTTCCCTCTTCTGTAGAGTTTTAGAAATAATTCCTTTTCTAGGAATTGATGACTTTCATCCAAGTTTTCAATTATATTTGCATGGTTGAACAAAGCAGCATCTTAAGATTCTTTTACTTTTCTCTTAGTTACTTCCTTGTTATCTTACATGAGATCAGCCAAATCACACATCCAGAAAATCCATGTTTTGTGGTTCTTTCTCTATTTTTCTAGCACTTAAATTTATATTTGTTTACTGTAGCTCTGCTATTGGCGATACAGATACTTTAGGTCCATGACTGTCACTCAACTTTGCTCCCACTGTATATGCCCTGCAAGTTCTGATGTTAGGCCTACAAATCCTTGTTTTCTAGACATTCTGTAGTTTCATTTCACATTTCCCCTTTGAACCAAAATGGGGAGAACTTTTTCCCCAGGGAAAGGCGTCCCCGGTATTCTGATTACGTCATTTATTGGCTTACTGCATCACATTCAGAGGATGTGGCCTTACCGCTTTTACTTTCCAGAACTGAAGACTTCGTAGCCTTACTTGCAGCCCATTTTTCTCAGTGTTCTAGAGGTTCACAGGAAGCAGGTGCATTTTATATTTTTATGATGCAGAGTTTTAAATACATTAATAAATTCTACACTATTGTTACTGAAAAATGCCATTATCTGTGTCATTGTCCCACCTAGCCACCACGACCTGAGAGGTGAATCACTGTCACTAGCAGTGCCGCTGTCTTCCTGTTTCCTCACGAACTCTGCTACCATGGTCGTTGTAGCACAAATATTCCTGTCTGTTTCTCTGGTGAGTTACACTTTCTATTGCTTTGTGTCCTGTGCTGCTCTGTCTGATATTTATTTTTCATCTGCTTTCCTTGTGCTTATAAACACCTCTGGCAAGCATTCAGCCTTCATAAATAAGCCACATTCATTTTAGCCGTATTAATTTCACCTTTGTTACACTATCATTTCATGTTTTCAGTAAGCAGCTCCATAGTGCCCTTCATAACAGAGCTGCTCTGACTGCACATGTGCAGTCAATCTATACTCTTTATGCTGATGCAAAGCATGACGTATGTGGTGCGTTCTGGCCGAGCAGCTGGCCCTGCACTGACCCAGCTCATGCCCAGGCATGGGCAGGACGTGGGCTCACAGAATCCGTTTTCACAAAGAAAACGATTGAACCTCACATTCAACTTTTAAGGTTCTTCATGACCAACGTAGTAACTGTATGTTCACACTAAAAGGGTCTAGTTTAACATGATCATCACCAGCAGGAGTGTCACCCAGAAGCACTTAAAAGGTGCAGTGTGCGGTGACTAAGAAGTAAAATGGAAACATGTCCAAACTGGAACCCGGCTGTGTCCACACTATATACCACAGCCTGCGGGGATACTGTAAGAAGGACATGTGACAGTATAGTATTTCTCATACTTAAGAGTATGCTAAGTAACTTTGGGGCAGCATGTCAGAAATGCAGATTCCTGACCCCTAGCTGCAGAAATTCAGGCCCGGCAGGACGAGTGGGCGAGTGGGCGAGTGTAGGGCCCTGAAGATGAGCCGCTGGCTCCACCACCTCCCACGCGGCTTCAGTAACTTAATGTAACTTCCTCAGGCCTGTCTTCTCATCAAAGATATATTTTAAAAATTAGAAGAATACCTGCAACACAGTAATAATCAATTAATGATAACTTAGTCCAGAAAATGTTCAAATAAACTGTATTAAGGTGTTTTTCTTATTTGCTTAGTGTGATTTTTAAAGAAATTAGCAATGCTGACCTTTCAGTGATCTTCCCACTCAGACCGTCCACAATCTCCAGAGAAATGTCCCCTTGCGCCCAGTTCAGACTCAGGGATCTGCACTCTGAGGCTGCTTGCAGAGAACATGCAGAAGGGACCAGGCTGATATGAGGCCTGCTGACCAGGTAGAACATCGGGAGCTTGGAGGTGAGTGCATCGTCCACGCGCTGCTTTATGGCGATCTCCAGGCCCCTGGTGTCCTGGCAGCTCCCGTCACCTAGGAAGCAGGCACAGGCAGCTGCTGTCACCTGGGAGGCAGGCATGGGCACACAGGGGTCCAGTCCAGAAGAAAAGAGCAGGAACGAGTCACTGGAATAGCCTGATGTCCATTCTGTACCCTGGATACTACTACCTTCCCTTCCCGACTCTGCTCTCTTAGCTCCTACGTTTCTTATCAGACAGTAAGCGACAGTCAGAATTTCCATTCAAAACAAAATCTACAGAAAATAATGACAATCCAGAGAACAAAAGCCAAGAACCTGAGTTGACCCAGAAAGAAACTGGTGCTTTTTGCAGGGTTCTGAAGAAGGAGCTGACTTGTCTGCAGTTCTTTGATGCAGCATGAAACCAGCAGGCAAACACGGCTGAGCAGCAGTCAGTGAAAGTTATTTTTCCACATTTGAGGGCCACAAACCGTCACTGTTCCAGTACCACAATGTGCCAGTTTCACAACAAAGTAATTTAAAGAATTGCCATTTCTGGTTAAAACTATGGCCAACACTATAAGCTTTGAGACTTCAGTGAAGATGATTGCTGGAAAAGGGCTCAAAATGAGGCAGATCATCAACACAGAATAATGGGCTGCATCGGACTTAAAAGTTTCACTTATAGCAGGTATACAAGGGAACCAAATAAAACACCAGTGTAAAAAAATAGTAACAGTACAAATCAAAACAAAGCAAAAACAGACAATTACAAACCAGAGACATCCTGCAGGGGAGGCGGCGGGAGAGGGATCAGAGGGAGGGAGGGCGGAGCACAGGGGACTGAGGTGATGGTGCACAGGTGCACGGGTGAAGGAAACTCTATGGGGACTACACCTGGGGAGGTGAGGGGAAGCAAATATTGTTTAAAAATGAACAATGATGTAAAAAATAAAAAAAAATTAAAATTTTTTTTAAAAAAATGTAAAAAAGGTTGAGGAACAGGAACTTCTGTTTAAAAATTAAGTTTACGCCTATTGAGAAGCGAGAAACACTTTAAAGCAGACCAGTCTCCCCAGGGTCAGAGGCTCCCTCAGAAACTGCTGCTGGGCAACGCACTTCATGGATCTGGCAACAGGAAAATGATGTGAAAAGAACATCGGCGGCTTCTTACACCCCTTTTCTAAATTCATCGTTGAATGTTCCACATTAGCAAGTACCGAGAAATGGAGGCTAAAGCTGGACTGGGCACAGAAAGAGTTGGGAAGAAATGAGGTCTGTGCAAAGTCACTTTGCCTACAATGCTGGGAACAGGTGGGTTTCTAGAGGCCATGCCAGTGTTCTGGATTTCGTGTGCTGGAGGCTGACCCCGGGGTGACGGTACTTGCAAGGGTGCTAAGCCAGTGTGAGCTTGTCACTTGGACGCAGCTTCATAAGTGGGGTCGGTGCCCTTGTAATGGAGGCCCAAGAGCTCCCTCACCCCTTTGGCCTAAAACACAGTGGTCTGTGAGCTGGAGTCTGCTGGCCGTAACGTCACCACAGCAGCCTCCAGAGTTAGGAGGAGTGACATGCTCAGGCCACCCAGGACATGGGGTTCCTGGACACGCGCCGACAAGACGGCAGCAAGGTGACGAATGCTGCTGCGTCTGACTGAGCAAGACACATTTGGAAAGAAAAAGAATCTCTGCAAGTCAAATGCTGCGTGAGATTCCTCCAAAGATGAAGTACATCAGTATTTCAAATTTTTTAAAAAAAATTTTTTTTAAGATTTATTTATTTATTTATGCAAGCACTGGGTATAGTCAGAAGTGCGGGAGGGCGAGAGAATTCACCAGAGCCAGAGCGGGGAGCAGAGCAGGCAGAAGGACCCAAGTACACTGCTGAGGGGAGCAGCGGACGGCAGGAGAGGTTTGCGCGCCATGTGGGACCCTTGCCGGCGGCTGGGGATCAAACCGGCGCTGCAGAGGCCGCGGGCAGCTTTGCAGCCCGGCGCTCAACCGCTGCGCCACCAGGGGAGGCCCAGTATTAAAAATTTTACTTTCTCCTTTCCACACGCAGGCTCTGACAATATACCTGAGGTACGATTTCATCACGTCTTTAGGTTAAATCTTGCTCCTAGAAAAATTTCTCTCTAAAATCATGTCGTATTATTGGGAATCGTATTTGATTCCATCTGAAGTGATCTGAAGTAACATGAACCTGAGAGGTGACACCTAGTCAAAGACGGGCCTACCCTGTCCACCTGGAGGAGCTTGCATGGGGGTGCACATGGGACGCGCACATGGGACTGCATCCAGAGACATGGAGCCAACGCCCAAGGTCATGAGTGACAGTGCCACAGGACACCTGCTGGGAATGCACCATGTCACTGTGCAGCCGGCGCTGGACAGGAGACACAGGCCAGATGCAGTTTGACTCTTGTGCCCCTTCCACTCACTGTACTTTATGTGACCTGTGCCCTGAGTGTGACGCAGCAGTGCCCAGCACCCAGCATACAGGAAAAGGAGTGTGAGAGATTATCAAGTCAGAACCCTTGATCCTGGATGCAGACAGATTAACACTGACGCCATTCCCACAGTATCTTAAAAGCTTCCCAGATAAGCCTGAAGTGTAATAAGAATAAAAGGATAGGGCCTCCCCGGGCGGCGCAGCGGTTGAGCGCTGGGCTAAGAAGCTGCCCGCGGCCTCTGCAGCACCGGTTCGATCCCCAGCTGCCGGCGAGGGTCCCACATGGCGCGCAGACCTCTCCTGCCGCCCGCTGCTCCCCTCAGCAGTGTATTTTGTCAGTCTGCCTGTTCTGCTTCCCGCTCTGGCTCTGGTGAATTCTCTCACCCTGCCGCACTTCTGACTGTACCCAGTGCTTGTATTAAAAAAAATAAAAGGATAAAATTATCTTCAAACATTCCAGGCAGCAGAGTTTACCTAGTAGAAAATGAAAAGAATTTTCAGAAACTAAAAATTTCCACTCAGAGCACTTACTCGTGAAACTGAAGCCCTCAGAGCACAAAGCAGACCAGGGCAGAGGGAGAGGTATTGCCGAGGGGCAGACGGGGCTGGAATGACGCTCAGATTCCTCACTCGAGGGACCGACCCTTGGCTGTCTACAGCCCAATAGCATGCGTCACACCTGCATCGTCTCTTTAACAGGACGCCACGTCTGCAGACACACCTTCCCAAGCTCAAAGTCTATACCTTAACTCCAGCTGTTTGTAACTATCTAAGCAAAGTGCACTGTCTTCCAGGCAACTCTGGATTGTTTTCTATTCAAACAGTAAACAGCTCTGCAAAAGCAGTTCATAGACACTTTTCTTCAAAAAGAAAAATACGATCATAAAATGATCACCTACAGCATAAAGTTTGTGTCTACAAACTTTTGGAAAAGTTAAATGAAGCCTTAAAATATCAGCACTCTATTTGTAACTGATGCATTAAATTAGCATTTTAAGAATCAAAATAAAGAATTGCGGAAGATTTTGTAAGCCTTAGAGAAAAGCGAACAAGGCCATGATAAGGATTAGACTTCAGCCATACCGTCACTTAGTACAGAATTAAAGGGAAGCAAATTTCAATTCTAAACCAGAATTTCTGACCGTTGAGCCCTACTCATAGGTACTGGAACTGGTGGCCTCTCTCCCCCACTCCTCATTCCTGGATGCTTTCACGTGGGGCTCGGGGATCCCCGGCCAGGCCTGGCATAGAGTGTTGCAGTGAGACCGGTGCTCGCTGACTGGGAACATCCAGTGGACTCAGATTCTGCCGGCTGCACACATCAGTCCTTTTCAGTGGGTGTTTAAATGAGCATCTTTCAAAGTGAGTCACTCACACCATTTGTACCAGAGTCACCTGGTGGTGCTCTGCAAAATGCAGAGCCCTGAGTCTCAACCCCCGCCCCCCCCCAGACCAGTAGTGATCACCATTTCCTCCAAAACCTGCATTTCCCAGATGACTGAGGTGCACCTGAGTCACTCGTCTGCCACAGACAGAGCCAGAGTCTGCCGCGGATGGGCCACGGGAGCGCGCCGAGCGGCTGCACGAAGCCTCGTGTTCTTCCACTGCTACCTGGCGTGCCCCACTGCCAGGTGCCAGATGACCGCTAACACAACTTGTCCCAAACCATTAATGAAATACTAAATAATTTAAAGAGAAACACTATCCACCTTTTTCAAGAAACTAAATACTGTGAGGACTTAGATCGCACAAACGGCATCCCACAGTCTCTTGCCCACAGAAGCCAGAGCAAGCCCCGCACCAAAGCTGTGGACTACGGAGCGCATTTGCATCACGGAGTCCTCACTGGCCTTCTTCAAGAAGGCCTGGCCTAGAGCCGGGAGGCGAGCCGAGGACGAGAGCAAATCTGCACAGGCTGAAAGACATCACGCAGCAGAGGGCAGAGGCCACAAGCACGTCGATGATGGCAAGCACCCTGAAGGTGCCCACAGCTCACAGCCCAGACGCTGTGTATGGAGGGCGCCAGGCTTCTCCACAGACAGCAAAGAGTGAGAGAGGCTGCCACCGCAGTGAGATGGAACCTAGCGCGGTGCGAGGATGGGGGAGCCTTTCTACTAAATATGCCTTTGAACCTTTTGAATTGTGAATCAAGTAACGTATTTCACATACGATGAAAACAAATTTAATATTAGAAAGCAGTGATAGCCATTTTCCTCTACAACAATGCCTCCACTTCAACAATGCCGACAAACCAATAAAAACTGTAATTTTATATACACATGGACTTGAAACACTATGTATAAAGAAATTCCCAAAGAACGAAGATGTACAGAACCACCCCTAAAAACTAGAAAGCTGGACCAAGAACAGCGCCCAGGGGATGCGAAGCTGGCACACAGCTGTTACCCAATCTGCACAGCAGGCAGAGGAGAAACCCACGACGACGGTGCCCACACAGGCAGTCAGACTAAACCAGCTACATAAGCGAGCCCCAAAGTTGTTTCCCAGTGCGATGACGTCCGGAGAACCACCCCGATAGGAATATGGTGCCTGGGACACCCCCACTCGCCTGCGCTGCTTCTGACTTGCCCGGTGGAGCCAAAGGGCCAGGCCCTAACTGCGAGGGCGTGAGGGGACCAAGCGGGCGTTTGACAGTTTTCTCATTTCAGTGATAACCGAGTAGGAGTTTTTAAACCTGGGAAGTTCAAAGCAGCATCCCCTTCAAAACCATGTGGGGGACAATCAAATATTGTGCAACAAAAGTATGTAAGAGAAAACACATCTAATTGGCTAACTAAAAATGCTAACTCTTGGCTTTCCAGTAAGATGCCACAAGACCTGAGTTTGAGACAAGTCACCCCAAAAGGGAAGAAGCGCAACAAAAAGGTGGGCTTGTGCTTCTGCCCTGCACCCCGCCGGACACGCGACGCTGGGCGCCGAGGGCCGGGCCACTCACCCACGAGGATGCTGTTGATGTACACGGGCTGGATGAAGTGGCTCAGCAGGGCGCCCTGCACCCCCAGCACCTCCCACCGCGTTAGCTTGTCACTGGACGACATGCTGCTGACCCGGTTCACAACGTCAGCAGGGCAGTAGACGGTCAGGTAGATTTTGCCTTCGACGGCCACGTGAAGACTCAGTTCTTCGTTGGCTTCAAATGCGGATATGGAATGTGGATTGAGACGCCTAGAGAGAGAGAAAGCCCCACTTCAACAATGCTGACAAAGAATCTACAGTTAAGCATTTTTCTCACACACGACCTTGCCCATGTGCTTTCAGTCCAGCACCAGAGGGGACAGGCCAGGCAAGGGAGGCGTGCACAGGGACTTGGCCCAGAAAACTAACGCCAGACAGAAATCCTCCCCCTGGAGAGTGTCCGGCAGAGACAAACTTTATGTTATTGTTACCCCTGGGCCTCATGAACAAGGGAAAGACTACTTTGTGCCCACCACCATCTGTTGCTCTCTAGGAAATTTTTAAACTACGAAAGCAGGGAATGAAAAAAAATTTCATTCAAGAGTCAGTCCAAACAAAGTATGTTAAAATGATAAAATCTCAAATTAATTTTCTTAAAGTTTATCTCCAGGGACACTCACTGCTCTTATTTTAGGAGATTATTTCAACAAAATCCTAACCAGGGTTTTCTCTCTAACGGTGAGACCTGGACTGAGTTTTTTTCTTCCTTGTGCTTGACTGTCTCGTTAAATTTCAAGATGACTGATGTTCAGTTATCAGGGTAGTGTTTTGGCCAAAGAGTGACCTGAAAAGCAAACCATGTTGCTCGCCCCCGTGTTAGAGTTTGAACAGTCTAAGTCCTTAGCGTTTGAACAGTCTAAGTCCTTATTTTCCTGAAGTTCACAAAGGTCTTAAAGCCAGAACTGAGATTTTCAAAAGCACAGGGGACAGTGCCAACTGAGTGCCTCAGTGTGAACAGTGGTCTCGGATCAGACCGAATGAGGGGGTGGGGGGGTGGCGCTGCAGCCTCAAGACAGGAGGGGCACATGGGTTTGGACTGCCACAGGGAGTCAGAAGTACGATGCGAGTGTTCTAGCCACTTTAAAAAAAACAAGCTCCACCATACTCACAGCTGTGATTTTATCTGGGCTGATCCTTTAGGCAGCTGGTTCATGTAGAGGTAAATGTTGATATTCTGCTTGAGAGTGAGTAGGTCAGAACCTGGTTCGGTACAAAATATTGACTTTTCCATCATAGCAGGATTTTTACTGTAGAAGAGCAGAAGCTGCCGATAGAAGTACCTAAAATAAATTATTATGGTTTGACGGAGCAATCGACTTGACCTGATGTCTCTCGAGGGGCACCGTCTCCCTCCACGCCAGCTGTGGGCCCTGACAGGTCCCCAAGGCCTACCTCAGCAGGGACCTCCTGGCGGTGACAACGGCATGCGTGTCATGCAGCACGCGGCCGTTGGGCCTGATGCACTGGCTGTAGTTGTACTCGCCGGTGCCCACCGCCACCACCTCGTGCTGTCCAGCTGGAAGGAAGGGGGTGGAATGTCAGCCCGACCCCCACTTTCACTCTACACTTCAGAGTAAAATACAGTGACCAAAAAGAGGAGGAGCCATCCCAGATGAGAGATGGAGCGTCTTCCAAGACGCAGATGTTAGACACGCACCAGGGAGCCCTCAGTTCCACGCCCCCTGCTCTGCCGCAGCGCGGTGCTGCCGTGGCCTCGGCTGCGCTGCCTCTACCCTGGATCATCTAGCTGGCCGAGACTTTGTTTGAAACAGATCACACACAACCCTGCAATTGTTCTGAATCCACTTAAACTCTCAACAAAGCAAACTGCAGTTTCCCTGCTCTAAGAAACTTTTTGTTTTATTTTTATATATATATATTTTTTTTATAGAGGCATGTTTTATTTATTTATTTATTTATTTATTTATTTATTTATTTATTTGTTTGTTTATACAAGCACTGGGTACAGTCAGAAGCGCGGGAGGGTGAGAGGATTCACCAGAGCCAGAGCGGGGAGCAGAGCAGGCAGAAGGACCGAAGTACACTGCTGAGGGGAGCAGCGGGCGGCAGGAGAGGTCTGCGCGCCATGCGGGACCCTCCTCCGGTGGCCGGGGAGCAGCCGGGGATTGAACCGGCACCGCAGAGGCCACGGGCAGTTTCGCAACCCAGCGCTCAACCGCTGCGCCCCCGGGGAGGCCCTCTAAGAAACTTTTTTTAAGGCAACAAGAGCCTTCTGCTTTCTCCTGCAGCCATGCTCTGCTGCGTGTGGCCAAGCCCATGTGGCCTGGCTCTGTGCGTCCAGATGGTGCACAGCTGCTCCCTCGGGGAGCTTGCGGGGTACCAGCCCTACTGCTGAGGACGAGGGGAGGAGCACAGGACCATCAGGGGAAGCGAGCACTGTGACTGCAGGTGGCCGTGTGGGGCAGGCGCTCCAGGCTCGGCGCCGGGCTCCACACAACCCCCTGTTCACATTTCTGAACCCCTGCTTGCTTGCTCCACACAACTGCACTGGGCATCCAGTCAGCCTACGTGTGGAGGGTTCATCCTCATAAACGTAAAACATTGTTTTTTATTCATCCTGTTTCATTCGCTGTGACCTCCATCCCATCGCACTTCTTGAAAATCTATTTCCTCTCTTCCCAGTCATGCCTCTTGCCACGCGGAGGTCGGCGCACCGCCACAAGTGCCTAAGCCGTAACTCTTAAGTCAGGTTCAGTCCTCTCATCTCTTCTTAAAGAAGTTGGTTGTGGTCACTTATGGCCCATCAATTCCTCTTATTCATCACAAATGGAACTTTATAGTTTTTACCCAAATGCCAAGTACTGTGCTAAAGATTTCATTTCTATCATCATCATCAACTCTAACAACTCCAGCAGTGGCGGCCACTATTTCCATTCCTGGAAACAGGAAAACTGAAGCAGAGATACCGCGACAACCCTGCCCCGCCCCAGCAGGGCGCTGGCTCTGATGCTGGAGCCCCGGCAGCGACTGCCATGACCTCTGCTGAGGCCCTCGCGCCACCACCCGTCTCACCAAATACAGCTCTCGGTGGGCTTTTAAGCCCCTCCCTAACCTGGTGCCGCCCGGGCCCGGCCCCCCTGTGCTGCCCCATGCACCCCAAAGGCCAGCAGCGGTCACGCCCATCTCGAGGCCTAGCAGCTGTCTCACTCCCACACTCTTCCTCCACACCCTTCTCTAAGAATGCCAACTCCTACCACCCTTCAAGTTTCAGCTGACCTCCCGCCCATCCCCAGAGATTTAACCCCGTCTGTTCACTGATCCAGGAGCTCTCATGCCTCTTTCTCTTTCAAACAATTTCCAATTGTCATCATCAGAGACTTTCAACCAGCTCATAAAAACTCCTTAAGAAGCAAATCTCAAACTGCTGCTGTATCATCTACTCAGAAATCAATGTATCTTATCCAGGGATCAATAAAAAATGGAAACATTTTCATTAATGATCAAGCCAGACCACTAGCAGGTAAATAAAAGGTACAATGTAGCTGCAATCATCGCACATCCAGAAGAATAAAGATGACTCTGCACCTTACATCCTGTCCTGCTGGGAAACGCGTCAGCTTTGCGGCGCCCTTCTCCACATCACGGCGGGGCGGGGTGCGGGGCTGGCATTGGCCCACAAGCCCCTCACCATGCTGCGGGGCTCTGCTGGCTCCCGCTCAGTAACGATCCCCACCTCGGAGAACCTTAGAACGCTATGACCTACACCCACTGGGAAAGCCCACTTCAGACCAATGCAGCACCTCTGTCAACAGGAGCAAAGACAGTGAAGGTACTACCGAAATACGTTCAGGCCATTAGGTATTTAGGGATCCTTCTACAAAGCAATACAAGCCAAAAGTTTGGACTTACCTCTCTCAATTATAAAAGCAGCCAATGAATTACTACATTTTAGATATTCTGAATTATTAAAAATTAGTTGATTAAATGTTTCTTTAACAATCAGCGAAATCTTTGCATACTGAATGTGTCTCCCTTCTAGGAAAAAAAACACACTATTAATTTGAAGAGCATGATGCTTTTTCCACAGTGCGACTATGATTCCGATTATGACATTACAATTAGATGAGCTAAGAATTCATAGGTATCTAGGAAAAGTTATCATTTGTGTCTTGATTGAGATTTTAAGGCATTCAATTTTAACAGAACAAGCTGCCTTCTTACAATAAGAGGTCTCATAATGTGCAATTGAGTACATGAAACAGCTCTGTTACAGGGCAGTCTGCACAGACCATACAGCTAGAGCTCACTGAAGGCCAGCAGCAGTCTCCCCAAGCTCTGTGACAGACAAAACATGCTCCTTTCTGCTGCAGACAGTATGGGAAAAATAGGCAATTTCCTCAAAATATTAAAAATAGAACTTCCATATGATTCTGCAATTCTATTTCAGGTACTTATCAAAAAAAAAAAAAACAAAAAACCACTAACTTTAAAAGATAGCTGCAGCCCCATGTTCATGGCAGCACCGTTTACAAGCATCAAGTGCTGGAACTTAAATGTCCCTCCACGGATGAGTGGACAGAGATGTGGCATACCTACACAATGGAATATTATTCTGCAAGAAAATCCTGTCATTTGCGACATGGATGGACCTTGAGGGCATTATGCTAAGTCAGGCAGCAAAAGACAAATGCCACATGATCTCACATATATGTGGAATCTAAAAAAACCCACCAAACAACACCCCTCCACCCATAAACAAACCAAAAATCTGAGCTCATGGACACGTTCAACAGATTGGTGCTCACCAAAGGTGGGGACAAGGGGTTGGGTGAAATGGGAGAAAAGAGGTTAAAAGCATACTCTGCTAACTGTGTTAAATTCATTTTAGCTAGCCCTCGTACATGTTCCTGTTTATATTTGTTAACACTGAATTTTTCTATGTTAATACTGTGAATGCTCTCTTCTTGGCAGAAACAGATAAAGTCATCATCAAAGAGCAAAAGAACAATCACAACGCTAACCACAAAATGAAGTGCTGAGGGGAAAAAGAATTAACTACTGGGTCTATTCTTTCATCTAACCACAAGCATACAACGTGGAGGTGCACATTATAATTGAATGTTAGCTTAATTTTCACTTAAGGTGTACAAACTGCTTTTTGATTCTTAGGTAGTAAAATATGGAAAAGAGGTACTCAACAACTCAGCCCTACATTATCATCAGAAACTCATGACACAGGAAAAGGACTGTTCATTTAACATTTTTTAAAGTTAACTTTTTTTTTAACTGAGACAGCCAGCAATACACATTCAGAAGTCTCCTCTCTAAATGTAACTACTACTACGGGTTTCTTGGACATTTTGAGAAAATCTGCGAACGTGAATCACTGTGAATAACAAACCCCACCGATGGAACTGACTTTTGCTTGGTCTTGGGCCCCACTGGGGAGCAGACCTCAGTGCCGCCACCGCCCCCTCAAGGGCAGCACAGGGAACGCGCCGCCCTGAGCGGTGCACTGTGGGGTCAGACTCGCGGTCACAGTAGTCTCACAAGAGCAGTCATGGGCAACTCGTCAACCATCTCCTTTGGTTCATCAGAAATGAGTCACTTCTCTCAGCTTTCCTCCCCACTCCTCATCTTTCTTTCAGAGAATGAAGAGAAACTCCCCATTTTGTACCAGTGTGACAGTTTTAAATGATAAATTCTAATGCCTATTTTCATACCTGCACGTTTTAATTACATTGCTACACTTTTTAATGGGTTTGCTTTTCTTAAAAAAAGAACAAAAAGGACTTTCATACCATAATGCACTTTGGAGACATAAGCTGGTTCCGGGGAGACAACAGGCTCTGCAGGGATAGGAGGGGGGCCTGGAAAGAAGCAAGACATAGGAAAGGTCAGTGCCCCCAAGAGCAGGCTCCCTCTCTGCAGTGAGCAACCAGAGAAGCGTGGTCTTTTCCTGTATACTTCTGCCAGCTCTAGGCCACCAAATAGCCATTCAGGTCGGCCCCCCCAAAAAATGACCTCATGTTACTACTATCATACTTTAAAATACATGCAACATTGTGAAAAGCAGCTACAATGGAACCCTGTTTCAAATGCTTTATGAGCAATTTCCTATGAACAGTAATACTGTCCAAAACATTTTAAATTAACATCCTAACAAAAGTATCAATTTTAATGTTATTTCACCAGACAGTTTTTCTAGGGAAATACCACAAAGTTTTCAAAGCTTTTCAATTCCATTTTTTGCAAGTGGCTCTTCCAGTTTGGTTCCCAACTTAGAGAATCTGAAACAAACAAGAGCAGGACAATAAACCGAAGGACAAAAAAGGCAAGGACAGCGGGACTGAAGAGGCTCCAGGAGCAGAGTCAGCACATGTCTTGAGTCTCACTCACGGAGAAAGCGAGAGCTGCTGGCCAGGACTCAATTTTGAATTAAGATGAGAAATGGTTCAACACACAGCAGCTAGCAAGGCAAGCCTGACAACGCCATCCTGGGGGGCACACAGTCAACAATGCCAACCAGTCATACCAGCTGGCCTTTCGATAAGCACAACTTCAAAAACTCAAAGATGGTTTTTTCCCTTTACTCGCGTGAGTAGGGCTCAAGTGGAATGAAAAATACTAAAGATATTAAATCCAGCTTACAAATAATTAAAATAAAGTGACTGTACAAGTTGGTCTCAACTTTTAAAACACCACGTACAAAGAGGCAAAATAACATTGAAAAGGAAGAACAGAGTTGAAGAATACATGCGTTTATTTCAAAACTTAATACAAGTGACAATAACCAACGCACTGTGGTAATAACATAAATACAGGCACACAGACCAGAGCACCCATAATTAAATCCGTGTTATGGTCAAATGATTCTTGACAAGGTACCACACCACGCAGTGGGCAACGTAACAAAGGAGGCTGGAAAAACTGCATATCCACAGGCAAGAAGACAAAATGGGGGCCTCACCAAACAGTAAGTACAAAACGAACGGGCTGTGGATCAAAGACCCAAACATCAGTGCTAGACCTCGCAAACGCAGAAGAAAACACTCGGGAGCTTCCTGACCCTGGGTCTGGTCATGATTTATTGGAGAAGACTCCAAAAGTATAGACAACAAAAGAAAAAATAGACAAACTGAACTTTAATACCATTAATAGCCATTAATAACAGTAAAAATGCAAATCATATGATGCATAAATATATATAAACATAAGGGGTAATTTCATATTGAATTAAAAAGCTATCCATAAAAAAATAAATCATTGCATTTATAGGTCAAATAACATGTACAAAACAAGTCAAAGTATTTTACTAAAAAATCCTGAGAAATGACAATGAATTTGAGAGCAAAGAATTTGGTGAAGGGCGTTGATATTCAAGTTTCACTTCTGTAGTCCAATTTTTGAGCTTAGATTTTGAATAAAAATGGGACATCTGAGTTACCTCTTCAGAAAAAAAAGTGTTTTACTAAAAAGAACAAAAAGAAGTTTCTAGCACCAGCACTTACAAGACATTTACCATCACCACCATATCTCAGCCCAAGACAGACACAGTGCCTATGTTAAATTCAGTGGTGGTAGAATTATTTGAGAAAACAATGGCCTACAGTGTATATTGCCCACAGGTTAAGAATGTAACCTTCTTGGGCCTCCCCGGTGGCGCAGCGGTTGAGCGCTGGGTTGCGAAGCTGCCCGCAGCCTCTGCAGTGTCGGTTCGATTCCCGGCTGCTCCCCGGCCACCAGAGGAGGGTCCCACATGGTGCGCAGACCTCTCCTGCCGCCCGCTGCTCCCCTCAGCAGTGTACTTCGGTCCTTCTGCCTGCTCTGCTCCCCGCTCTGGCTCTGGTGAATTCTCTCACCCTCCCGCACTTCTGACTGTACCCAGTGCATGTATAAACGAAAAAACGAACAAACAAGTAAATAAATAAAACATGCCTCTATAAAAAAAGAAAAAAAAAAAAAAAAAGAATGTAACCTTCTTTGATGATTTTTTTAAAATCCCCCCTCAGGCTGGTTGGAGGGGCTCATTATCGCAGGGTAGGGGTGAAAGTCCTGCCCCCTGCTGGCCTTCTCTGTCTCTGACACCCTGCACAGGCATCTAGCTTGCAAGAGGGCTTTGGTGCAGCTCTGGTATTGGGCTTGGTGGGTGGGGACAGGCCCCACCAAACAGAAAACAACAGGAAAATGAACGAAACACTAAATACTTATTAAATCCGAAGTATGACAAGCTACTTGAAAACGATGAGAAAGCACACTGAGACTTATGAGATCGAGCTGAATAAATCGTTTTTCATTACTATATGAAGAATTCAACTGAAAGAACAAAAAGGAGAATATTACAAAAGAAAAACTGAAATTAATAAACCAAAAACAAAAAGCCCAGTAGAAGAAATAAAATAGTGCTGCTCTGAACTTTAAAAGAATGAATTTACTGTCATTGCTTTAGTCAAATTTAAATGTTTTTAAAAGTTGCTTTGTTTTGAGCCTCCCTGGACATGCAGGGGTTAAAGACAGCACCATCAAGCTATCGGCAGCCACCAGAGAATGAGGTGGATCCCCGGCCAGGGAGCTACCCACAGGGTGCAGCAGACCTTTCCTGTCTCCCCACTGCTCCCTTCAGCAGTGTATCTCAGTGGATCCGTCAGTTCTGCTCCCCACTCTGTCTCTGGTGAGTCCTCTCACCCCCTGCACCACTAGCCTACACCCCAGTTCTTGCATGCAAAAACAGATCTTTAAAAAAAAAAAGTTGCTTTGTTTCCAGTTAAGTCAAAATGTAATCGACCATCAAATAATTATTGACAACAACTGTGTACTGTGCTAATGTAGCCCTCAGGCTGATGGCTGTAGAGGATGACTCCTATGTGTCCTTTCCAACGTGGGTGAAGGGCTTGCATGCACTGCTAGTAGCCCTTACAGCAATCATCTGAGCCCCACCCTCCTTTTCAAAAGCCTAAGTGAGATTCAGAGGGCAACTAACTTGTGTGTCCAGTGTCACTGTTCCTTTGATCCAAGCAATCTAATTCTGGAGTTTTCATTAACCGACATGCTTTACTACACTTTAGGCCATTATTTTCTCAAAATAATTCGAACTTCACTGAGTTTAACACAGGCAAATATCACAAAACTGCATCAGAAACCTCCAAGTAATAAATATACGGCATTAGGTGCAAATACCAGGAGGCTACGGAAAAATCAGGTCAGGATTGCAAGTCACCACAATCTGACAAGTCACCAGACAGTTCAGCAACACAACTGTATCTCTTATTGCTGAAATATTTACCACTAAGTACCTGAGCAATCAAAGCATCAAGGGAAGAAGTTATGCAAATCCTGCTACTTCCATTCTCCTAATGTTGTCAAGTAGCTCTTCAATAACAAAATTTCCAGGTGATTCCTTCTGGAAAAGAATACACTTTACTAATACTTTATAATCAAAGGGTATTTACCTGATGTTTCTGAGGTCCTTGGTTCAGGCTCCTCCAACTGTAGCAGCTCATCAAGAGCTAACTTTGCTGCATTGGATCTAGACTCCTTTTTATTTTGTCCCAGTCCAGTCTTGTATTGAATACCATCCACCACGGCACAAAAAGCAAAGTATGGTCCCATAACATTACCTTGAAAAAGAACTCAGAATGAATGCTACAATACATCACAGCATGATCTGGCAATTGATGTCTTATAAGGGAAAACCACCCAGTGCAAAACTTCTCGAAAACCGTCTTGGCCTATCGGTCTTTCTGCAGGGCAGATGCAGGGCAATAGCTCAGTGGGCCCGGAACTAGTGCTGATAAACCCATCCAGCAGTTGGCGTGGCTGCAGATCAGGGCAAGCAGCAAGGCCAGCTTTAAAGAACATGGGATGACAGCGTCCCGAGTACTATCTGGCAAGGGTAAGCAGGCAAGTTATCTATCAAGTGAGTGACGGGAGGTAGAAAGTGCAGTGTCTGGTAATATCTCTCTCCTTCTAACTTTCAATACCAACAAAGCTGCACTGCTCCCACCCTTGCAGGGCCCAATTGTCTTATAAGAGAAGGAACCCTTTGAAGATATCCCAGGCACACAACAGTCATGGTAAGCAACGTGGTGAGCAAGTCACTGCTTCAGGGCAGGTGGGGAGGGGAGTTCAAGAAAACCGAGGCAGGAATAATAATTTTTTAAAAAAGTGTAAAGAATTTAACTTAATGACCAGTTGCCCAAGATTCCTAAAGGAATTACTTTTACACAACTACTTTTAACTTATTTTCATGCTTCTCTAATGAGAAATGAACTGGAATCAATTCCTAAATTTATAGGACAAAAAACTGCATTTCAAGCTTTGCTTGTTGGTATTCAGATTCCAGTAGGTCTCCTGGACGCTCTGGTTGTCAATGGCTGGGTACACAGTCACTCCGCAGGGACGTCATTAGCACTGTTTCCTCATCACATATAACATTAGCTGCTAGAGCTTGGTTTTACGAGCAACTTGTGGTTCCACTTGAGCAGACGGCATTTCTCAAGTTCCTTCCTTCACTATCACCTGGGCACCAATCCAAATTTACAAACCAGAGTTTATATATTCAACAAGTAGCTGAGATGATTCTTTGAGATATTACACATCTAATTTGTTAACAAGTACCTTGCATTAGTGTGGAACATTGAGCTTCACCCTCTTTATACCCCCAGGATCTCAAACTTTAGAGCAGATCTAACCCACCTGAAGTGCTTGTTAAAGATACCAACCCTCTGGTCTCACTACCAAACCCATCCAGATTAACTAGCATGCAAGATAAACATCATTAATAATCAATGGAGTGTGGTTTTGAGTAGTTTCCACTCAGGTCAGTGATTATTTGTCCTGAACATGGTTTTTTTTTTTCTTCCCTTACCCAGAAATGAAGCCCACAGTATTGCTCGCACAGACTGATGCAACCTAGAGTGACAGGACCTGGAAACCCCACTTTCCACAGTGAGACCCTATTTCTGAGCCTGTTATTTCATCTAGAACAGATTAGAAACTTGACTTCATCATGATAATCTTTACTATAATCTCAAAAACTTAAAGTTCTTTTGAAAAGATGCTAACCTTGAGATCATATGGCAATAGCACCAGGAAAACTAAAGAAACCAAACAAGCTGACTGTGCCTGAGCATATACTTAAAAAAAGAGACTAATTATTTCTCTTGTCTGTTCATGACTCTTAAACCACTGATCCTCTTATCCACTTTCTTAAAGTTCTTCCTAACTACCGATCAGAAGGCAAAAAAATCAGAAGCTGCTTTCTGGACTTTTCTGATCTGTGGAACTCCCTTGGCCTTCCCCAGGCAGCCCTCAGGTGGGTCTCAAAGGGCCATTTAAGAGAGAAAAGTCACAGACAAGTCCACACACAAAGCATCAATCATCTAAGTACTACTTTCACCACTTGTCCTTGAATTTCAGATACCAGATTTGACCATCAATTTGCTCAGCAGTCATCACAGAACCCTTCTGATAAACAGTTCAAATATTTAACATCCCCACAAGTTTATTTTACAATAGATTTATACCCCCAAGCAATGCACGGGGCTGATGAAATTTCAGTTCAACTAGCCACACATGAGAAATTTAAAGTTCAGCGACTGTGAGCTGTTTCAAGAGGCTCAAAAAGTGTCTGAATATTTAAATTTCTGAAATACACGCCTCAAAACACACTAGTAGCGTTTAGTAGCCCCAACATTTCACGTATGTGGAAGAAAGTTTAGCACCACTTGTAACAGGGAATCATTTCAGCACTATTATCATCAGACAATTGTTGCACCTGCCTGTTGTTACTGTTTCCTTAAGGTCAAGTTGGACCCGCTGCATTTGTGCAAACTGGTGCAATGCTGACACGGGATTTATCTCTCCACGCTTGTATTTCATTATAAACTCCTTGGGTATTTTTTTTGGAGGAAGGACAGGATTTGAAATAGATGAAAGACTTTTGGAAAGCAATGGTTCTGGAAAATTACCTAAAAATAAATGCTTATGGTTGTCAATTCGGTAAAATAAAAACGAGCAGAACAAACGCATTTAACCCTCCCCCCGCCAAGCGCCTCTCACACACATCGTCATACACTCTCATCGCAAGTTTCCAGCAAGGGTGTGGCACAAAGATGCGCACAACCTGCGGCTGCGCGCGCGGCCACGGGGCGCCCCCGGGAAGAAGCGGCGTCACGCGGCGCCCTCGCAGGCCCTGAATTTGGGCGACGCCGAGGGCTTTTGGCGGTGAAGCGGCCCCAAGGCCGGGGCGGGCAAGAACCACGCCTGGGACGGGAACCGCCCCTGCCCCCGGCCCCGCACCACGTTTCCCGGACTCCAGGGGCTCCGGGAGGCCCGTCCTCGCCTGCACGCGGCGGCCCAGCGCCTCGGGGCGCGCCTCCGCCCGCCGCCCGCCCGGCAGAGGGGCGCCCTGGGCCGCGGGCGGGGGCGCCCCGCCAGGCAGCCGCACCCGTCACTGGCGTGAGCTTGGAGGCCATGCCCGCCAGGCCGCGGCTCTCGGCGGGGAAGCCCGCGGGGGCGGCCGCCGTCTGCGGAGGCGGCTGCTCGGGCAGGTTCTTCTTCAGCATCTGGGCGAAGCTGGGGCCCGCGGGCTCGGGAACCAGTCGTTGCTGCCGGACATTTTCTCACCTGCGGGTCACAGCGAGTTGGCCGGAGGCGGGCCCGGCCCGCCCCCGCGCCCCCACGCTACCCCCACCCCGGGGCCCGACACCCGCACGCCCCGCGCCCCACACCGCCCCCACCCCGGGCCCGACACCCGCCCCGCCCGCCCCCCTACCCCACCCCGGGGCCCGACACCCGCACGCCCCGCGCCCCCACCGCCCCACCCCGGGCCCGACACCCGCACGCCCCGCGCCCCCACCCTACCCCACCCCGGGCCCGACACCCGCACGCCCGCGCCCCCACGCTACCCCCACCCCGGGGCCCGACACCCGCACGCCGCGCCCCCACCCTACCCCCACCCCGGGGCCCGACACCGCACGCCCCGCGCCCCCACCCTACCCCCACCCCGGGGCCCGACACCCGCACGCCCGCGCCCACACCCGCCCCACCCTACCCCACCCGGGGCCCGACACCCGCACGCCCCGCGCCCCCACCCTACCCCCACCCCGGGCCCGACACCCGCACGCCCCGCGCCCCACACCGCCCCCCCGGGGCCCGACCCCGCACGCCCCGCGCCCCCACCCTACCCCACCCCGGGCCCGACACCCGCACGCCCCGCGCCCACACCCTACCCCCACCCCGGCCCGACACCCGCACGCCCCGCGCCCCACACCCCCCCACCCCGGGCCCGACACCCGCACGCCCCGCGCCCCCACCCTACCCCCACCCCGGGGCCCGACACCCGCACGCCCCGCGCCCCCACCCTACCCCCACCCCGGGCCCGACACCCGCACGCCCCGCGCCCCACACCCTACCCCCACCCCGGGGCCGACACCCGCACGCCCCGCGCCCCACACCCGCCCCCACCCCGGGCCCGACACCCGCACGCCCGCGCCCCACCCTACCCCCACCCCGGGCCCGACACCCGCACGCCCCGCGCCCCCACCCTACCCCCACCCCGGGGCCCGACACCCGCACGCCCCGCGCCCCACACCCGCCCCACCCCGGGGCCCGACACCCGCACGCCCCGCGCCCCCACCCTACCCCCACCCCGGCCCGACACCCGCACGCCCCGCGCCCCACACCCGCCCCCACCCCGGGGCCCGACACCCGCACGCCCCGCGCCACCCTACCCCCACCCGGGCCCGACACCCGCACGCCCCGCGCCCCACACCGCCCCACCCCGGGGCCCGACACCCGCATGCCCGCGCCCCCACCCTACCCCACCCCGGGCCCGACACCCGCACGCCCCGCGCCCCCACCCTACCCCCACCCCGGGGCCCGACACCCGCACGCCCCGCGCCCCCACCCTACCCCCACCCCGGGGCCCGACACCCGCACGCCCCGCGCCCCCACACCCGCCCCCACCCGGGGCCCGACACCCGCACGCCCCGCGCCCCCACCTACCCCCACCCCGGGCCCGACACCCGCACGCCCCGCGCCCCACACCCGCCCCCACCCCGGCCCGACACCCGCACGCCCCGCGCCCCCACCCTACCCCCACCCCGGGCCCGACACCCGCACGCCCCGCGCCCCACACCCGCCCCCACCCTACCCCCACCCCGGGGCCCCGACACCCGCACGCCCCGCGCCCCACACCCGCCCCCGGCCCCGCGCCCCCACCCCACCGGGGCCGACACCCGCACGCCCCGCGCCCGCCTCACCTCCAGGGAGAGAAGGCAGCCCGCGCCGGGCCCGCCCCCCACCAGCGCGGGCGTCCCCGGCTCCGGCGGCCAGGCGGGGCTCCGGCCACCCCGCCACCGCCGTTGCCTCGACCGCTGGCCGCGCCGCCTGCGAGGGCCCCACGCGCGGCCTCCAGCGCCGCCGCCGCGCCGGCCAATCGCCAGGCTCCACGCTCGCAGCCCCGCCCCGCGCCTGCGCGGAGCCTCGCAATCGGCGCCCCGCGCGCGCGTCGCCTCAGCGATGGGCGCCCGTCGCTTCAGGCGCCCGCTCAGGGCCGGGTGCCCGCTCCTCACCCCCAGGCGCCTCCTCACTTCGGGCGCCCCCATCTCACCTCAGGCACCTCTTCCTCACCTCAGGCGCCTCCCCAGGGCCGGGTGCCCGCTCCTCACCCCAGGCACCGCCTCCTCACCCCAGGGCCGGGTGCCCGCTCCTCACCCCAAGGCGCCTCCTCACCTCAGGCGCCCCCATCTCACCTCAGGGGCCTCCTCCTCACCCCAGGCGCCTCCTCACCTCAGGCACCACCTCAGGGCCGGGTGCCCGCTCCTCACCCCAGGCGCCTCCTCACTTCGGGCGCCCCCATCTCACCTCAGGGACCTCCTCCTCACCCCAGGCACCGCCTCCTCACCTCAGGCGCCTCCTCACCTCAGGCACCACCTCAGGGCCGGGTGCCCGCTCCTCACCCCAGGCGCCTCCTCACTTCGGGCGCCCCCATCTCACCTCAGGCACCTCCTCCTCACCCCAGGCACCGCCTCCTCACCTCAGGCGCCTCCCCAGGGCCGGGTGCCCGCTCCTCACCCCGGGCGCCTCCTCACCCCAGGCGCCTCCTCACCTCAGGCGCCCCCATCTCACCTCAGGGGCCTTCTCCTCACCCCAGGCGCCTACTCACCTCAGGCACCACCTCAGGGCTGGGTGCCCGCTCCTCACCCCAGGCACCGCCTCCTCACCTCAGGCGCCTCCTCAGCGCCAAGCACCCCCTTCTCACCCCAGGCGCCCCATCTCACTTCGGGGTCCTCCTCCGCACCCCAGGTGCCTCCTCAACGCTGAGCACCCCCTCCTCACCTCAGGGGCCTCCTCACCCCAGGCGCCCCCTCCTCACCTCAGGCGCCCCCCTCTCACCTCAGGGGCCTCCTCCTCCGGGCCGGGCGCCGGCCTCGCGCTCGCGGCGGCCGTGGGACTTGGGCGTGTGCGCCGTCCGCGAGCGGCTGCGCCGGCGGCCTAAGGACCAGGCGGGCGCGGGCGCGGCGCGCGCGGCTTCTCACGCAAATGTCTTCCGGCCGCCTGGGCGCCTTCGCACGTCGCGCCCGCCCGTCAGTGTCACAATAGCGGCCCCTTCCAGAACGTTCTCAGCACCCGGCCTTGCCCACGGGGAGCCGGGCCCAGGTGTTGCCAGAAGCGCGCCGCGGGCGGGCAGGGGGAGGCCTGGGCGGGGGAGCTGAAGCCCAAGGGGAAGGGCCGGGGCGCGGGGGGCGCGGGGGCGGCGCGCGGGTTCCCTCTCGCAGTCGGGCCCCGCAGACCCACGGCGGCTGCGGCGCCGAGTCTCACGCGCCGCCGCGCGGCCCCGGGCTGGCTTCTCCTCGGGCCGCAGGGCCGGCGGGCGCGCCGGCCTCGCGGGGCGGAGAGCCTGGAAAGGGGCGCCTGTGCCGACCGCCCGGGGTGCCGGGAGACGCCCGAGAACGGGAATTCCCGGGTGCCGGGACCAGCCCCCGCCCGCCTCCGCGCCGCCGCTGAGCTTCGCGTGCTCTCGGCTGTGCGTTTCTTCGGCCCCTGGAATTAACGCCCGAACACACGTCCGCGGCGCGGGCGCCCAGGGAAGGTGTGATGGTTTCAGGGGCCTCGGGAGCCGCCGCCGTGAACAACCGACGTGAAGTGAACATCCGTTCATTATAGAAATAAACTGTCGAAGGAAAAATTCAACTATAGACTGAAACCAATTATTGTGGCTTTATTACAAACAACAGTGATATTTAATCATATCACAATTACAATTACTCAAACTATGTACAGGTAGGTATTTATACAAGTCTACACTTAAAAAAAAGCAACGAAAGATGATTATCAACAGGATTTCTTCCTAAAAGTTATGGCCAATAACAGGAAATTCACAGTTATTCTGAAAATATTGTAAAGATGCAGGAATCATATTGCACATAATACGGTTAGAAACCCACCAGATTTATAGGGTTCACTCTAGTCATTCACAAGCGCACGTTATCATGCAATACTTCATGGCGGGGCTCGAATGAGTTGCCTTATAAACTTTGTAATGTACTGGCCACAAAATCAGAATTAAGTTATATTTAAAATTACTGTACAAAGAAAAAACACTAGTGTAATAAAACTTAACGGACAAAATCATAATTTGTTCACAGATCAAGTCGCTTTTTAGTGTTCTTCTTTGTCTCTTCCTTTCTTTTCCTTTTCATCCTGTAGTGCAGCACCGAGCTTTTTTATGAGAACTGACAGAACCTTGTCCAGTGGGTCCATGACGCCTCTCTGAAGCCATTTAGGAATAGTAGTCCTGGCATGGTGGAAGCCCAGTTTTTGAAGAATATAATCAACACCTACTGGATCGATCTTTCTTCCAGTCCAAGAAATTAATCTAAAATAATTATGAGTAATTGTTAAGGAGTACAGTGCCCTAGCACAGTTCTAAAGGTTGTTCAAGAACATCACCAAGCTGGGGCCTCCCCTGTGGCCTGGGGGTCAGTCTCAGGCGGTCACTGCCATGACCTGAGTTTGCTCCCCGGCCAGGGAGCAGACCCACAGGGCGCAGCAGACCTCTCCTGTCTCCCCGCTGCTCCCCTCAGCCGTGGATTTCAGTGGATCCGCCTGTTCTGCTCCCCACTCTGTCTCTGGTGAGTCCTCTTGCCCCCCACGCCTCTGGCCTACACCCCAGTTCTTGTATGCAAAAATAAATATTTAAAAAAAGAACAACACCAAGCCTTCATGATCTGTTCAAGGCAAAATATTACAATAAGTGCTTTAAAAAACCTAATCTACAACTCCGAGAATCAGTATGATAGTGTTCAGAAACTCACTGTGTGACTGTAAAATCCTTGAGCCAGGCACAGCAGTGAATGTCAGTGATTTTAGGCCATCGTCTATTTAGGCTCAGCCATCTGAGATACTTAACATCTATTCTCAAAGATGTTAACTATATCAACAGGGGGAAGCTTTTCACCTTGTATACGTATATTATTCACGACTTAGTTATGTCGTTGTGTGTGAACGACAGACAAGGATTGCCCAGCAACCCCCATGACTGCACAGGACGACTGCAGCACAGGAAGCAGGCTCTGCAGCGTGCAGCCGTCAGGGCGGGCAGGCCGAGGGCACTAGGATGCTGCCGGGTCTTCACCCAGTCCTGATGTAGGTGAGAACTCGTGGCTCCTGAATGATGCCTCACGACTTCTGAACTTTCCCAGACCAAGCAAAAGAGGTTACTGTAGCCACTCAGACACCTGAAAATAAGTCCTGGCGACAGCGGGAGGGGTGTCGTTCTGCAACTTTAGTGGATGGCTAGTCAGGGCAGAGCTATGCTCAGCGTTTGTGCTTCTTGTGACTTCCCTAGACGCAGTTTCAAAGGGAGCAGTGAGAACAGCTGTCAGAAGCTGTTGAGATTACAGAAGGCTAACTTCTAGACATGTTTTGATAAGCCGTATTTAGCCTTTTCTATAATTTCATTACCTCTTTCTCATAGTACAATAGGATGTAAGTGAAGTTCAGCTTCTCCTCACCTGAGTGTGGGTTCCAGATGCCACGTGTTGCACATAAAATCTCTCCAGTCCACAGTGGTGTAGGTGATCCCATCTTCCCTGTCTTTCTCAGAGGAACCGTCGTCATGTAGAATAATAGGACTTTTTTGTCCTGGTCGCATGGATAAAATCCGTGGTGGGAAAATGGCTGTAATGGAAATGATAGATTAATATTGCAAATATGTACCTTACAGACATATTTAGAATTACTGTATGAACAGAGGAATTTTATTTACAAACTGGCAAAGCCACATTTAACTGCATTTCCTAAAATACTATCAACCATAAATAAGTACCAGTATTTCCTGGAAAAAGACAGTACCAAAGCTATTTTTTTCTCTTACAACTCAAAATGACATCTTTTTTTTTTTTGAATAAACACATGCTTTACATATATCTGTCTGCCTCAAACTAATGGTGAAGGACACTGAATTTACTCGATTGCAGACATGGGGCCCTGAAATGGACGGCGGTAGGTTTTCAATGGGCTGTAGTGGAAGTGGATGACTTTTCCTTTTTTTTTCTTTTTTTTTTCTTTTTTTATTTATTTTTAATTTTTTTTTTATAGAGGCATGTTTTTATTTATTTATTTATTATATTTGTTTGTTTGTTTTGTTTATACATGCACTGGGTACAGTCAGAAGCGCGGGAGGGTGAGAGAATTCACCAGAGCCAGAGCGGGGAGCAGAACAGGCTGAAGGACCGAAGCACACTGCTGAGGGGAGCAGCGGGCGGCAGGAGAGGTCTGCGCGCCATGTGGGACCCTCCTCTGGTGGCCGGGGAGCAGCCGGGGATCGAACCGGCGCCGCAGAGGCTGTGGGCAGCTTCGCAACCCAGCGCTCAACCACTGCGCCACCGGGGAGGCCCGACTTTTCCTTTTTCACAGCTTTCCTGAGATAAATTTTATACTTTAAATGTGAAATGTGATAATTTTAGTAGGGTAATGTCTACATATAATTGAATATTGATTCTACCTTAACCTTTTTACTCTTTACAGTAAATACTCAAAATGAAAGCCTGTCTTTGGCAATCATTAAAAATAAGTACGAAATCAAAGCTGAGACAAAGGCAGCTTCCACGCGATCTTCAATAAACAGCATTGCTCTTAGGCACAAATTTTGAAGCTACAAATATGTGCATGTAGCCCTGGTTGTGCCTGGACTGGGAAGGAGCTCAGGCGTGAGATGGCGCGGTCACTCCTGAGACCACAGAGCTTTTTGTGCATTATTGGTGGTGCTTGTGGTGCTATAATCAACCTCAATTTGGAACCACGTTAATAGCATGTGAGACTAGACCAGAATTAAGATTTTTCAGGGCATTTTATGCTTGTTTGGGGCTAAACTAATTGCTTTTCATTTTGTACTTATAGCTCTAAAAAAAGACTTGCTTTTTTTAAAAAAATGCAATTCATGGCAGAAGTTTCACATAGTACCTGAGAGAGAGAAATCCAGCTGGCTTTCCTACCTAGCTAAGTAGATAAGAACAGGATTCTGATTTTTCCCTAGAATCTTTTCTCCACATTAGAGAGAAATAAGAGGGTCGCCAGTGACTAGCATAGGCTGGTGTGGCGTGTGAAAGCTGATACAGCGCTGCCTTGGAAATTCCACTGAAGGCCTTCCAGGCTTCCCCTACCACCGTTACTGACTGCGCGTGCATCTGGAGTGGACAGTATTGGAAGCCGGTCAGTCTCTGCCACATCTCTTTCAGCACCAGCTTCCAGCACTCACCACGAGGCTACTCTGAAATATCTGGAGACAAGTCCTACATTTCTTTCTTTGTGAAAAAAATTAAGCATTATTGTAATATGAACTGAAAAAATTACATATATTACAAATTACAAGCAATTTGTAAGGACAGTTGCACCTGTTGTCTTACATCATGAGTGAATGTTTCTGGAGTAAGGGGCCGTGTACTGGGGATCTGTCCGTATCATTGCATTTTGCACAGACTCATCATTTAAGCAGCTACAGAGTATTGCCTTCCGTTGCAGGACACAACATATGGGGGGGGTCACTCTGTTTCTTAATTTGCAGTTTTCAGCGAGTTAACCGATGTAGCTCAAAGAGATAAAACACCGCTGTGGTGTAAAGAATTTATAAAAAGAAAATCTATCTGCGTTCTATGGATGTACCTAATTCACTGTTCGCCATTATGCTCCTAAGCCACATCCTTTACTACGTAGTCGTTCCTGGCAGTGCTTCCTCGGGTTTTCTTCCCTTGCCTTACAGGGTCTCTTACAAGGCCCAGAACCACGAGATGCCGTTTGGTGAGAGGTGCGGTTGGACGGAGGCCTGCGGAGTCGCGTGGCCTCGGGAATCGTGGGGGGAGACGACACCCCCTCGTGTGTCCTCAGACCCTACCCTCCAGCGGGGCCCGACGCACACCCACCTTTCTCTTTCTCCTTCAGGTAGGCAGACACCAAGTCATGAAGGAACATGATGAGCTCGGCGTCCATGGTGACGCAGATGTGGTCAGTGAACTCCGTCACCACGCTGCACTCCACCTTGGGCTTCTGGGTGGCGTCTGCAGGGGGAAGTGCTCTTACTTGGAGCGAAAGATTTCATGGGATACGTCCCTTTTTCTTCCCGCTACTGAACCCACTTAACTGCAGCGCCGGAGAGCTGAGTAGTTTCTGTGTGAGTCACAGAACAAGGAGGAAAGTGCATGCCATTTGCGCCCCACAAAGCCCTATGAAGGAACTTCTGTTATCCGCTCCCATCTCATTGAGGAGAAAGGCACAAATAGATTAAATTGTTTGTCAAAAGTTATCTAACTAGGAAAGCAATCAACTGACTCTCTTGGGGAAAAAGCAGTTGAAACTGGACACAAAGGTTGGTTTCTACACACCCTGTAGCGAAGGCTCCTGTGGCTCTTGAACGTGGATGGATTTGAAGTCAAGCTGCATCCGTGGTAACGCAAAGATAGTCTCTGTCTCGTGATTGTAGCTAGAACCTCCTCGGAATCCACTCAGCAAACTAGAATTCTTCACAGCAGTGCTGCTCTCCGTGTTATTAGCATCAACATTACGAAGTAGGTTTAGCTCTACGTGCACAGTAACAACAAAAATCCAGTTAACCAATAGGCACTAGTGAGCCTATAGTTTTCATGACACTTGAGACAAGTCATTTCAAAATCTAGAAGGGTTAAGACGCAACCTATGAAGCTGTCCGCAGCCTCTGTAGCACGAGTTTGATCCCCGGCTGGTCAAGGAGCAACCCACACAGCACAGCAGACCTCTCCTGTCTTGCCCGCTGCTCCCCTCAGCAGTGTATTTCAGTCAGTCTGCCTGTTCTGTTCCCCTCTCTGTCTCTGGTGAATCCTCTCACCCCCCGCACCTCTGGCCTGTACCCCTGTATGCATAAATAAATCAATCTTAAAAAAAAAAAAATCTAGAAGATAGAGACTCAATTTAAAATAAGATTACAAAGATTAGGTTTTAATAACAGTGACTTTGGTTTCTCAAACTTTAAAATGAATATTATTCTTAACTGAATTTAAGCATTTCATTAAGCTCAAAGTTCTCCATATATTGACTACCTCACTGTTGCAGAACTTGTGACTAAATGCACTGACCTTGAAATCAGGTGGACATCCTTCTCTTCCCTCACATATGTGCTATGGTTACACTATGGTGGTTCTATGTACACACACATTTTTTTTTTTAAAGATTTATTTATTTATTTATACATACATAATACATACATACATACTTACATACATACATACCAGCACTGGGTACAGTCAGAAGCGCGGGAGGGTGAGAGAACCCACCAGAGCCAGAGCGGGGAGCAGAGCAGGCAGAAGGACCGAAGGACACTGCTGAGGGGAGCAGCGGGCGGCAGGAGAGGTCTGCGCGCCATGCGGGACCCTCCTCCGGTGGCCGGGGAGCAGCCGGGGATCGAACCGGCGCTGCAGAGGCTGCAGGCAGCTTCGCAAGGCTCAACCGCTGCGCCACCGGGAAGGCCCTGTATACACACTTTTAACTAGGTACAGATAGCAGTTTAATAGGCTAAAAGCTCCTGCAGAGTAACTCAGCCAAAAAGACCCTTCTCCCCCAAAGCCTCTAATTGAGAAGGAGAATAAATCTTGTATCAATGATTTATGCACAACCCTCTGACTCACTTCCTGCCCTCACCCTGAGGCTGCCGCTCACATGAGTGCTGTCGAGGGCATATGTCGCCCCCAGCACGTCTCACCAGCTCCCCACACATGCAGCAACTGGTGGGCAGCGCTGCAAACGCAGACCTGCAAACGCAGACCTGATCACATGAAAACACTCTTCAAAAGCACTCTTTTTAAACTTAAGGCTTCACAGGAATAGCAGTTTCATTTTATTGCAACCTTAAGTTTACTGTACTGTGTTACTTAGTTTTGTAGTAACTTCCCCAAACTGCCAATGTTTAAAGTCACTTCAAAAATATTATTCCAGGGCCTCCCAGGTGGCGCAGTGGGTTGAGCACAGCGCTGTGAAGCTGTCCACAGCCTCTGCAGCGAGAGTTCCATCCCCCGCCAGCCAGGGAGCAGCCCACACGGCTTGCAGACCTCTCCTGTCGCGCCCACTGCTCCCCTCAGCACTGCATTTCGTCAGTCTGCCTGTTGTGTTCCACACTCTGGCTCTGGTGAATCCACTCACCCTCCCGCGCCTCTGGCCTGTACCCCGGTTCTTGTATAAATAAATAAATCTTAAAAAAAATTTTTTTTCCAATATTTTTGATTTATTTAAACCAGTATTTTAAGAGCTGCTACACCACTGGGGTAGGGGGGTGTGTGTGACACATCCACATGACAAGTCATGTCAGCAGGAGTAAAATGCACTTGTCTATTGGTTAAAGTAACGAGAAGTGTCCCTCTAAAAATCAACTCCCAACTGGGCCTCCCTGGTGGCACAAGGGGTTAAGTCTCAGCGCTATCAAGCTATCAGCAGCCACTGCAGCACAAGTTTGATCCCCCGCCAGGGAGCTAACCCACAGGGCACAGCAGACTCTCCTGTCTCCCTGCTGCTCCCTTTAGCAGTGCATTCCGCCTGTTCTGCTCCTTGCTCTGTCTCTGGTGATACCTCTGGCCTATACCCCTGTCTTGTATGCATAAATCAATCTGAAAAAAAAAAAAAAAAAATCAACTCCCAACCTTCATTCCTCGTGGCTGTGACATAATTGAACCACTCTTTCACACTCGCCACTCCATGGGGTGGGTTTTCGTGACGGCGCCTGGTTATCTTGGTTATTGTGGCCATAGGGCTTTCCAAAGCACCACAAGGTTTGGTGACCATGGTATTGTGGCCTAGATGGAAGTCCAGTGTCTGCACAATATACGTGGAATGATCGCTGGAGCCTAGAGGAGAAAAGTTTATATTTAGATGCAGAAAGATATGTCCCTAAAGCAACAGATTTATTTATAAAAGTCATAATCACAAATGACTTTTTTATTTTAGTTGTCACTGGTTTATCCCCAGTAAGATAAAGTGCATCAACCTTTATCTTCATCATTAACCCACTGAGTAAGAGAGGAAAGCTAAAAGGAGTTGGGTTTATCAAGGTAGACAGAGGCAGAAACAGCCTCCCACCAAGTTTATGGTGCAGTCTTCCCTGACAGTCTCCTCACACTAACTCTGTGTGTCTTCAGGTTTTTATACAGAATATTGGCAGTAACTATTAACGTGACCATGGCCAGCCACGGCAGAAGGAGGCAGTGAGAAGAAAGATGGCAAGTTCAGAAAACAGGTCCTTCGACAAATTCCAGGCTGGTCCTTCAGCCGCAAACTCCTTGACATGCCAGGTGCATGGTAAAACACAGAGAGGAAACATGATTCGGGGGAGGAAAACTACGCCATTTATAAGCATCACGCAAGGATAGGGAAAAGTAAAAGCTAGAAATATATCAATTTACCATCTTCCCAGATTTTCTGAGCTTCGGTCCAAAAAGCAATATTTGGTTCTTCTAAATGAAAAAGGGCCCAGGACTTTGAACGGAAATTTGGACCATGAAAACAAGCCAGTGTCATGTGATTCCCATGTAAGCTCATGGAGCCTCCAAACTGCATCCCATCTTCGGGGAGCGGGATCTGGAATAGGGAGATGTGGCATCCCGACACCACCTTCAGGACTCCTGGCCAGTGTCGATGGTGAGCTGCGTCCAGCACTGCAAGGAAACCAGAATGCTTATCCAGGAGTGCCCGTGCACATGGGAGTGGGCACTTACTACAGCAGAGGTGATTCAGGCAGGGGCCGAGCACCTGTCAGCTGTGAGCTGAGGCTGAGCTACAGAGAGCCTCGCAGAAGACAGTGCCTAACACTGTCTTGGACAGAACCAAGTCGTTTGCCAGCAGTGACTAACTCTTCTGGAAAGGTCCAGGACTTACAAGGTGCTTGCATGACGTTTTGTAAGTTCTCCCCTAACTGTGCAACTCGGGTATTTCACCCAAACTCTCCGAGTGAGGGGGAAGAGGGTGTTGGGGAGCCACTGAGTGGGAGGCTGAGAAATCACTGGCAGGACCCCTGACCCTAAGGGCTGGTTTCCTTCACCCTCTCCGAGCCCAGCGGCCTGAGGGTGGGGTCCAAGCAGCAGCAGCAGCAGCAGCTGGCCCTGCCAGGCCGGTGGGTTCCAGGGGCCATTCCAGCCACGGTTTGGGAAGCAGTCACCACACCCCCGTTCATAGTCCTTGTGCCAATAATGTCTTTTCAGCTGGTGTCCACACGTCATCCAGGGTCCAGCCAGGCAGCACATGTGGTGCCTAGTGGTCTCTTCTGTCTCCTTAACTCCATGATACCCCCTAGGCCTGTCTGCCTTTGTAGTGAGGGCTTTCTGGAGACGACCCTTTTATTTGTGCCCAAAGCCAACTTGTGTTTCAAGGGCCCGTGGGGACGAGACAGGCCACAAGGAAGCAACTGAAGGAAACCAGAAGGGGGAGCCAGTGGGCTGTGTCCCCTCAGCAGGTCAGGTCACGAAAGGGGCTGCGCCAAGTTAAAAGAGCGTGGGAGACACTCCCAGGTTCCGCCTGGGATTGAACCGGATGTGCTGGTTCGGACCAACCAGTTGTGAAGGCAGTTTTAGGCCAGTTGTGGAATGTGGGCCCAAGGCTAGAGCAGATGGTCAGCAAAGGGAAAGCCAGAGACCACGGAGGAGGCCACACCAGCGAGAGCAGCGTGTTGGCACCGAGCACAGGCGTAGGAGGCGCCAGGGAGGGCCTGAGCGCGCCACAGCGTCTGCGTGATTTGCAGACGGATATGCCATTTTAATAATTTTTTGTTTCTGTGATAAAAAGTCATTAAAAGTGCCCTGATTTCTACCGTGTTTATGTCTCTGTCACTCCAGGTGAAGCCGCCACCGTGTGCGGCCTGGATTCTGTAGTAACTACCGCTGTGGCCTCTGCTTCCACCATTAACTACCTGGAGCAGCCAGAGGGCCAGAGTGAGGTTATTAAAAAGGTGTGTTTCGACAAAAAAATAAGATGTTTCAAAACTCTCTGACTGCTGGCCATCGCCTTCAAAGCCCTGGGCCTGCCTCTCTGAGTGCAAGCCCATCCCCCACTTGCCTGCTCTGCCCCACTACGGGGGGCGCCATGATGGGTCTCACACCCCCACCCCCAAACCCTCCTCCCTTCAGCGCAGGCTTTCTGACCACCCTTCTAAAGTACCTCACACCATCGCGTGCCTCTCCCCCGTGTCCCCCTGCTCTGAGCACGTCTCTCCCTGAACTACCCCAACGCCAGGAGAGCCACAGCTGCAGGAGCTCGGCAGCCCAGTCCGCCGGACACACTCCTGTGCCCATGGCAGAGCTTCCCAAGCACCTGTTGGCTGAGACCGTGAGTGAAAAGAATGATGGTCTGGAGTAGCCCGGCCTGAGACTCTGACTCCACGCCCTGAACCAGGAGATGCTCCTCGCCTAGTTACCAGGGTTCAGAAGCTGGGGGGGACCCGAGGACCCCCTGAATCACGGCCCTGCCTACTTCCAGCAGCCACAGGAGAGCAGGCCCACAACACTCAGCTCTGATGCTTACACTGCTCCTGAGAACTCCTCTCCAGGCTGGTGGCCGTTGTCTTGGGGGGGAGGTAAGGGACCGGTCCCCAGGTAGACAGGGCTCGTTTGCTGGTGTCGAACTGCTGTGTGAAAAACTCCTGGAGCTTCATTCCTATCTTTATCAGGTCTGGTGTAGTTGATCTTGATATCATCACTTGAAAAATATCCCACTTCAAATCTCCATGGACAAAAATTTCACTGGACATGAAACAATATCATCAGTAGGACATAGTTAAGATACAAGAACAATTCTCCCCCACCTGCTCTCGTTCGTGTTCGTATCGCACAACACAAGTCCAGGGACCGGAGCAAACGCCTCCTGGGCAGCAGTGTGCTAGTGGCTCTCGTACCTTTTGTCGGTCATGCTCGAGTCCAGCGTGTTGCACAGATTCACTTTCCACTCGTCCTGGAGCTTCAGGTCGGCGTTGCTGAAGATCCCCATGAGGATGCTGGAGCCCATGTAGTCCACACGCGCCTCGGTGGAGCCCATGGTGATCTGGATCTTGTGACTGGGCTGCTGGTTTGGATGCTCGGATATGTGCGCTGCGGCAGACAGAGACCACGGTCACTTCTCTCAGGAAAGCCTCCTGGGAAAAACGCACCAAAATCCATTTCAGAATCGTTTCTCGGTGCATCTTCCAGTTGCCAAGTGGGACTTACCGACCATCTCCAGAGCGTTCACGTCGATGGTCCCTCCGACAACCCCACCTTTGGAATCTAACTGTGACCGTCCCAGGCCCACTGACATGCTGATCTCGCGGTCCCGGTTACTTCCTACTGACAGGCGGCCCTGGCTCTTCAAACCACTGGTCGTCCAGCTGAAACAGAAAATCGCACAGGCTTCCATGTTGTGATTTAAAACAGCAATTCAGTCAGATGCTTTCCAAAATGTTTGATACTGAAAAATACGTTTTATAAAAACTGGTGAATGGGCCTCCCCTGGTGGCGCAGCGGCTGAGCGCTGGGTTGCGAGGCTGCCCACAGCCTCTGCAGTGCCAGATCGATCCCCGGCCACCGGCGAGGGTCCCACAACAAAAAAACTGTGGTGAATGTTCGAGTGCTGATGATGCCTCTTAGCTAGAAAATTACACAATTTTCCACGTAATTTTTTAGGGTAGTATTTCATGCTGTTTAATAGTCATCGTTAGGATTAAACAATTTCTTTCGTCTGTCTTTACCATCTCAAACATTTAAGTGTTAAAGAGTTTTGAGTTATCTTATGAGAAACGCCGCAATGACTAAAGGCATTTTCTTTGTGTCAAGCAGCTTACGTCGTGTTCCCCATCACGTTGCTCATGTTCATCTGGACGTTCAGTTGCTTCAGATTGATAGCAAACACCACCAGTGTCTCCCACGGGGCCCCTTGCTGGCTCGCTGCTTTGCTTGACTTGTTGAAAGGAGTTGATGTTTTTGAAAGCGAATCTAAAAACAAAGATTGTGAGCAAACGCTTACTCACACAGATGCTCGGGGCAAACCCAGCCTCACGCTGCAGCCCCCAGACCACACGCCTGGGCTGAGACCTGCGCCCAGCAGCGCTCACATCAGCCCCCACGAGAGCTGCTCTGCCCGCCCTGGCAGCGTCCGCACGGCCTCCGTCTCCGGGCCCACCTGGGGTCTCTGCGGAGGCCCTGCACCAGCTTATTACCCTCCCGCCTCGCCTGTGGTGCCAACTGTGTCACTCACTTCTATTTTCCTCAATACATAAAAGAGCCCAGGGGCCTAAGGGACAGGGCTGGACTGAACTGGGAGCTGGGTGAACATGAAGACTGGCCGACGCCTCCGTCTGTTCTACTTGCTCTGCTTGAGATGGCGCGCCCCTTGCCCTGTCCTCCCCTGCTCACGGCCCCCTGCTGCCTCCCGCCGCAGGCCGTAGCCGCAGGCTGCAGCTGCAAGTGTTTGGACTGGGGGAGGGTCCGGCAAGAATGTGTCTCCCTGCGTTTGGGGCAGGAGTCGGGCCCTGAGGGCTCCTGGCAACGGGAGCAGTTACCTCTGCGGGGAACTGAGGAGTCGGACACGCTCCGGGATCGTGTGGGTGCGGGGGACTTGAGGCTCTGCGCCGCAGTCCCCGGCGACATGGTGCTGCCGGCCACGTGCTCGCCGAACACGCTGGGCGACTGAGGCGTGTGGCTGAAGGAGGCCGACTGGCTGGGCTGCTCCCAGGCCCTACAGTAGGCTTTCCTCGACGACTCTGGGGAAAGGTGCTGGCTCACCCCCTCGACGGAGTCGGGCGTCCCCGGGCCTGACGCTGGCAACAAAGGAGGGGGGGGACATGCAAGACCATTCACTGTGCCACCCCTGTGAAAGAGGCTGCCTGTCCCCTGGCCTGCCTGTACTGGACGCGGCCTGGCCAAACCACTGATGGGAGGGCGGACAGGAGGCACAGGCCAGACCGGTGCCTGCTGCTCCCTGGTGCCCCTCAGTCTCCGCTCCTCTCCCGACACCCACATCTAACCCAGAGGGACGGCCAGGAAGCAGGGGAGCCCCGCCCGAGTGCCCCGTGGATGCCGCCATGCTGCATGTCCAGACCCCGTGGCAGGCTGGGCCCCGTGATGCTCACCTGGCAGGTTGACAGTCTGGTCCCCGAGGAAGAGGCGCCGCGCAATGCTGCGCCGGTACCAGGCCCGGGGGAAGGCCAGGATCTCGCTGAGCCGGCGCATGTCATACTTGAAGGAGGCGGACCCGATGTCGCAGACAGCTGCAGGACAGCGTGTCAGGGCAGTCCCGCGGCGCGGCACTGTCCACGCGCTACGAAGGCTGTACATCCCGACAGGGCCCCTGCCGGGGCTCTCAGGAAGGCCCAGGCGGCCAGGCTGCTTCCCCAGCCTCCCCAAATCCGGGGCCTCCAGGCTGCTCTGGCCTCCCTCCTCACTCCACCACGGCCCGGCTCCCTGCCCGCCTGCTGCCTGCGCCAGAGGCTCACGCTGGTCTCCTCTGCTGCTCCCAGACCTGCCCCCCAGCATCTGAGTGCTCTAAACTTCCCCTGGAGCTCCCCCTTCACTGCCGTGGTCCATGCCACGGCCACGGTGCAGGCGATACAACAATATACCCAACCCTCTTCAGTGCTCTGAGAATTTACGATTATAAAAACCAAACAAATCAGAAATTCCAGCACTCCTGGTAGGGAAGGAGGGAGAGTTAAGTCTCGCCAGGCATCGTGGCCCATGGAGAGGTCTCCAGGCCACCCAGAAGTCCTTCCTGCATGGAGACACACCCGGAGGCCTTTCCTCCACATCGGCTTCTCGTGGTCAGCAGTTTACACATTACGGGTGACGGCCTAAGGGGACCCTTATTTCTGAAAAGTAGTTTCAAAATGCAAATACCAGATATATTTATCAGCGTGGTGTCCACCTTGCCTGCAGACTTGCCCGAGGGCTGACCCTCTGAGAACGCGGCGCCTCCGGACCGCCTGATGCGGGACAGACTCACTTTCACAAACTCAAGGTTGATGCTGAGAGAGTCTTTCCGGCCAGTGACCGAAGTGGGCTCTTCATCCACATTCCCTGGAGCAGAAACACACACGCCAGCCAGTCAGACGGGACGGGGACGGGCCCCGCGGGGCATCGGGCCGGTCAGTGCGGGAGCAGAAGGGCTGGTGGGCAGGGGTGGCCCCAGCGCAGGTCTTTACGAGCCTCTTCCAGCGAAACCAGACTTGGGGGTGTCTGCCTCCGCCTGCGCTGTGAGAGCTCAGTGAAATGCAGGTTCACTGAAATTATGGAACGAGTCTCGTTTCAATACAACAAATGTGACGGACACTCTAAAAATTCACTATTTATAGAACCCCTTAGGGCAGTGATTGGGGGAAACACAAGTAACCTTTAGACCCCGAGACTACTGTGCTTTAGATGACGTCAATATTCTGAGTTCTTAAACTCTTACATGATACACCTGAGTCATTTACTTCCCATTTCCACCTGTGGAGGGAGAAGCAATTATCAAAACGAAAAACGGACGTTTCTGGTCTTGTCTGGTATCCATCATGTAAGGCGTCGTGTTTCTGGAAGGACGCAGTTAATCAGATGGGGGACAGACGTGCCACGCGTACCTAGGCCTCCGGAGCCGGCTGTGAGGCCAGAGACGGCCGTTTTCTGCTTCCCGGCCCCGTAGGGGTGGAAGACGTACAGGGAGAAGTCCGACATGCAGGCCGTGAAGCTGAGCCCCGAGGAGCTGCTGCTGGCGCTGCTCAGGTCTGACTGGCTGCTGCTGTGCCGGCTCCTGCCCAGGGGGCTGCCCGGTCCCGAGGAGCCTGCAGGGCACAAGACGCGGGATCTCAGCAACTCCGCAGCGCAACGCCGGCCACACAGGCGTGGACACACGGGACACGGCGGCCGGGTGGCCTCCCCGGTCTTTGAAACAATCACTGCTGCTTGGCCAAGGCCAAGGTTTTTTGCTCCCCTTCCCCTCTGCCCCGCAGGAAGTGGCCATGGGCAGGAACAAGAGTTGGGTTGAAGCAAAGGGAGCGAGAACTGTGGAACCCAAGCCCTGGCGCCGGAGTGCATGCGGGGGGGGAGGAGGGGGGGCAGCGGTCACAGCCCCCAGCTCGATGTGGTGGGCACCCCAGAAACACCCAACAGTGGAGAGGCCAGCGTGAGGCCACCTGGTTCCAAAATGCATGCCCGGACACCCTCTGGCCTCACAACTTGTGACGCCCCCCCCCCCCATTCCAGGCCTTGCGGGCTCCTGACTGTGTCTGGGGGACCCTTGCTCTCCCCGTGTTTCCAGATCTCACAGGCGATGCCTCCATGCACACTGCTCAGCTGGAAACTCGGGTCCACCCTACCCCCACCCCACCTCTCGCTCCCTATCCCGAGCTTATCACCTTCCACCCCCACGTCTGCCCCTCACCGCCTCTCCGGCCTCAGCAGGGCCACTCTGGGCGGTGGGCAGTGAGCCCGGGCCCTGCTCCAGCCCCCACCCGCTGGCCTCCGCGGGCGCCACGTGCCCGTCTCGGCCCGCCCTGCGGGGGCTGCTCTCCCCACACCCGCTCCTCCACTCCAGGTGCGGGGCTCCGGCCCGGGGCCGCGTTTCCTGCCCCAGCGCCTCCCCAGCCCTGTGTCTCCCCAGCCCTGCGTGGCCGACTCACACACATGCTTCGTTCCCACTAAGTCTCCAAATTCAGTTACGTTGCCCATAGCAGGGTCCCCCCAACCAAGCCCTGAGGTGCCCGTGAGCGGGGGACCCCCAGAGGGCGGGGCGTCAGGTAGCCTGAACTTGCCCTTGCGCCCCCAGGCCGCACCGCAGGAGCGCCTCACAGCCTTCACTTTCTAAAGACTTGGAAAGCGTGGGCGCCACGCAGCGCCCCTCACACCCCGCTCCAGTTTTCGTGATAATTTTCCCTTTTCTGGTATCTCTAAAGGTATTCGATAAAATCCTACTTGCCTTAGAGATTTGCTGTATGATTTTCAAGGCAGAAATCACAGCGAACGCCAACGTAGGTAAGAGTGACTAACTCATCAGGAAATGCTCAGTTGTTTTAAAAACAAAACCTTTCACGGAAAGGACACTTGCTCAGGTAACAGAATTTACTGCCGAAAAGCAGATGCGGTCCTCGATGAGCTTTTAATCCAGTGCAATAAGGAATCTCCTCACAAGGCAACGCCCACCTCATCTTCTATGAGAGCATGAACACACTCCGAAGGGAACCGGCGGCCGCTCACGCCAACACCGCAGGCAGGCACTGCCGGCCGCCGCGTGCCCCAACAACACACACTCTCAGCCGCAAACACCGTTTCCACGCTCACTCGGGATCTACACGATCATCCCGCGCACACCAGAAGGCAGCCCATACCTGGCGTCCCACTCTTGCTGGCACACGGCTTGGTCCCGCTCTGAGCTGCGGCGCCTGCTGGGGACGACGCCTCCGCGGGGTGCACAGCGCCCAGGGTCTCTAGCTCCCCGCGGTTTGAAGAGAAGACCAGGTCCAGGGACGGCAGCTTCAGCATGCACTCCACGCGCGACACGGGCAAGCAGCTGAACTTGATCTGTGAAGGCTGGGCGGGCACAGGACGGCTCAGGCGGGCTCAGGCCTGGACGGCTCAAAGCTCTGCCACCGGCTTCCCAGCACCTGTGATTTTCACTTCAGTCCACAGACACCAGATGTATTACCTGACGCGCAGGAGGACTTTGACTTTGATGTTCAAGCTTTCCCAAATGGTTCATTTCAAAAAATGTAAATATTCGAGGAACTATTTCTAAGCAGTAAATGTTTAGAAATTTAGGTAATTCAGGACACGAAAGATGCTTATTATGTCCCTTATACCAAAATTTTAAAAGGCTGTTTGTTATATTAATAACAAAAAAGTTCTATAAATTCTCAGGTCCTCAGCCACCGTTTTATCAGCTCTTCAAAAGAGCCAGCATGAAAACCAGGCTGAAGCACGTCTGGCCCAACGGCAGTTGTATAAACACCCCGGCCCGGAGAGCATTAGAGCCGCTCTTGTTCCTGAGGTTGAGCGTAAGTCCTAACTGAGGGTAAACCGGGCCTGAATTTGGACAGGAGGAGGGTTCAAACCCGTATGAAATGAGCCCAGCCCGATGGTGACCCAGACACCTGGGGTGGGCAGCAGGCTGGCGGTTCCAGGGCCCTGGCCATAAACTACGTAACTCGGCAGAGCCCTGCACTGTTGCCCCTGGACTCGGCCTGGGCCGCTCCCGCCCGCCCGCCACCTGGGGCACAGGCGCCCCAGCAGTAAGCTTGCAGGACTCAACCAGCGCTAACTTGCGTATTTCCTTTTGCCACAGAAGTATGAGACCTCAGTTTTGGAAGCCCAGACACTGTCAATCTCCTCAGCAAAACAGAAGCAGCACAGAGCCCAGCCTGCCCTCCTGGGACTCAGGCAGCCACGAGGCCAGCACACGGGCTGAGGGCACGGGGGCAGCACTGCGGGGCGGGAACACACCCATGGGCGTCTCTGCACAACAAAAGCAGCCGCCGAGGAGTGTACCTGGACGCGAACGTACACCACCACGTCCACGGGGAAGGAGGCGTATGCGGACGTGGACGAGGACACCAGCGAGGTCGCGGACTCTTCCATGGGGTCCGGGATCTCAAAGTGCCCCATGTCCTCATCTTGTGAGCTGACTGCTGTAGAAATGTGGGGTTCCAAGTTTGATTATTAGGGCCAGGAAAGAATGTTTGTGAAAAGACCCTTTCCTCTTGTGCGCGTGCTGAGGCCAGGCATGGGAATCCAGGCCCAGCCTGTTGCTCTCCCCGAGCCCGCGAGCCTCCAGCCCCCACACAGGGGTGGGAGGCCTCAGGAGGCGCGTGCGCCCCCAGCTAGTTGTGGCCACAGGAAACCCTTATACCCTCACCAGGACACTGTTTCTCCCAAGCCCCACAAGCTTCAGTATTTATCACCGACACACCACGTAACCCAGCTGGCGCTGAGATGCTCTGGAGGACGCCAAGAGAAACGTGACGGGGTGTAAGGGTCCAAGATGCACTCACTCGTGAAGTTCCTCTCGACGGGCGTGATGGGGATGGTCTCCAGAGCCTTCTCCAGGAAGTCCAGCAGGCAGGGGCTGATGACCATCTCCTCTGGCAATGACTGCAGGGCCACCCAGGCATACAGCTTGGCTGTCTTCACCCCTGCACCCCCTTTTCCTTTGGCTGGAACATTTACAAAGGTGAGGTACGCTCAGTGCAGTTCCCACGAAACGCAGCACTTTGTGAGGAATCAGAGTATAACCATTTCATCTGGGGAGCACCTGACACGCCAAACCACACGGGAAGGCGGTGGCACAGGAGCGTCAAGCGTGAACAGCGCTCACTGGCAGAGGACAGCACGGTCATTCCTACTTGCTCTCAGTCTAGTTCAGGTTCAAGTTTTCAGGTTCATCCTTTGCTAAGTGTCTTGTTAGCATGACTTGAGCGTTTTGCGTCTCAGCATTATTTGCCCACCAGAAAGGGGACAGAGAACTTTAACCAAGAGTTTCTGTGCGAGCTGCAGACTGTAGGCTGACTGCCTTCCTGCTGGCCGCTCTCAGCTGTCCAGCTCATATGCAAACTGTGCCAGTGGCCGGTCCAGCTCGTACGCTCCCTGTGCCAGTGGCCAGTCCAGCTTGGGATGCCCCCTGTGCTGGGGCTGGTCCGCTATTCCTCAGCCCAGGGACCGGATCAGAGTGTGGAGCAAACGGACTCTGGCTATTTTTCTACCCAAAAGTTTAAACTTTGTAAATCTTGCAAAGAAATTCAGCTTCTCTGAGCCTAACCCTTCCTCATCTGTACAGTGGGGGAAACAGCATCCGTCCCGCACCCAGGGGATGTGACTGGGCCGGGTCACTCGAAAGCCTGACACCCTCTAATTCTACCTCCCACGTAAGGGCCCTGCAGCAGCTCCTGCCCTTCCCCCTGCGCTGGGGCAGCTGGCCTCCTGGTGGCACGGCCTGGGGCAGCTGCGTCTGTCCCTAGGCACGGCCACCATGCTGGAGGGGATGTGGGGCTTGGGGTGGGACTTCACCTCGGCCATGCTCTCCTTAGGTCCCTCCTCCTGAGGGAGCCAGGTGCCCCATCCTGTGAGTGGCCCGAGTGGGCGGCGCTGAGGCCTGCTCGCTGGGCGTGGCAGGGGCCCTTGAGGTGGTTGCACAATCAAAGCAACACCCTGACCGCAGCTGCCTGAGGGGCGGCCCGGCAGACCCACAGCAGCATGTGTGCATGGCCAGTACGTATGGGAGGACCTACCGTGTGAGGAAAGACGATGAGGGAGGGAAAGGGGTGAGGCCCAGAGGCTCTGTCTGAAGTGTGGAAGCTGGTGTCCAGCTGGAGCGTAATAAGCTCCCAAATTTGAACTACATGAAACTTTTTCCAGACATACGTGTCTAGAAAGTTCAGGAGGTAGGACATAAAGTTCAACAACCGATGGTCTAAGAGAGCGGCCTGAGAGCAGCCACCTGCCCGGCGCACACCTCTCCCTGTGGGCCCAGCGGCCACCAGGACAGCCCTGTCCTTGCTCTCAAGGTGAATTTGAAAGTCACAGTCGAGCAAGTAGGTGACGATCAAAAAATCAAGTCATGAAAAAAAAAAAAAGTACATTTTCCTTAAATACCTGCGGGAAGAGGTGGGGGTGGGGGAGGAAGTAAGGTGTGAGTCTTGCTCTGGACAGTGCAGGGCAGAGGAGGAGGAGGAGGCGCGCCAGTGTCTCTCATACCAGACAGCTTGGACTCTTTGGAGAGCGTTCTTGGCAGGGAAGATCCTCTGGAGGTGTTGGGTGACTCGGTCTTTAGAGTCTTGGAATTATAATGCAACTGTAGTGAAACAAACACACTTTCAAAGTTAAAACCACGCAAGTGAGGAGAGCCAAGAAATGCAGAGAAGTGAGGCAGGAAGACCGGCCCAGGAGCCCAGGCCCGGCCAGGCCTACAAGCTGTGGTCCCAGCAGCTCCTGAGCTTCACCTGTGGTCACAACTAACACGGTCGCCCAGACCACGCTCAAGGTTCTAACTAGCGCCACATCCTCGCACTCTGTAATTCCAGAATCTAAAAAAATAAGTGTTTAGTAAATTTGCACTAGCAAGTCCCAGCAGGTATGTTATGAATACCAACATATTTTCAAAAAGGAAATTAACTTCTTTCTTTCTTGCAAAATTTCATGGAAAAGCTGCATCAGGCACGCGGCAGCGGCACGCCAGCGTCCCTGCAGCCAGAGCAGGCCGGCCAAAGGGGAGCCCGAGGCCGCACGGGCCGCGGCGGGCAGCATGCTGGTACCTTCACGTCCACCCCCGGGATGTAGAACACCGTGGTCTCCTGGTCACCAGGTTTTGTCTGCAGTGAGGATGGCACTTTCTTGCCAGCCATTAAGTGGGTGGTGGATGCATAATTAGTTTGAAACTTCTTCTTTTTTGAGGGAGAATCTTGATCTAGACTCCTGGAACTTCTGTCATAACTCCTGTAGATACAAACGCTGTTTTCACTTTCAGAAAAAAAGTACATTTTTCTCTTTCACTCATACATTGGCTTAACCCTCACGACCGTGTCCCAGGGAGCAGTGAGGCCCCTGGCGCGGCGGGAACCACAACGCCCGCCGCTCTCTGGGGCTCAAGGAAATGAGGGGCGCCAGGAGCCCCGCCGGGCAACGGCCCATGCTGGCAAACCCCAGACCTACAGACGCAAACGGGACCTGGGATGGGTCACAAGGCCCGTCCTGCCTGCTTTTGCCACTTTCCACCCCTCCTGTCCACCTGCCCACTCAGTTCTCCCTATTTCTCATCATTCTTTTTCAGATTAGGAAAGAAAAGCAAAATGAAATTCGAAGTAAAAAGCAACGGATCGTCAGCAGGAAACCACTCACACTGATACACTGTAAGGCCAAGTGCAGTCCCTGCAACAGCGTGTGCCCAGCCCTCCAGCCAGGCCGTCAGACCCGGCGCCAGCCTTCTGCTGGGCTGACCGCTGGGCAGCCGCCCATGCCGCAGCGCTGACCCACAGACTGCCCTCGCCCGCCCCTGGCGCATTCTGCTCCCAGTCCCTGGTTACGGACTCGGCGAGACCCCTGATGAGCAGGATGGCCCTGAGGACTACATGGCCCTTTGAAACAGAAGTGGGGGTGGGCCCCCCTCAAAATAAACCAGAAATGTGCACAACACCAGGGCAGAGGTCAACATAGAAACTTCTGCTTGTTTAAAGGAGAGTTCCCAAGATGCCACCACCTCAGTGAACACACTCGCCAGAACCTAAATCAGCATCCCCTTCTGACTGCCAGAGAATGTCACACCCATGTGGAAAGAACAGCATGTTCTACAAACACTACAGCTGTGGTCACACCTTGGCTTTAAATCCGTGTCTTGGGGAGGTAGGGGGTCAGTGTGGGGTTGAGGGCTCTGACACCGGGCCGGGGGGGGGGTGGTCATCGCGGGGGCCTTGTCGACAGGGTGGGGGGCCCACCTGCGCAGGCTGATGTCGTCGTGCTCCTGCAGCAGGGTGCTGGGGTGCAGCACGCACTTCCCGCTGTCGATCTCCACCCGGATGTCCAGCTCAAAGTCGATGTTCCTCTCTGTGGCTGCGCCGCCGAGGCTGCGGCTGGCGGGGGCCGTGGGCCAGCGCTCCGTCAAGAGCTGGTGGACGGCAGCGAAGCCCGTTGCTTTCTTGCGCATCGCGTGCCTGCGGGAGAGAGCCGATGTTGAGGGAGGGCGCGATGGGCTGAATGGCCGCAGCTCTGAGGACCCACACGCCCCACGGCCTCCACAGGTGCTGAGGCTCCGCCTACGTCAGAGACGGCCAGGACGGGGCGCCGAGCGTGTGCAGGGCGATGTCTGCCCCCGCTGACATCGTGATTTCATTTTTGTTAGTGATACAGTCAAATGCCAGTTTCTGGACTTTGTTAAAACGCACGAGGATGGGGAGGGGCAGGACGTGGGCTGGCCGCGACAGCCTGGGATTCATTTCTCCAAATGCGCAGTCACCCCAGCTGCAGCTCGCACTCCTGAACGACCACCCGAGGGTCTTCAGGCCACTCACGAGGGCTTCCTGTAAATGCAGCGCCGCTCCCGCTCGTGGCCCTCGTCCCGCTCGGAGTCCTCGCTGCTGGAGGACAGGCTGTCGTCCCGCCGGCCCTCTTCAGCCTGGAAGGCAAGGCCTGGGGAAAAGCCCCCTGGGGTCCTCGGGGAGCTGAACACGGAGCACGACCCTTCGCTGTGGGACGAGTAGTGGGGGGGCCCGTCCACGGTCACGGACAGAAGGTCCAGCTCTGTCTCCTCTGGAAACTGACCGCAGAGAGAGACAGCGTCGATCAGCTCATCTCAGAAATCTCTTCTCATTTTAAGAAAGAAAAACAGAAGCTTAGACATGGTCAGACCCTGTCAGAGCTGGGAGTCCTCGCTCTGCCGAGGGAAGGTCCGACTGCGGGCATGTGGCTGGGACAGCGAGGCAGGAAGCAAGGCCTGACCATGGGAGTGGCTGGAGGAAGCCCGGCGCGCCCCACACCCTCAGCAGGTGGCTGGAGCGGAGCGGGTGCTGGGGGAGGTGAGGGAGGCGCTGGCTGCGGGTCTGCCCTCTGGGATGAGCCCTGCAAGCCGACAGGCCGCGACCAAGCGCCCAGCCCTTAAGAATGACCCAGTCACTTCGCGGCGAGCAGCACCGAGTCACGGCCGAACAGCTGGCACCACCACGCCACGTCTCAGTCGGGAGACCGTTGGACGTGTTTTCTCCGCCTAATTAGTAGAAGCCGTTAAATTAACTATGAACGATTTATTGCCAAGTGTGCTTTTTTTTTTTTAAAGGACATGCTCACTAAGCTCACCAAGTGAAAATTTAACAGCTCTGAACCACATCAGTTCACGGAATCCCTCTGGGATACACGCTGGTCCCCAGCTTCAAAGAGTGGGGAGGAGGCACGGGAATGTAGGTGGAATAAGGACAGTTTTTAATTGTGACTTGACAGGAAATTTCTAGACAAAGATTTATGTACATGGTATAAGGATATATTTTAAAAATTCCATTTTACTTTTATGAAGCAAAATTCCATTTAGGAAAAGCATCTGCTCCTGAGCGTTAAGCCGACTCTTGAACAGGGAGGTGGCGGCTCCGCGCGGCCGAGCTGGAGGCAGCTGTCAGGGACGCGCACATGGGCCTCCGACGCCAGAGACTCAAGAGATGCGTGTGAGGGTCTGTTATTCCGAGGGACTCGAGACTCCAGTTTCCAATAGTTACCCAGCCCTCCCCCCCTTTGTAAAGGAAAGATTCATGGTGCAGTGGGATGTAGGGAAAAGGGTTCATTGGGGGATTAACAACAAAAGTTTTAGCTCCATGACTCGGCTAACAGTCTTTTTTAATTTTGGAAAGAAACACTAAATTACACAGAAGAGTAGAATTAACACGTATCTGTGCAAGTCTGTGAACTACGCATGATGAAAAAGATTAGCCCTTTATAAAACGACTCCTGAGGCCGGGGTTTAGTGCGGAAGGAATGACAGCTTGAAAGCAGGTTTAGGGCGGTTAGTTAGCGTCAAAGCGAAACGCAGGCTGATCTTAAATACCTGAGGAAACCCTTCCCCGGAAACGCTGGATCGTGGCGTGCTTTCCCATACTGTTTTTTTCAACTTAATTAAAATAAAAAAAAAAAATTGAAAACTTATAAAAGTAAAAAACATGGCTTGAAAGTAAATATACAAAAGACAAACATTTTAGCAACTTTTAACACGCCGCCTTGAAGCTGACCTTCCGCCCCAGCTCTGCCACGCCCTCTCCTTTCTGCGCGAGAACGCCGAGCGGCAGAGCGTAAACGTCGCACACTTACGTGGATTTGCACTTGACAAAAAGAAAAATCACCCAGGACACTCTCCCGCCTGAAGGCAGCTGCACGGCCAGGGGCCAGGACCCTGGGCGACCCTTCAGGCCCCGGTGGCTGCCAAGCTCCACGTGCCCAGGGCACCCTCTTACCGTGTCCTGGATGTTGAAAGTGACCCTGGGCCCGGGAGAAGCAGCGTCCACACGGATCTCAGGGAGCTCCTCTGTCTCTCCCGCCCGAGAGCTGTGACACAAGGAGCAATGACACCCATTTCAGAAGGGCCTGGGCTCACGAACATCTGGTCCATGAATCAACATTCCATGTCCAAAATCTCTCTCATCCAAGGACCAAGCTTCTGGTTTTCCACTTCAAAGCCACAGCATCCCACAAAAGAGTCGGACTTTTGTTTGACACAAGTGTGTGAAAACCAGGCATGTGAGACAGAACTGACATCTCTCACCCCCCAGGGCGGCTGCCGGGTGGGGATGGCCCTGACATCAACGACACATTTGTCCCCCTTCCTCCAGGTGCTAAAGGCAGTGCGACCCGCCTTCCCTCGGAGGCCAGTCGGAGCCGCGCTGGGGCAGCCCCGCTCGGCAGCAGCGCTCGGGGCGGCCCGCAGGGGACAGCCGCCGCGCCTTGGCCTCGTGAGCAAGTGTCCCGTGGAGATGGTTTGCTCTCCCGTCTCTGGCTGAAACAAGTACTACCTTGTCCTTTCCATCCGTTTGAGGGGGGGCCTTCCAGACGCGGAAATGCTTTTCGATCGACTGTAACTTGGTTTGTAGCTCAGACCCCACTTGTCCTTTAGGGAAGCGGCCTAGGGAGCCGGGAGAGGACAAGCGGTGGTATTATTAGCTCGCAGGACAAGCCCCCCAGGTCGGGGCAGGCGGCTCACAGCCGCGGCTGAGTATTTCCCCAGGGAACATCAGAGCAGGGCAGGGGTGGGGATGCCCTGTCCTCACGGCATCGGGGGGCGGGGAGCGGGTACAGCCATGAAGACTGAAGAAGGAAGGGCCATGACGACTTAGGAGGAGGGTCCCGGAGAGCCAAGGGGACGGGAGGGGTGGGAGAAGCCCCTGGAGAGCGCGAGGAGGCCGCAGGGGCGCAGGGATAGAACCAAGGGGTCGCCTCCTCCTCAGCTGGCAGCCAAGGTCTTGGCAGCAAAAAAACCCCAGTAAGACCCAGTGGGATGGAAGGGGCTAGAAGGGAGGCAGAGGGAAAGTGGGAGAGAAGCGAATGTCCAGAAGTCAGATGCACTGCAGTGACTGGCCAGGCCGCCCTCCTGAGTGATACTTTTAAGTCTCCTATCGGTGTCAAGCACCTTCCAAACAGTGCGGGGTCAACGTTTTAATCCCAGTGTACCCCGCCACTGTCTGGAGAAGTTCTAGAATGACTCTACTACACCTCACAGTACGCATCTGTGCGTTCACCTCAAGTGCTCAGAGACTGGACAAGGGGTAGGGATATCATTTGTTCTTTGAGAAACTCGAAGTCTGGTGAGGACGAGCAGCCTGAGGCAGCTCAGACAGGCCTGGGTACGGAGCCCTGGCGGGCAGAGGCGGTGTGGCGTGACCTCCCCATGAGCGGGGTCGGAGGTCGACAGGAAGGCGCCTGCAGGAAGGTGGTAGGCGGGGCAGACGGGAGCCTCCACCACGCAGGCTTCCGTCTTGGGCCCTCGGGACTTACAGCCTTGGTCAAATTACTTGATGTCTCTGTGACTCAGTTTCCCCCCTTTAAAATGGGGACATTGACACAAGCTGCTTTCAGGGATGTGTGGGACCCACAGGCTATGGGGCGAGGCCCTCGGGTGCAGGCACCCGGCGGAGATGAGGCCACCACAGCCCCCATGGTCGCCTCGAGCAAGGGCCGGCCCGCTCACCCGCATGCTGGATCGACGCAGCTTCTTGCGGACGTCTCTCCGGATGTCGTTCACGGCAACGGACTCCAGCTGCTGGTAGCGCTGGATCTCCTGGTTGATGGTGCCCTCGCTGGCGCCCAGTTTCCTGGGGGAAAGCAAAGGCGTCGCAGTGACGCGCAGCCGCATGGAGTGGCTCTGCCTGTCCCTTCAGGGAGCCGGAGTCTCCGCCCCGACCGGCGAAGCCCTGGGCTGGCCCTGCAGCCTGAGACAGCCATGGCACCGGGTCCCGCGCCCCTGCCGCACCCAGATCCTCCAACAATTTCTGTAGGAAAATTCTACATAGAATTGACGCCTAAGGCGAGGCTTTACGAGAAGAAGCCTGCTCTGCCTCACGTCATTTTTTCCTAAGAACAAAGCTCGAACTGCAATGTCAGTTCACAGGAACGTGGGGTACTGCATCACAGTGAACCCACAGACAAGCTTTGAGGCAAGCCCCCATCAAGGTACAAAATGCACATATTCATGTAAAGTCCTTGAGAGCAAAAGAACCACGAGTCAGGTGTTGAAGACCAGGCAGGCGGCGGGAGCCGCTGCGGGCAAGAAGAGGACCAGCAGCCCCGCGCCCGGAGGACAGGTTCAGTCCCAACCCACCCGCAGGTTCTCGGCTGCTCTCCCAAGTGTGGACAGCGCTGCCCATGTCCTGAGGGCCTAGCCGAGGCCGCACCCAGGCCCGCGGTTGGCGCTCAACACGTGCATAGTCCATTCCCCACTTAAAAGCCGTCACCCCCACAAACATGAGCGTCGCAGGAGCCAGATGTGCGTTGTGCACCAGCAGATGCAGCATCTGCTGGTGACAGGCGGCCCCGCAGAAACCACACGTGGGTTTCAGAGGAGCAGCCTAGAGGAACGTCTGGTCTCAAGCACCACCCACCCACAGCCCCGCCAGCGACGCCCCATCACCGCACGCACTTGAGGTCATCTATGACCTTGGCCTGCTCATTCAGCTCCCTGATGTCCACCACACGCTTCACGGCCTTCCTCCCCCGCAGCTCGCCCGCCTGGCTGCCAGGAGCCCCTGGTCGGCGGTACTCCGCGGCTTCCTGAAAGAGCAAGAGCAGATGCTCACCGCCGCCCTCAGCCGGCCGCTGCACCGCCCGGACGGCGCCGCAATCAGAGCAGCATGCGAGAATCAGGCCGAGTGCCCGGGGTGATCGCCAGTGATTGGTAGCCGGTGAGCTGGGGCACAGCCCCGTGCCGCCACCTACATTTCCCCAGGAGTGGGCTCTGCATGCTCTCTCGTGGGTCTGGCCCCCCTCAGGGGGGCCCCGTGCCTCGGGGCCACACAGAAGCTCTGCAGGAACAGAAAGGCGCTGCTGCGGGGGCCGCAGGCCCAGAAGGTGGTTCACCAGACGCTGCCCGAAGGTGAGCTTGTGGCCGTCTCCACTGGCCGGGCCTCCCTCTGTGCGCTGCATGAACAGTCCTGTTACTCCTCTCCAGGCCTCCCCCACGGAACTGCCCACGGCAGGCAAGGCGTCTCCGCCAACCGCAGCGGAAGCGTGACAACCTCCTTGGTGCTGAGGCGCGAGGACCCTGTCTGTGCCTCCACTGCGGCCGCCCCCACCCCACCCCTGCTGTCCGCAGGCACCTGCGGTCACCGTGGGCCAGTCGGGGGCAGACATGTTGAGCAGCGTCGCGGCCCGAGAGGCACGTGGCAGGGGGGCGAGGGCCGCCCACAGCGACTCACCGCGTGGGTGGTGGGGGACGCGGCGTCCACCTCGTCCTCATCCGACAGGTCAGCCATGTTCACCGAGGCGAGGTCGGCGATGTCGTCGGCGTCCTCCTCGCCCGTCAGCGTGGTCAGCGTGTTGCCCAGGGCGCTGAGCCGCTTGCCGATGTTGGGGTCCATGTGCACGTCAATGCCGCACATCTTCCAGAGCACGTTGAGCGTCCAGGTGCCGGCGCTGCTGCTCTCTGCACGGAGCGCGGGGGCTCGGGCCGGCCCGGCGGACGGGCGCTGCACCACCCTCTGTCCACCACGGGGGGCCGCCCACTGGGCGCAAACCCACCCCTTCCTGGCCACGCAGGACAGGCTGGGCCAGCTCAGGAGCAGGACCCGGAGGTGCCAGTCCTGGTGAGGGGCCCTAGAAACCTAGGGGCCTGGCCCTTGCCCAGAGAGCCACTCCCCTGGGGGTGCACGGAGGCTGCCACGGGGAGCACGTGAGCAGCAGGATCTGCAACACAATCGCCGCCACCGTCCTCCAGGTCCTGAGTCCGGCGCCGCCCCCACTGGCTTTCCCTGGCTGAACCGATGCCCAGCCTGTCCCCAGCTGTCCAAAGACACTCTATGCCCTTCCCACCGCCACCAAGCCAGGTCCAAGCCCTGGGCACGGGGCGGAAGACTCCCATCTTGTTCCACAAGCCTGCTCGGGCCAAGGGGGACGCACCCGGCTGGACTCTGTGCCCAGGCTCACAGGGTTGCCTCAGGTCTGACCCGCCGTTTTGCCCTGACGCCACCCAGGGGCTGAGTCCCTGTCCAAGGCCTGCCCTTCCTCGAGGCTCCCCCCGCCCTCCTAGAATCCTTCAGTCTGGTCTTTTTCTTTCCTCCTATAACTTTCAATACAACCGGAGTTTCGTATTCAATTGTCCTCATGGCCCACTACAAGTGGTCACCCGGCTGAGCCTCATGGAAGTGGACAGCGTGGACAGAGCCATGCTCACGCCCCTGCCCGCAGCCCTGCACTGCAGCTCGGCCACAGCTGGTCAGTCACGGCCTAGTAAGTGCTCGTGCACGGTCACTGCGCCACACCTAAGCTGGGCAGCCCCAGAAGGTCAGCAGGCACCCCCCCATCCACCGCATACTCACCGGCGGCCGCCTGTCCCGCTGTCCTGGAGCAGACCTCGTAGGTGCCATCTGGAACCACACCTGCTTGGACAGTGGGCCTCAGTGAGGGCTGGGGGCTCCGGTCAGTATCCCCAGTACTTGTCCCCAAACCAGACACAGCTGCCCGCCCAATGCTCGCTCGGCACAGTGACGAGGCCCCAGAGCCTTCCCGCACCGACTCCACCCCACGGCCAAGGGTTTAACTGCAGTTCGAGCTTCCCGTTCTGCCGCGGCTCCTGCTGGTCAGATTCCGAAGGCCAGAGTCTGGGGACTGACGTGGCCTCAGGGGCCGCGGGCTAGACTCAGGGGGTTTATCTCCTCCTCTGCTGAGGAGCTGAGAGGAGACTGGTGGCTGGATGAAGCCACAAGGCAGGGCCCCCAGGAGACCTCAGGGCAGCTGACCAGATGAGCGCTTGGAGACGGGGGGCGCCCTCAGCCCTGGAGTGGTCTTTAAGCACAGAAAGTAGGATCGAGGCCTGCCTTAGTAGCCCTTAACTAATGCCAAGTCTCAGTCTGACCCGGCAGTGTGCACGTCTTAAACAAGGTGTTCTTTCCCAACCCCCAGGCCCCAGCATCACTGGGACCTGAGCTGCAGAAACACCTCTGTTAATTTTGGGACACAGGGTCAATGGGAAGTTTCCCATTCCTCAAAGAAAACCCAAAACTGGAAGGAAGGTCTTCTTGCAGGGAGAGGGGAGAAGCCAGCACGAACAGCACATGGCTTCTGAAAATCCACCAACTTGGGCTGAGGAACTTTGTTTCTCAACCTTTCCCAATTCCTCACATACAATCTTCCTTCATCAGTAAGATCAACGATGCACTACCAACTTTGACATAATGTTTATAATGTGAAAATGGATCCAAATAAACTCCTGAGCTTGGCAGCGACAGAGTCAGAGGACTCACAAGGGAACATGCTACCTACCAGGCGGGCACGTGGGTCCCCCTACTGGTAGCCGAGGCTGGATCGTGGCCCCGGTCACGGCCTGTGCCTGCCACGTCCTCTCACAGCCCCGGGGGTCGACCAGGGTCAGGGCCCGAGCGGACGGGGATCAGCCTGCCAGGCACAAGCCGGCTGGCCACTCCCAGCCCTGAGAGGCGCACGTCCATGTATTTGTGTCTTTGACTAGAAAGGGGCCAGCCCACAGCGTGCAGTCACTGCCTGCCCAGGGGCCCGCCCCACGGAGAGGAGGAGACACTCACAGGCGTTCATCACCAGGTCCCCCCGAACTTCTGGCTTCCAGTCGTCCCAGGACGTCTCGAAGCCGTCGGCAAAGCGGATGCAGAAATTCTTGAAGTGCCCCTTGCTGACCAGAGACTCGGAGGAGCAGGCGGTGATGAGCGTGCTCTCGATGGTCAGCACCAGTGCTGAGCCCGTGTCCAGGTCCCCGGGGTGCGTGGACTGCAGACAGTGGGGACAGGCTGCAGCCCGAGGCTCAGAGGATGCTTTCAGAGACCTCACTGCTCACGTGACACGCATCTGCTGCCTTTCAACTAAAGACTGGCAAAGTGCCGGCAGCTTTCCTGCCCAGCCAGGCGGTCCGCTTCCCGTGGCCACATGGCGCCCACAGCTCCCAGGCCAGCCACCTGCACTGAACGTCACGGACAAGTCCCGGGCACAAGCATGCACACCCGCCGCCCCGACCAGGCCCGAGCCAGACAACACAGTTGCTCAACTGGGCTGACGTAGGCTGCTCGGGCCCAGCGGGCAACCGCCCCTTCGCCCCCAGGCTCAGGTGCGCAGAGACACAGGTCTGCCCCGAGTCTGAGAGGAAACCGTGTACACACCCACTCACTCGTCACCACCGCAGCTGAAAAGCTTCTGGAAACCCCTTCGTATTCCAGACGCTCTATTAACCACTGGGAAATGGCTTCTTACAAGTCCCCTGTAGCCTACCGGTAAGCACATGCCAGCAATTTCTCTGCTATGAAACTAAAGAAACTAGGGAAAGAAGCTGCTTGTCTGTGAAAGCCAAGCCATTGGAGGAGGCCGCCGCACACTGAGCCCGCCCCGCCCGGCGCCCAGGGACCACCCCCACCCACACACACCTGCGCGGCACTGCTGATGGGCAGGCAGATGCCCAGGTCGTTCACCGTGAGCTGCAGGAAGAGTGTCCCGAGCGCCTGGGCGGACGTCTGCTGGATGCCGGGGAGCATGTCCACCACCTCCTTGGTGGCCACGTGGATGTCCCTGTGCAAGGCCATCCGCTGCTCGTTCCAGTTGTCGTAGGCAGCCTTGTAGTTCAGCCAGAATAGCACCGCTTTTGGCGATTGGCAGGAAGAAAGCAAAAACCGAAACCAAAGCTGGTCAGCGAGAGAATCTCAACCACGGCGAAAGGCGACTGGTGAGTGAACAGGCCACACCCACCCAGTGGATGAGAAACAGCAGCCACTGCGGCAGCCGGCGGCCTGGGGGAGGAGGAGGAAGCACAGGCCCGTGTCTGCACCGAGTCGTCCCTGAGACGCCCACTTGGGCCACAGGAAGACACGTGGGCCCTCCGGGCTTACTGCGCTGCCCTGAAGCTCCAGAGGGAGGCGCCACCTGCTGGGCCTGCACCAGGGTCAAGGGCACGCGAGCTCAAGAAGCCTCAGGCCACTGACCGGGAGAGGCGAGAGTGGCGGGGCTTGGTAGGCTGTTGAGGCTGATGGGGAGGTGCGCTGGCAGTAGCCTCTGAGCGCCTGGGGGCTGGGCACGCGCACTCCCTCCGCAGTTGGCTTAGACCACGCGCAGCACCGCCTGGATCCTGGCACACGGAGGGGGAGACCAGCTCCCGTGTCCTGTTCCCCAAGAATGAGCCCACGCCGGAGGTGGTCCCACAGGCCAGAGGCCCCAGCCCCTGAGACTCGGTCCCCAGGTCCCCCAGCCGCCTCTGCTCCCGCCCGCCAGCGAGGGTCCCCGAGGACCCCGTTGCACATCTGACGCTTCCTGACACACTGCGTGCCATGGGATGAGTGGACCGATGGCACCGCAGTACCCAAGCCCAGGACAGTGCCGGTTAGATTCTGAACCGGACGTCACTGCGCACCAGGCCCAAGCAGAGAAGTGGGAAGAGCAAAATAACCGGAGGCGAAAGCAAGAGACTGGCCACCCGGATTTAGCGGCTCAACTGCTAGGCGCTCATGCTGGCCACGCTCGGGCGCCTCGCCAGCACCCGCGCAGCCCCTCGGGCGCTCACCTCGGTCAAAGGCAACGGGCTGTGCGTATACAATCGGCCTGTTCAGGGTGATGAGCACAGCCTCCCTGTCTGAGGAGCCACTGATTTCCTCTCGGAGGGCATTTCTCAGCCCAATTCTGGTCTTAAAATAGGCAACTTGATGAAAATCAGAACCGGCTTCCTCATAAACCTAAAATGAAATTAAAGCCTCAATAAAGTAAAACAATGGAAAATGTGTTAGTAAGAAAGCTACACGTTCCCGCACCAGTGACAGCACCGTCCACCCAGAGCACTGCCCGTCGTCCTGCGCTTGTGCTGTCGGCGTCACACCGCCAGGAGCACGGGTCACCGGAGGTGCTCACGGGCATGAGCCACAAGCATGGGGTCCCGGGAGCCTAGCGCCGGGGGCTACAAAGCGGTTCCATGTTGGAAGCAGAACTGCTGTCCTCTCAAAGGTGCTCCCATTTGGAAAAGTTAGTTTTTCTAGCGATGACAAGAAATGGTCATTTATTCCCGCACATAACCTCTCTCACAGTCACTCAATTTTGAAAGTGACTGGTATTGTTTCATTCTATTCCTCAAATTAAAGAAGAAAAAAAGGTTAATTAACATCTATGCAGTAATTCTAAGTAGAATGAAAACAAAATCCCCAATATGTGAGAATTGATTTTTATAAAACAGAATCTGATTAACCGTTACCTATGTATTATTTTGGTGACTTCACATATCTGACCTTATGGTATGCCAAACTTGCCAATATTAAAGAGGGCAGCTAAGAAAGTTGGAACATTTGAAAAACTGGCCAATGTTAGTACAAAGCAGTGAAATAAAAAATGTTGAACAAGAGCAGGAGAAAGGACGAGCCGCTGGAGAGTCTGCGGCTACGAGTGCCCCTGACGGTGACAAAGTGTCCCCCGACCCCGGCGTGTCAGCCCAGTGCGGCTGATCAGTGCAAGCTTCAGCCCAGATCAGTGTGGCGGTGACGACATTTCCTGCACTCACCTGGTGCTTGACAATCTGCCCGAGTGCCAGGTTTAAATCCACTTGGCATTTGCCGAAGAGTTTGAGGTAGCTGCTACTCCCCGGGGAAGCTTTGGTCTGAAGTCGGTTTGAAAGCTCCAGTTCAATCAGCCCAGTCTCAAGCCTCACGGCTCGCATGGAGGGTGTGGTAGCCGTGACCTGGATGCCCTGGAGGGTGCACGGTGGGCAGAAAGGACACCTCCGTCAGCAACGCCCTCCACACCCTCAGGGCAGGTCTGACACCTTGTGCGTAAGACGCTTAATGAGCTGCTAAACTGACGGGGAAGTCTCAAACTCTCACATCACTGATGACATTTTTAGTCATTAAATTTCATGTCAGTGTTTTACGTTCAAAGTCTAGAACGCTCATGGGTTGAATATTACAAGTAAATAACCTTTGAAAGAATGATCTTCACCTTTAAGAACACTGATATCTTAAATAATGGAAATATCAGGATTTATGTTAAGGCACTACTGTTAATTGGACAGGTGTATAAACTATTCCTTGCAGGGTGATTTGTAATGTTAATAATTACAAAAAAGGCAAAACACTTATCAGAAAGGAGCCGGTACACTACGACCTGGACGGTCTGACATGGAAAGGCATGCCCGGTTTCATGCATGCGCATATGAAAATACAAACAGGAAAAAATCAAAAGGTTATTCAAACAACTGTTTGGATGGGGTTAGGCCTCGTTTTGATTTTCAATTTGGCATTTTTTTGTGTATTACATGAATTTTCTACAACAAGCATACATTAATGAATTAGAAAAATAATTCCAGAAGCATCATTACTTCTGTTACCTTAAACTGCAAGTTCAGAGAATAGAGTAGAATTTTTGGCTTTTCTCCATCTGCTGTCCCATCAGGCTCATTCCAAAGAGGAATAGGCTGCTCCCCACCTAAAGGAGGTAAAATAATTGAGGGGTTGGGGCAATTCCTTTGAAAGGGAAATAGCATTTTTGCACACTCAAAAGAACCATGAAGCAGTTTTTTCTCTTTACTGACCATGAACCCAGTCTTAACCAGGGAACTGAGGCCAAGTTACATTTCACCGACGCAGGTGCTTACAACAGGATAATCCTGTGTATAGGTAAGTATTTGCCAAGAATATTTTCTAAGGATTATTTCAAAGCATCATCATCAAGCCAGGAGAGATGCCCCTGGTGTGGGCACAGCAGCGACACAGCCGGAGAGGCCACCTGGGCACATGCCGGGCACAGTGCGTCTGCAGGCGAGTGTGGACTGGCTGAAAGGCGTGTGCTGCGCCCCTCAGCTGGCTGCTGAGACGAAAAACAAGCATAACTGACATGCTGGGAAGGAGAAAGGGGGTCACATATAAAATGCTCTGATAAAACCATGAAGCCAGCAGCACGGAGCTGCTGCCGAGAGCACGAGGCTGGTGTGGCTGTGGGCTGCGACCTCGGTGTCCTGGTCGCCTCACGAGTCAGAGCCCGCAGAGCGGCTGGAACCCAGGAGCGACTACACGCAGAGCCCACATTAACCATAAGCCACCACCAGGCAGGCGGCGAGGCCGGGACGGGGCCCGAACTCACGGCAGCCACGAGCCGGCTGGAGGGGTCTGGACAGGCCACCTGGTGGGAGGAAGGTCCGTGGGCTCGGGGGGCATGGACGGGGGAAAACGCCACTACCTCAGCGAGATGCAACCCCCTGGTCTGTGGGCACTAAGAGAGCATTAAAACACATGAGACCAAACTGCCAGAAACACAGGGAGAAATAGAGATGTCCACACCCTCATCAGCTTGGACGGACCCACAGCAGCCGTCAGCAAGGACGGAGCCGACACCAGCGGTGGCGTGGGCCCAGCACGGTGGCACGCGTGCAGACCCTCCTGTGTCATGACACAGGAGCGCATCCCCACCTCCACAGGACCCTCTGCTCAGAGCCTGTTTGCCGCGTGTTGCTCCATCCCTACAGATGCCCGAGCTTCTTTTATCCAGTTTCAGGAAAAGAAAGTCTTAAAATTTAAAAGAAAAAGCTCAGCCTCCGGCAAGATGCATCCCACAGTGACTCCACAGAGTGTCAGAGACGCCCCTGGTCATGCGGGGGACGGGACAGGCCACGGCCTGAGCGCTCTGCAGTACCAGCTCTTCACCGCAAGAGATGCATGGCCGTCTCAGCTCTGAAATTACTGAATTATTATTTCAAGCAGTGGCAGTCCTGAAAACAGTCTCCTGAGCTCATAACCCAGCAGCTTGCATGGCAGCGACTGTCACAGGGAGACGATCCCAGCAGGCGACGGCCACCCCAGGGCACATGCGTCTCTCTCAACGACCGTTTCGGAGAAGTGCCGAGGCTGCGGCTGGCGTGGCCCTCCCTGCCTGGTGGAGCCCAAGGCCTGCTGGGCAGCTCCTTACCCAGAGGCCGCAGGAGCGCTCAGCCCCAATGCCCAGACAGGCCAGCTGCCCTCACAGGCCATGTGTCCAGGCATGGCAGGGACGCCAGGAGGCCGCTTGCTCCTCTGGCAGATACAGCACCGCCTCCCCGCTGGTGTCCCCACCCCCGCCGGACAGGCTGCAGGAGGCCTCTGCATCCCACAGGCCCGAGAATGCTACCTCATGCATTAAGTCAACACATTTAAGTCAACACGTTTCCTGTTAAATGTAAAGCTGTGACTAAGAAGCTCGTTTGAAGCCTCCTCTCAAGGCGAAAGGGAAGAGCTGAGCCAGGACCTGCTGGAGACGCGGGACCTGAACGCTGACCTGCGTGGGTGCTGTGCTCTGCCCAGCCTGTGTGGGGCTGTGGCCGGGGTGGGCGGGCAGGTAGGGGCAGAGAGCCTCACTCTGGGGGCGCCGGACATCCTACCTGACACCTTCTGGATCACTTCATTCACCTCCTTCATGAACACCTTCTGCACAAACACCAGGTGGTTCAGCAGGTCCGTCGTCAGGTTGTGCTCGAAGGAACCCACCTGCAGACACAAGGGAGCCCCGTAAGCCGCGCGCGGCCCGGACGGTGTCTGCTCCAGCCAGCGCCTCTGATCCCGGCCACTACCTGCAGGGCAACTACCTGCGCTGTGTTGCCGAGGCGCGCCAGCCCCTCACCAGCCTGGGCACAGGGCAGCAGTCGGCAAGTGTGAGGAACCGGGAAAGGAACCGGAAATCACACCAGGCCACGTGACGTGCTCATTTCCAAGCCAGAACACATGGACGAAAGGGACAGAGCACGTTTCCGCAGCACCCCCCCACCCCCACCCACAGGAAGCCACAGAGCCCCCAGGAAGAGGCGGGGCAAGGCCCATGGGGAGGGGGGCGCACCTCGGCCACGCAGCGCAGGTAGTTGCCCTGCAGGTAGTGGCCCTGCTTGGGCGGCAGCTCGTCCAGACTCCAGGCCGGGTCGGAGGGGCCGTCATGCTCCTCCATGACGTACTTGCCCGACATGGTGACGGGCGGCAGGTTGAGGCTGGCGGAAGGCGGGATGGTCGACAGGTCTGTGGCAGAAACTTTTGAAGTGAAGCGCAGCCTGTGGTTCGGCAGCTCGAACGTGAACCTGGTCTGGGCACCTGCAGGAGACCAAGAAAGTCTCCGTCTGCTCAGAGGCGCGGTGCGTGGCGCGCCCTCGGCCGGAAGGGCCCTGCTGCCCCCACACGGAGCCTCAGACACCAGAAGGGGAGTCAGGTCGGCTTAAGAAACATCCTGTCTTTAAGTTCACATCACCTGAGGATGACCGGGGCTGGCAGCGGCATCCAGTCCGCACCTGCGCCCACCCACAGGGGTCGACAGGAACCAGCTGGGCAAAGGCGCCCACCCTGGCCCCATTTCCACGAGGACAGAGGCCATGACCCACCACCAGTTGGCGGAAACACAGCCCCGGGGGCCACTCGCCGCCGACAACGTCAACTTCATCCACCGTGGACGCAGGCACCATGGCTCGCACGGTCTGGATGCTCCCGACCCCTGGACTGTGGGGCCGCTCCCCTAATGCTCAGGGCTCCGACATCGGCTCAGGGCTAGGTGCCGCCCTGGTCCCAGGTGGGGGGTGCCCGGCGAGCGCTTCCCACAGGCAGGCATGGCGATCCCTGAACTGCCATGGAGCAGGCTCCCCCACCCTCCAAAAGCAGACGCTTCTTTCCTTCCTTTTTAAGCAGACAGTGCTGCTTGGCAGAAGTTCCACGTTATCTGGGGCCTCATGTGCTCAAAGATTTCGCACATGACCTTGTGGTGTCCCAGACCCAGATGAGGTGGGCCGAGCAGGCCCAGAATGGCCATTTAGTACTTTCCACGCACAGAGCTTCCAGGATCACGTTGCCAGGGTTCTCAGCTGCGCCAGAAACACTTTTTCCAGCTGTGGATTACAGGAGTCCTCCGAGAGGCCACGCGGGCCATAGCCTCCGCCACGCAAAGCTGATGGGCAGGGGCAGCGGCCAGAGGGATGCTCGCACCAGCCCACGGCACGGTGGGCAGGCCAGCAGGGAAGCGCCTGTCACCCCGTGCCTGCCCATCACCCCGTGACTGCTTGTCACCTGTGGCTGCCCGTCACCCCGTGGCTACCTGTCACCCCATGACTGCGCATCCGCCCCATCTTGTATTCGGCCTTCAGGGAGGGCAGCAGGGCCGCCCCGATGGCGATCCCGTCTAGCATGGCACTGAACTTGAGGACGATGGGCTTCTTCTCTAGGCCTTCCGGGAGCTGAGGAAACTCATTTGTTTCTACGGGGGTTTGATTGATGCTCGTTGGGGTCTTTTCCGAAGGCAGGGGGGCTGTGATGTCATCTCTGACAGGCGGGGGGCTACAGAGCAAGAAAAGGACACGGTTAGATCAGCAACCCCACTGTCAGCTAAAGCTGCTGCGTCCTCAGTGCAAACGCAGCGAGCAAGCAGAGAGACGTGTTCTGGCTGACCCCCGCTCAGGGAGACTCCGAGACGCGCAGGGACAGCGGCAGCCCAGCACGCGAGGCGGCCCGTCCCACCCAGCCCAGAGCCCGCCACACGGTGCCGTATGCTGGGCCCAGGCAGCCTCTCACGGCTGCGCCCACCGCCCGCCTGCAACGCTGAGAAGAGCTCTCGAGCACGCTGTACAGCCGGCTCCTGTGCCCACGGGATCCCCCGCCCCGCGACAGGAGAGCCATATTCGAATCATCCCCACCCGTTAGCTTCAGACTTGGATGAAGGTGACCTCGGACCAGGAGGTCCAGAGAGAGCTGGGAAGCCGCTGGTCCGGGCACCGCCCTCCACCCCAGCCAGGAAAGGGGGCCTGGGGAGACAACGCTCCCCAGTCACTGTGCCTGCGGCTCGAGCAGCGGCCGCTCTGAAGGCAGGACTGGGCGGTGCAGACGCGGGGAGCAGAGGCCACCACGGCCGCACGCATGGGACGCCCACAGGGCAGCGGCACCACAGGACACCAGGTGGGGCCAGGGCCCTGGTCATGCATCCGCGGATGGGTCCAGCCTGGTGCGGGAAGTGCCCCCCCCCCAGGGTCCCCACAACCCCACCCCATGGGCAGGACTTACGCGGCGGAGGGCGGCCGGAGCAGGTCGGAGATCTGCTGGGACAGCTGGTGGGAGCTGCGCACCATCATGCCGTGCAGCGTGGCGGGGTGCTGCGGGATGCTGACGCTGACCGCCCCCACCTTGGCCACCGCCGCGTTGCTGGTGCGCAGCCCCCGCTGCGCGCTGTAGAGGGCCTGGGACTTGGCGACGCTGCACTTCACCACGGTCCTGCGGAGACACAGGCGTGAGCGCCCACGCGGGGGCCCGCGGTGCACTCAGACCCGGGCGCAGTCGGGGCTCAAAAGACGCCTCACACACGTGGATCACACAGCGAAGGGGAGTTTTACAAAAGCACCGAAACACGTTAACCTTCCACCTTCCACACCGAGCGTCCGTCTCCTTCTCTGTTGCAAGGAGCCCAGCGAGAAAGCGCGGGGAGGAGCGCGGGCCCCGCCACGGCAGCACACACCACACAGCTGCCTGGGCATCGCCTCTGCTCCCCCCGCGGGCCTGCCGCCCACTCGCAGGAGACGCAGCGGACAAGCAGCCCTCACTACACACCTCAGGACCCGATCAAAGAAACTAACCCGACCAGCAGCCAGCATGTCACAAGAAGTCAGCAGGAAGGGAGATCAGCTGCTCTCCACGACCGCTTCCCACCGTGGCGGGCCTGGCGCCCAGCGCCCAGCAGCCAGCACTGCCCGACCGAGGTCGGCGCTTCCCAGAGAAGCACAGCAGACACATCCCCCAATTTCCTGACCCTCCTCCAGGGCCTCACACAGGGCTGGAGCACAGGGGACACTGATGTGTGTGGAGCAAGTGGCAGAAAGTGCAGCAGACGCCGCCTTTCGACCCACACACTGAGGTCCAGACGGGCAAGAGACTCTTGACAACAGACTCAGCAAAACACTCAAAATGCACATGTCGTCCCAGCGGCCTGTCCATTCCCAGACACCTGTCTCTACCCGGGGCACAGAGGGCTGAGGCTCACAGGTCTGAAGAATCGATCCTTCACCTTAAACTTCTATCAGAATAAACCCCAAGAAGCAAAACATGGCTCCCGCAGAGGCCTGTGTGCAGACGGTGACACCCAGGCCCTCCACAGCCCTGAAAATGGGCCCCAAGCACGGCACACCCCCAAGGGCTGCTCCCTGCTCCCACGCATGCGAGCGAGGCTGCGCTGGCCACTGAAACGTTCATCTCTGCTAAGTCACTGTAGTAAGTGAAGCTGCTGTCATCTGTGAGGTTTCATCTCAGTCTCTCTCGATAGGAGGAGGCTACACGGGGCACCGACTCACTACAGCTGGGTGGCCCGAGCCCCCGCTGTAAGCGCCAGAGATGCCACCACAGCCGCGAGCCCATGCCAACTACCCAGTGCTCCCAGGAGACTGCCCGGCAGGGTGTGAGGAGCCCCAGGCCGAGCAGGGACAGCCCTTGAGAGGCTCCCGATGGTCGCTCAGTGCCTAAGAGAGCACTGAACCCGGCCCCAGCCCAGAGCCTGCAGAAAGGACTGCTGCAGAGAGAGTGGGCGGGACCTGACTGTGGGCACCTGCCAGCTATGCCCGGAGCCAGACGGCACCGCTGAGGGACGGTTCGCTGGCGGTCCAGGCTCCTGGGCCCAGCGGCATCAGCTCCCCTGGCTTCTGCATTCTGGGTCCCCACGACAGAGCCTGAGGCAGGCCGCCGTCCACCGCGGCAGGGGGTGGCTCGGGGCTCTGCGTGGCCCTGCCCACTTGGACAGCGAGCAGCTGGGGGAGACCCGCCCACCGCGCAGGGGCAGTCCCATGACACCGACCAGCCCTACAAGCCGAGTCTCCCCGCCTGGCAGAGGACCCCCTCGGGGAGGGCGCTGAGTGCTGCCCATGCAGAGAGGGGCAGGGCACGGACTCGGCCGGCGTGGAGGGGACGAGGGTGAGGTGTTCAGCCACTGAACAGCTCCCCCTCTGAGGTTACTGTGTTTTTGGGTTATCTGTCCAGAGACCTCAGTAATAACATGGATGGAAACGATAAATGTAGCAACATGCGCATCCAAGCAGAACCGGCTCCTTTCTATACCTGTTAAGACGACACTGATGTGGAAGAGGTTTCCAGAAAACATTCCCCAATGAAATACAGTGTCCCTGCCGGCGGACGAAGTGCTCACACCCAACCCGCAAAGACTCCCAATCACCGACGCTGGCGCCACCTCCCCCGGCCATGCGGCACGCGAGCCCCTCCCCCTCCCCGGCAGAGCAACGGCGAGACTCGCCTTCAGCCAGCACGTCCCAGGTCATAGGAAACGCCCCGGGAGCTAAGCGGGCAACACGCCCCTGCACGGTGAGGGTGGGCATGCAGACAGCAGAGGTCACTGATTTTTTTTTTTTTTGCAATCAGTGAAACCGCTTTGCCTCTATTACACACCCAACACTAGAGGATCTGCGGGGACTGTGACATTCAACTCCTACCGGCACGAGCCCATCGACCTACCCATCGCGGTCTTTCAACAGCAAAGCAAGGGGCAAACAACCAAAAAGGTGCCCTTACCTGTGATTTCCTTGAATGCCAGCAACCCTCAGTGCACAGAGGTCTATGCCAGAACCACACACAACAGCCACGCACACCCACAGCCACGCAGGGCCCGCGCCCGAGACCACCGGGACCCGCGCTGACCACAGAGCACGAGAGAGTGGGACGTGACGTACAGAAACTCCTGCTTGGCTGTGCTCGTGGGAGACGTAGGAAAGTCCTCCAGTCTACGGATGAGGGTTCCAGAGAAAGCAGGGAGACAAAAGGGAAGCAGGCGGCATCCGTGAGTCAGCGCTTACGAGACCCACCACCCGAGAAGCTTCTCTTACTCCCACTTTTGGAATTTCCCTCAAAGGCCCTCTTTGGCTACTGTGTTAGTCCCATTGCCTTTTAACTGAAACTGGAAGTAAAAAGCCAGAGGATAAATCCAGAAAGTCTTGACATGACTAGCGCTCAGCAGGGCGTGATTCGACTTTTCAAGTGAAACAAGGGATCTTTGCTTGAGTTTTGCTATAACAAAGCAAGAAAGATCAACCAAATAGCACTTTTTGAAGAATGTTTTATAAACATCGTTCTGCACGTTTAGAATCTACCTGAAGTACAGTGAGGGGGACGCCTTCCCAAGGGCCGGGCCCTGCCACCCCCGCTGCCTCCCGACGAGGCGAGGCGGCCCTGGCTCTGACCGCCCGGCCCTCAGTCCGTGGGGGCCTCAAGCTGCGGGGAAGGACGCCCTCCAGGCGAGGCTGCAGGTGCCTCCTGGGAACAGCAGAGCCGCCTCTCAACCCCCGGGGCTTCCTGGTCTTTCCGGAAAAGATGGCTTACGTAATTACTCGTAACCAGCTAGTCGCAACTAACTAGCCACTAGTCTAAATCTACCAGTAAACTGCCTACTTCTAACTAGTTTTTACAGATTAACTAGTTGTAATTAACTACCGGTAATCAGCGAGCCATAACTAGTGGTAGTATTAAGAGAGCAAACGGTCAAAACCTGAATTATCAAAACGGGCTTGGGGGCCACACATAAAGTCGCGGCCTGAAGGCGTGGGGCGCAGGGTGGGGGCCAGGCGAGGAGGGCGCAGACTCCGGGGGCAGACCGGCAGTCAGAGGCGGGCACAGGCGTTGCTGCCAGGGCGAGCACAGGCAGAGCAGGGAAGGCAGACGCCATGGGGCTGGCCCAGTGCGGGGTCCCCCGGGCACCGGTCAGTTCTCTAATGCAAAACGGCATCAGAAACCCCGATGCCGACGAGAACATGGGCGCCCGGAACGAGCAGCCCCGGGCACCTCCGCTGTTCCCCGAGCCTGGGCATCCCACTGGGGTCTGCACTGTCCTTAATTTCCCCCCCACGGAGCTTATGGTGTGTGGACGGGAGGCAGTTAGCGAACCAATCTGAGCAAGAACGATGGCTCTCCTGTAAACATTTCTTGGGCGACATTCGGAGGGGCAGAACCCCGAGACCTGGACCACGACGTCGGTCTGGAAGCCCCAAGGGTGCGGGGCAGGGACCACGAGCCCCGAAAGGCCACTCACTGAATGTTGGGCGTGACGCCCTCCAGCAGCACGATGTTGACCCCGCCGATGTGCGCGGTGGCGCAGGTCTCCGTCATCTTCTGGTGCAAGACGTCTGGCGGGGGAGAGGGGCTGTGAGCGGGGCCGCAGCAGGCGTGCAGACGGGGCCGTTCTCAGATGAAGGGGCCGGCCGCGCCGCTCTGGCGGCCGCGCCGGCCGTGCTCAGCCAGCCATGACCGGGCGCCCGCAGGGCCCACCCACCTTTCATCTTCTCCTTCAGCGTGAAGCTGCCATGGATGCGCTTCAGCTCCGACTCCATGGTCAGCCCCCCGATGTCGGCCTCCAGGTGGGTGCGGGTCACCATGCCGATGCCAAACACCACCAGCGTCACGTGCTGGGGCTCCGCCGAGGCCGCGCTGCGCTTCCGCTGGGCCCGCGCCGGGCTGCCACCGTCCTGCTCGTCCTCAAACACCACTCTGCACGGCGGCTCCGTGGGGCTGCGGACGCCTGGGAAGCCGCACGCGGGGCGGGGCCCTGAGGGGGGTGCGTGGCCCCCCACCAGCCCCCTCTCCCACCTCCTCCCACAGCGGCCCAGCCCCTCTGCGCCCCCTGGCGTCAGTCGCCTGCGCGCAGCGTCACGGACGCGGGCAGCTGGCGGTTCTGCTGCCGCTGCCCCTCCCAAGGGAAACGCAAAGCCACGAGGCTCCCCCTTACCCGCGGGCCCAAACGTCTCCGAGGACGTCTCCAGGATGCCCGTGGGGTCCGAGATGAGCGAGTAGAAGTTGAGCAGCTTGTACATGTTCTGCCAGCACTCGGCCGAGGGCTCGCTCTGCTCCGACACGGTGATGGAGTCCGAGTCGTCCATGTGGATGGCCATGTGGTCCACCACGTCCTTGGAGCCCTTCCTGGACACCTTGGAAGTTCTCCGCTCGGGTCTCCCCAGGGAGTTCTTGCCCCGCGGCTCCTTCCTGCTGCTCTCCGCGGGGGCCCGCTTGCCCTTGGCGTTGCCCGCCCTGTTGCCGCCGTTCAGGCTGCCCCGGGAGCTGCGGCTGAAGTCTGAGGAGCGAAAGTCCCGGTGCTTCCTGGTCCGGAAGGTCGGCGTCGGGGAGGCCGACCCCGCGGTGTACCTGCTGAGCTTGATGTCCGTCTGCGTGGCCTTGATGCCGTCGACCATGGTGCTGAACTGGTGCACGAGGCGCACCAGCGCCATGTCCACGTGCTGGCTGATGGACTGGCAGGAGACGGTGAAGTTGCAGTGGAAGGTGCTGTGGTGGCGCTTGCTGAGGTCGTGGAAAGTCAGGGCGTGGGCGGAGGGCCGGGGGGCGCACACGGACTTCTCCATCACCATGGCGCTGAGGCTGAAGGTCTCCAGCATCAGGGCCGGCTTGAACTCCAGCGGGGGGAGGTTCACGTGGCCGGGCCTACGCGTGGGGAGGGGGGGAAGGACAGGCTTTACCGCCTTCTCCAGGGACGCGATGCCCATTACCGTGCAGGAGACTCTGCGGTGGGATGTGCTGGCTGCAGGGGGGCAGAGATGCCCACACCCTCCTGAGGGAGCCCACACGTATGTGTGAGTGGGCTGACGCCCACGAGCTGCAAGACGTGACTCGACCCAGGACGAGAAAACATGGCCCCTGCTCTGCCAAGGGAGGGCACCGTCCCTGTGGGCATCCAGAGCCCTGCCCAGAGCCAGCACAGCCGCGGGCACACACCTGCGGGCTCTCCGGCCCCTCCTCTCCTTGGCTGTGTCCGAGTCCACGATGTCCGCCCGCAGGCAGTCCAGCGCCCCCGAGAAGGACAGGTGCTCCCCGAAGTGCACGCGGCAGCAGAGCGGTGCGGCGTCTTGTGCCTGGATCCCCGTGTGGCTCAGCAGGGGCCTGAAGACCACCTGGAGGCAGGAGGGCACCGCGTCACCCCCGAGCATCCTGTCCTGCTCAAGTGGGAGGGACACAAGGTCTCGCAGAACCAACAGCTCTGATTTTACGTGAACTAAACAGTACACCTGGCAGCTCTGTGCCACTTCAGGTCTGCCAGAAGGGCAAAGGCCCTCACCCTGCCCGAGAGCCTGCACTGCAGGGCATCCTGCGTCCCGCGCCCCACACAGGCACGGGCGCCCACGGTGTTTCCATGCCCGTCCGATGAACTAGGTCAACAAAACAGCCCAATGTCCTACGTTAACATGAAAACACTTCACGGAACGTCAAGGAGATCTGGCCATTGCACGAGGCACCCTTTTCTCCCTTCTTGCTCCTCCTCCCGGCCAGCACGCTCCCCGCTCCTCACAAACAGGCAACACGCTCTCCCCTTGTGCTGAAAAAGCAACACCCTCACCCAGCCCTGCCCTCCACATGCCTTCTGGCTGGGCCTCAAGGTGCCTCCACAGAGGCTGAGTGCCGCCCCCCATCTCTGCAGCCACGGGGTGGGGCCCCCCTCAGCACCTCACTGCCCTCGACCTCCACGCGCTCCCCCCACCCTGCACGCAGCGTCCTCAGGCTTCACTGCTCTGCTCAAGACCTCTCCAGCCACCACCACTGCCCCCGCACGGTTCTGCAGACACCGGGACCCCGCACCGCGGCGGCCAGTCCACCCCCAGTGACAGGATCACTGCTGCTGGGTGTGCAGCCCTCAGCCCAGGGGCTTCCCATGTGCGAGCCTGGTCAGGGCGATGGGACTGGCTCACCTGGGCATCGGCAAGCTGGACCGCGGGGAAGCCGGGGTGGGCCTCCTCCACCCCCGCCACGTCGTCCTGGCTCGTGCTGTGCTGAGACTGGGTCCCGTCCAGAGTGTTCTGGTCACTGGACAACACGGTGTTGAAATCTGAGGCCGAGGGTATTGTGGGCAGATTGGGCGCCACACCTGACGGAGGCAATGTCGGAGGTTCGTTCATGCTGTGGGGATGGCATGGGACCTGCCCGCTGTGGCAGGAGGCCCGGCTCGGCATCCCAGGCACCGTGCGGCAGGAGGGTGGCCAGATACCACCACAGGGACAAGCGGCACCAAGCTCAACTGTCAGCGCCCATAGGCCGAGCTCTTTGGGAGTCCAGCTGGTGCCCGCAGGCCGCGGGCTGGAGCAGGTCATGAGAGCCGCTGCCCACACCCTGAGTGCACCGGAGTCTGCATCCGGAAACCGCCAGGGTTGTACTGCCCACCCCCGCCCCTGCCCCCACTGCGGGCCAGGCAAACTTGTCACGCACAGCCTGAGCCAAGACCCAGGGCGGGCCCCACACGGGCCCCGCCCGGCCTGCGGCTCTGGAAAACAGGCCGTGCCACTACGGCACGCGTGGTCAGACACCCGGCAGACGCCACGCTGGTCAGCACCTGTGGGGAGGCTGCTGTGCCCGGGCCTGGGGGCGGGGGACTCCTGCGCAGGGCCCGCTCGGCCACCCACGGCGTTGGACATCCAGTTGTAGAAGCTCACGGATGACGGCTCGGACAGCAGCGGGTGCTCAGACAGCATGTCCGTGGCCAGGGTGGCTCCTGGAAACACAGCTGGGCTGAGCAGGGCTGGGACTTGGGAGCTAAGAGCAGGAAATGTGATTTCTGCCGCTACTTCTGAAAAGCCGGGCTAAGACGTCCACCCCTGCGGACGTTTCCAGACACAATGACTCGGTGCTCGTGTGTCACGGCAGCCGTGACCACCCGTCCTCACTGAGACAGGACCCACTGCTGGCCGGGCTGCACCCACCCTCGGCGCCCGGGGGCAGCTCTGTAGATGCGGAGACTCTACAACGCAAACGAGACGCAAAGCTTCCCAGGCCCCACCTCCAAGATGGGGCAGGACCAGCACGTGTGGCCTGAACGGGCTGCCCTGTACGCACCTGTCCTGGTGAGCGAGCCACTCCGGCCAGCTGTGCCCCCCCTCTGGGGTGTCCCCTCCAGGAGGTTGTGCAGGCTAGGGAAGCTGCCTGTGAGGTAGCTGAGCAGGCTCTCCTTCCTGGGGCTCTCCCTCGCTGGCGCCCCGGTGCGCCCGCCATGCGCCGGTGAGTCCGTGGCGGTCTCCCCGCTGGTGTAGCTCAGCGAGTGGTAGGGGTGGGTGCCCTGTGGAAGGAGCAGGCTCGTGGGGGCGCCGGGCAGGGCTGCGCATGGCACCTGTCACCCTCACGAGCCCAGGAGCTGGGCAGGGGTCTGGCTCCAGACAGTGCCTGGAACAGCCGGCTCCAAGCACAGCTGGCCACGGCCAGGAGACGCTCGCCAGCCCCACTGCTTGCTCTGCTGCTTGCTCCCAGGTGCTCGCTAGTCACTAGCTACGCTTCTGAACAAAGTCAGAAACTCAACTGTACCTGGACCTTGCTCCTCCTAAAAGGCCTCTCATTGAAAGTAACAATCACAGAGAGATCGACGTTTTCAACGCTGTCTTCCAGCGAACAGACATGCTACAGACTGACGACAAAAGGGCCCTAAAGTCATGGCTGATGACAGCGGCCAGAGCTAGGCGCTCATGGAGACCAGGACACAGAAGCGCCCTCTGGAGCCCGGGGCAGACATGCGGCACTCCAAGCTGAGACGATGGGGGGGGCCCCCACCCCACGCCCACACGCTGCGCTGGGCAGTACCTTGATCCGCAGCGCAGAGTCGCTGTGGGTGTGCGTCTTGGAAAGCTTCCTCATGATCTCGGCCCCGCTCACGGGCCCAGAGGTTCCAGGCGGCGGCCGGCCGGCCGGGCCCTCCAGCAGCATGGTGTGCTCGCTGACCGTGGCTGCAATGGTCAGAGGGGCGCGTTGGCTGGGGCCGGGGCTCCACCCCGCACCGGGGCCCACGGCATCTGTCGGCTCACTCCCTTCCTGCCCTCCATCCGCTCAGTTCAGGCAAAGGCAGTCCCAGCCACCGGCGTGGCCCTGGGGCTCGGGAACAGCGACTTGAAGCAAACGACTGAGCTGGAGCCGGCCTCGCAGGCCTACCGACCCAGCAGGGGGTCTGGTCACAGCAGCGTCACCCCCGCCCGGCCGCGTGCTCACTGGTCCTTCACTCCCCGACGTGCCATGGCCAGTTGGGGCTGCGGGGCCGGGCTCTGGGTGGGCAGAAGGCCCCTCACAGGGAGCACACTCACCACACTCCCTCCACCGGACAGCAAGGCTGGAGCCACCACAGACGTGGGGCTGCCCATGCTGCAGCCTGTGCTGGAGCAACCCGCCTGTGCTGTCCTCACAGGTGTGACAAGAACACACCGAACCAGCGGGTATTACTGGAGGACGTGCCCCAGGTCCTTCCCACCCAAGCGGGGAGTGCAAAGCCCGGCCACTGCGCTCAGGCCTTCCCGCGGGCTCCAGTGGACAGCACTAGAAAGCAGGCTGACTGCGCGGCGGGCAGTGTGTAGACTGGACATTTTCAACATAAATAATAAAACCCAGCCCCGGGGTTGTGACGCAGCCATCTGTTCGCTCTCATCTCAAGAGTACCACCTTTTCCCCCCGGGTACTTTCAATTTTTCTCAAAATACCACAAGAAAAATTTACATCGAAGATGCATCAGATAATAAAACTGACTTTTGGAAAGCACTGAAGCTGGTGGGCTCCGAGCGTGTTCTCGCGCCTCTCTGGGTCTGCGCCACGAATCGTGGCCCAAGCACAGGGTCCAGCTCCGGGCAGGGCCGCGCAGCCCAGGACACACAGGGGCTCCTGGAGAAGGCTGGCCTGGGGAGCTGTGCGCACATCCAGGCACACGTGCACAACCCCCACACACATGCACACCTGCACCCATACACGTGCGCCCACTTCTGCACATGCACACGTGTGTACACCTGCAAACGCACACCCCACACGTGTTCACACCTGCACACACACACGTGCACAACCCCACACATGCACACCCACATGCATAGCCTCACACATGTGCACACCCGCATTCACACACCCCCAAATGCGTGCATATGCACACACGCATACACACACACACACGTGCACAGGTACAGGGACGCATGGCCAGTGGCCCCAAGCACTCGGGCTGCCGGGTCCCGCACTCCCGCATCAGAGCTGCGTGACAGGTTGGCACAAGTGGGAGCAACACGCATTCGGATTGAGCCCCATCGTTCTTGCAGAACTTCAGGGGTCAGTATTTCTAATTTGGGCCACAGAGTGGCGACGTGGCCGCAGGCGCTGTGCTGCCAGCTGCGTGTCTGGCACGGGTGTTCTCAGAATCACCTGCATCAAATTCGAACTCCGCCCCGTCGGCGCTGGTGTCGCTCTGGAGGCCGCCCCCACTGTCCAGCCCAAGCCCATCCTCGGGCTCCCGGTCCCCGCCGGAGCACGGCTTCGGGGGCTGGGCTGGCCGGTGCAGGCTGACGCCTTTGAAGGCTGGGGTCACCACGATGAACTTCATCCACTGCCGGGCTAGGGCCACCAGGCCCTTCTTGAGCGTGACCAAGGCAGGCAGCCCGTCGCTCTGCAACGCCAGGAGTGGCCACGTGAGGCCACCACTGTCGCTGTGCAGGATGTGGCCCCGACCCGCTGGCGCCCGCCCGGAGGCACCAGGCCACAAACTGCAAAGCGACCGCTGAGGTCCGACAGCAGCACCCCCAAGGCCCAGACGCCCCTGACCGCGCCTTTCTGCTCGGGACAGTGGGGCACGGGCAGGCACGTTCCACCCACTTGGCTGCCTCTGCCCGAAGCCTCACAGCGTGATGGCGGAAGAACAAAGCTGGTGCTGCCCCTGCAGAGCCTCCCAGGGCCGGCCGCCCATCCCGCCGGGGCTCACCGTGGTGGCGTCCTCGATGACTGAGTGGCGGGCCTGGTGCAGGTAGTGGTGCAGGATGCTGCACAGCAGGCATGAGGGGTTCTCCTGGAGAGAGCGGGCGACGTTCGTGAGCCTGTTGTACTTACTTCTCAGGGGGAAATGCACGCTTTTATTCTGAAACAAAGCAAGACAACACTCAGAACGGTGCAGAGCGAAGGGCGCAGAGCCGCCCCTCCCCCCGGCTCCTGCCGGGGCAGAGCCCAGCTGTGAGGGTGATGCCGTGACAGACGCACCTCCAGCGCCTCAGTCATGATGCAGCCCATGACGGCGCAGACCCGCAGGGTGCCCTCCGTCTCCAGCCTGTGCAGCGACGACTTGAGCTGGTCGATGGGGACAAGCCAAGCCCCGACGGCCGGTGTCGCCGTACTTAGGAGGTTTAGCTGCCTTTAGAAAGAAAAGAATCACCGAAACAAGCATCAAGCTCCCATTCCCATTCCCATCACCTTCTCGTACTGTACTTATTGGCTCTTCCATTTACACAAGCTCATGGCTCCTTCTGACCACAAACTGACTGGCGACCTGTGATCGGGACACGCGGGGACAGGGACAAGAAATGCACAAGCCCACCAGAGGCGAGAGGGCAAAGGGCCCACCGGGGTGGCTGGCGAGAGCGAAGCTGGAGCAGAGAAGCTGAACCCGCGCAGGAGTCTGCAGGGTGGGGCAGGCGGGGCAGCCGGCTGGGCCCTAGGAGGCGGCACCAAGGCCGCGGGAGGCAGGCGCGGCAGGCGGAAGGAGGACCCCCGGCGCCTCACCTGGAGAAGGCGTGGGCCGGGGCGCGCACGTTGGTGGGGGCCGCGAAGCTGAACCAGATCTCCCGGATGGCCAGCTTCATGCTGCAGGAGTCGGGGGGCGGCGGCATCAAGGGCAGATCCTTCTTCAAGTCGTCAGACTCTACTCCTTCGTCCTACACGAGACACAGCGACGGCACGTGTTGGTGTGTGGCCCTGGTGCCACCAGCTCAGACGAGAACTGCCCTCTCAGACACAAAACCGCCCAAGCAAGTCAAGCTCCACAGGCAGAAGCTTTGCAGGCCGTGTGGCCGGGCCTGGCCCAGGCCTCTCCTCACGCTGAGAAACAGCCACAGAGCTCTGAGGTTCCAAGGCACGGTCTGGAAGCTGCTGCGCTGTGTCGAGTCACTCGCCTGAGACCCCAGCAGCCGACGGCTTCCCGACCACTCCGTCAGTCTCTGCTGCTGAGGGTGTTCAGTGCTGGCTTCCCAGCGAAGAGGAGAGGAAGGAGAACAGGGAGCAAGCTCGAGAGCTAAGGCCCCACCTCCCCTGCAACCTAGTTTGCATTTCATTTTAAAAGAATATCTTATACTTCCAAATAAAGCGCCATAAGGAATTCTACCCAAGGCCTTGTTCAAATAAATTAAAGGAAAACATTCCTGGTTAAGTACTAGTAATTTGAATCTGTTGTTAGAAGCAAGAATATTTTAGGCATCTGCAGTTCTTTGAAATACAGAAAGCTAAGAAACATAATCTTCAAGGAAAAAAACACCATCACCATCCATTAACTTATACGGACTTTTTTTTCAGCATTCCCAGACCCCCCAAATCACCTACCAACTAGGCCAGCCCACTTTTGGACAGTGGGGCCCCTCGCAGAGATGGGGGGATAGCCCATGTCCCCGAGAGGGGTGGGCAGGGAGCACCATCCCCCGCGGCTTTGGGCAGATGCGGGTGTCTGTGCCAGCGCGGCAAGGACACAGCAGGAGGGGCACTCGCCAGCCATGAGCTGGCCTGGCACAGGAGAGGACACGCCGGGGTGGGACAGAGGCCGAGGGATGCTGGCCAAAAATGGGCACACACAAGGCCTTGGACGGAGGACCTTCACCCAGAGCAAGAGGCAGAGCAACCACAGGGAGGGTAGCTCCCTGCCTGGCCCCCAAACATCTCCACAGACTTCGTGAGCAAAGTCTCTTGAACTGTCAAATCACAGCAAATGTTCCAGAAACAAGCCCCAGCCGCTGGGCTCGGAGGGGACGCCCGGCGCTGGCCCACGCGCCCCTGCCCTGCAAGGTGGGCTCCCCTCCGCTGGTCGGGGCACAGGTGGGCGGGCAGGTATGCGCGCCTCGGCGCACACTTTTGTGCACATTCCTGGAAGCGGGCGGCTCCGCGGCGGGAGCGGCAGTGCCGGTCTCGCTCCCGTGGCTCCCCCACAGGCCACTCTGGCTGCGGCTTCCCGGAGCCCAGCAACCGCCCCTTCACTTCCTGGACGTGGAATGGACCGATCAGGTGTGAACAGTCGGCTGACGGAACTACACGGTCCAGCCACAGGATTAAAAAATGGTCCAATCAGACGTTTGGGAGGGGCGCCCTGCCAGAGGATATAAGCCAGGGACCAGAACTGTGGGGGAGGAGGTGCCGCCAGCCTCTGAAGGGCACAGATGGCTCCTGCCTCCAAGGGGGGAGGAGCGGAGGCCAGACTCCGCTCCTGGCCTCCGAAGAAAGAAGGAAAGACACATCAAGCAGCCGCCCTCGAGGAGGGGGAAAAGCTGACTGCAGGGCCGGGGCCTCGTCCTGAAGGGAGCCCCCTGAAGGGAGCCTCAGAGGCCCCAACCCGGCGTCCCAAGAGCTGTTTGTTGCTGGTGTCGCCCGACAGCTCACACAGAGCTGTGAACACTGGGTGTCTCTGACACCACCTCTGGGGGACCAGCAGTGACCATCTCTACTGGCCGGCGCTGGCCAGCTGTGTTGACAGGTGACCAGCACTCTGCTGGTGCCGCTGGTGGAAACTCTGAGTGAGGCAGCCACTACAGGCTGCCACAATGAGCTCGCTGTCTCCCCTTTGTAAAATAAACCCCGTGTGGTTGTTCTTGGGGCCCGAGGCCTCTTGTGCGGGTGCGTAGGTGAGACCCATAGACTGACCTGTCCTCTACCAGTCCCTGCCCTTTGTTCGGCTACAGCCCACAAGCCCCTCCTGTGCGGGTGTTGTTCTGCCGCAGCCCTTGGTTTTGGTTTTTGGCCTTTCAGGGCTTCTTGGCGGCTCCCGTCTTAGAGCTCCGGCCTACCACCAGGCCTCACTACTGAACCCCGTCTCAGGCACGCTGCCTGGTCTCCCTCACCCCCACAGCGCCAGGAGGCGAGGTCAGAATAGAACTCCTGCCCGAGATGAGGAGACCCAAGAGAGGGTTGGGGACCCGCCCAAGCCCCCTCTGAGAGCTACACCTGCTCTGTGGCCACAACTGCTGCTCCCAGGTCACCACCATAAAGCGCCTCCAGTGAGAGCAATGCGCTGGCACCAGCTCCTCCAGCACGAGGAGGCAGCGACAAAATATTTGGAGCATGCATGTGAGGAAGCCATTTAAAGACTGAGTCTGCTAAAATCCTTCAAAGAACATAAAAACAAAGCCTGATTTTCCTAAATTCTAGTAATTCATTATCTGACAAAGACAATTAAGCTCCTGCAGCACGAGCAGGCCTCACATGAGGCTCTCAGCAGGTGAGCAGGTCTGGGGCGCAGCGCCCGCAGGCCAGCAGCCGCGCTCTACACGCATTAGAGTCGCCAAAACGCTCTGGCTACTATTAGAGCAAAGCCCAAGCTACAGGCAGACAGACATCCTCCAGACGTTCGCTGGAGTGGGCACATGGTGTCTTACATTGCTTTTCCAAAGCATTATTATTACTAGAAATTCACCAACTTGCTCGTCTGAAGCAGAGTCCCCGTCCGGGCCGGACGGGGGGCTGGCACGGCCGCGGGGAGGAGCGTCCTCAGACACGTCGGTGTTGTAGCCACTGCCCGTGGGCGAGTCAGAGGAGCCGCTGGGTGTCGGAGCGCCGCCCCTCTCAGCGACGCTGGCCTGGCCCATGACGCCAAAAGCATTGTACAGAACAGCGCCCGACTGTCTTCCTCCTGCAAAAACGGAGAATGTATTTATTGAAAACGGCGGGTGCCTCAACACTGCACGATATCCGTCAAGATAAAAATCTCTTAAGTCTGTCTCCTGGGCCTCCCCAGTGGTGCACGGGTTGAGCGCAGTGCTGTGAAGCTGTCCGCAGACTCTGTAGCACAGGCTCAATTCCCGGCCAGTGGGGAGATTCCCATATGGCCCGGCAGACCTCTCCTGTCGTGCCCGCTGCTCCCCTCAGCAGTGTATTTCATCAGTCTGCCTGTTCTGCTCCCCGCTCTGTCTCTGGTGAATTCTCTTGCCCTCTGGTACCTCTGGCCTATACCCCAGCTCTTGTATAAATTGAAAAAAAAAAAAAAAAAAAGTCTTTCTCCTGCCAAGATTCAGCCCTGAGCTCTGAAAGTGGTATCAGCCGGCTGTTGGGTGAGGAACTGCAGCACAGGCGGCCTGTGTGACACGCCCCCGGCACAGAGGTGGCCAGCGTGACGGCTATCCCCAGGGGGGCAGCATCTGCCTGGGGTGGTGAAGCCTGATGGTTTGCTAAGCAAGGGTTCATTCCAGAGCTGATGGCTCAACCCTTTACTGGGCACATCCTGAACCCCACTGAGGGCGCGCTGGAGGAGCCTGCACAGGGGCACCCGGCCCGGCCCCGATTCCAGGCCCCTCGCTTCCTGCTTGCAGATGGGACTGTTGGAAACATGTCAGCGGTCAGGGCAATATGTCTCCCACTTGAGCAGAATTTTTAAAGCACTTACCTTTTATGGTTAAGTTTTCCAGCCCACACTCGAACATGATCCAGCCCCACCTCTCCTGACTGGGGCCTATCCGAGCGACGTCGGGAAGAGCCTGCTGGTCTGTCTCATCCACAAACGTGAACTCATCCAGCTCCTCAAGCGTGAACAAGACCTTGGACTTCTCAAAGGGAATTGCGGTGATGGCACAGGTGCCGGCGCCTGCACCAGGAGAGAGAGAGAAGGCCCCCCTGCGACAGATGCCAGCCACAGACCCCGAGGGCCCTGGGCTGGGGCCTGCCGGGACACGCAGCCTGAGTGTCTGCAGGAGAGCCTCCGCGATGCTGCCGTGGCTGTGCCACTCCAGAGTGCTGGAAACGTCTTACTCAGGTCGCATTAAGAGGGAGAGAAGATTCCGCAGTTAACAACAATTGTTCATAAGGCAGCGTGAATTCGTTTCTGAAAGACGACAGGAGAGGCTAAGGCTCTACAATTCAAAAGCTAATTCAGCTTCACAGCAAACTATTTTCAAATACTTCACTGTTTTACAAAATGAAATACTAGTTACCCAACCTTAAGAAAAACATGACTCTCCAAGACAATCACAGCCTTTTCTGAAAGATCACTTTATGCCAACGTCTGCTACAATCCCGGCGCCCCCCGCCCCCCCAAGCAGCCGCAGCACGCGCAGCGGGACAGCATGCAGGGCCTGCAGGGCCTCGCCTCTGGCGCCTTGGCTCCCTCTGGCGCCCACGCGTACACAGAAGCAGGGCTTTCTGACCCTGTGTAATTTGCCACCTGGAGATGACGTGTTTGCACTGGAGGCACATTTCCTTCTAGCTCCTCAGAGATGATTTCACCAACCTAGCTTTGGTTGCCACAACAGAAATTTCTTCCATCTTTAAAAATTCTTCGAAGACATTAAGAGTGATGTGACAGCCCAGAGTATGAAAATATCACACTTTGCATTTATTAGCATAAAGTCTTCCCCAAAGGGTAAATGATTACCTATGTTTTTCTATGATTTCCTCATTATTCAATTGGTTTCTATTTGTTCTGAATTTTTTTTGTTAAAGATTTATTTTTATTTATTTATACAAGAACCGGGGTACAGTCAGAAACACAGACGGTGAGAGAATTCACCAGAGCCAGAGCGGGGAACAGAACAGGCAGACGGACGAAGTACACTGCTGAAGGGAGCAGTGGGCGTGGCAGGAGAGGTCTATGCCCATGTGGTACCCTCGCCGGTGGCCAGGGATGGAACCGGCGCTGCAGAGGCTGCGGGTAGCTTTGCAGCCCAGCGCTCAACCACTGCGCCACCGGGGAGGCCCTGTTCTGAATTTTTATACAAACATCCACCTTGGAATTTCACTGGAAGCTGTGTCTTTGAGGAGCTTTTTTTGGATAATGTGCATTTCAAAGTCACACCTCACCACCACTCACAGCGGCCACTGCAGTGCCGAGCAGCCTTCCCAGCGCCGACCCTGGGCCACAACGGAGTCATCGGGTGGGTGGGTGGCAGTGCTGGGGAGACCCCGGCAGTGAGCCGAGCTGGGAAGGCACAGGGCTGCCCGCCTGGTGCAGCAGCAGCACAGCAAACACCTTGGAGAAGACCAGGCCTCTAGCCCCAAGCCCTGACTGCCCACCGTGAGATGCTCTCAGGACAGCTGACACAAGCCCCAAGCAGAGGGCGACGCATGACAGAGCACGCCTGCCCCGCCGCATCTGTGTTGGGGGCACAACTCTCTGATGCAGCTGTGCCAGGAGAAGGCATTTAATGCCAGCAGAGACCTTGTCTGGTTCCGTAAGGAACAGGCAGAAGAGGCATGCAGACAGGAGGAAGCGCTGCGAGCGGGACAACCCGCCTGTGCCGACTGGGAGCCGCGCACTTAAGGGCTGTGCTCAACACATGCACAGCGCTTCCTGCCCACACAGCAAGTTACACCAATTTTCAAAGGGAAAATCATGTTTCCTTTGGCAACATCCTCTTATATTGAAACATGTCACGGTCTCCTCTGTGGGCCCCTACCTGTGGTGTCCAGCCCCCGGAGCTGCCCATGGACGCGGTGGATGTTCAGCTTGGCTGCGATTTCCATGCCTTTCTCTGCTCCAGCATTTGACCTGAGTGACCCGGAGGACTGAGGCTGCATCTTGGTGGCGTGGACATACCCTCCAAACTCGGACGTCCTAGCAGGGTCGGCACTGGTCGGAGCCTCCTCCACCACGCCGCTGTGGAGAGAGTGTGACGGCCCTTAGCATCTAAACGCCCACCAAGTCTCGCTGTGCAGTGTTAGCTGTGTCACCTAATCACAGTGAGACACTTCACTAATACGTGCTGCAAAAGCCATTTCACTGCTTAATTCAAACCAACATTAATGACAGATTCTGCAATGTTTCCTGAAAACTGTGTGAATAAAAACAGTACAAAGTTTTAAAGAACCTACTTTGCGACTCCATACATAAAGTTAGATTCAAACGTCCAATGCCACCTACGAGTTTTAACATTAGCATTTGCAGAAAAGCACGCACAAGATGGTGGCTTGCTTTCACAGCCAGAGAGACACATGGCTCAGGGCAGCAACACTTCATACCTGTTCATACGGACTTGCGTAGTGATTCTGTCGAAACACAGGGCCACGAGGGACACGTGAGCCACGGCCCGGCCGGGGGCTGCACCTGGAGGCTCTTCCACAGAGGCTTGCAGCAAACACAAGTTCACCTGACACACAACACATCAGAGGTGTGAGAGGGGAGAGCGGAGTGTCACTCCGTCAGAAGACCGCCGCTAAGAAGCCGCCTCGTGTCTACCAGCCATGCAGATGGTCGTGACTAAACGCCTAGTGATGGGTATTGAGGAGTTTAACAAACTTCTGCTGAAGTAAACCACATGACGGTAACCCTCATGTGGGCTCACTGGCAAATCAAATACCACCTGTGCTGTCATGATCTACTCCACCAGCAGTCAGCACAGAGAATATAAGGACAAGAGCCACCAGAATCCCTCCTCTTCCAGTAAAATGCTTTAAACTGCTGCCTTTGAGGCACTCATTCAAGTGGAAACCTCCACTCTTGAGTTCACAGCAGCACTGTTCACAACAGCAAACAGGCAAGTGGGCCAGGAAGACACGGGCTATACACGTGCGGGCACCACTCAGCCCTCACCAGGGAGAAACTCGGGCCACTAGCAGCTGCACGGGTGGCGCTGGAAGGGATAATGCTCAGTGATGATGTTCAGTCAGAAGGAAAAAAAATTATCAGATGGTTCACTCACAGGAGTAATATACGGAAACCAAACAAGGGTCAGGTGAAAAAAGACAAGCTGGCAGGCAAATTCTGGACCCGAGGCATCCAGCAGGGGAGGGGAGGGAGCAGCACAAGGGACCATGGTGATGGCTCAGGGTGATGAAGTGGTGGGAGATTTATGGGGATTTTGTCATTCAATACACAAAAATGAATACCAGTGTAAGAAAAATAATTCAAGAAACGCCGTCACCTTTGGCATAAACAGTCAGCGACACAAGGTCACCTTTGGCATAAACAGTTAGCGACGCACGGTCACCTTTGGTATGCTGACGTTGGCCTGGAGGCCTCTGATGGTCACGCTGTCTTGCTTCCTTGAGAGTGGGGTCTGCGCTGGTCCTTGGGTAGTTGTTCCCAGGGGGGTGGGGTGCTCGGTTTTTGTTCCTCTAATGTCTTGCTTGGAAGACAACTAAAGAGATGGGACACAGAATGATCACTTCCCTCGTGACATATACACCACCAGGGCGGCAGGCGCTGAGCCGGGGCCCTTTCTGCCCAGCCCGTGCTGCCAGGCCTCGCGGAGACAGCAGCACACCGGCAGCTGCGGGCTGAGAGCAGTGGCAGGAAGTGCAGTGAGGTCAGCTGTGGAGACAGAAGCCAGAGCAAGGGCGCTAGGGCTTAAAGCCACTTCCAAAACAGGTCGGAGCTCTGGGGCCTACCCGGCTCTGGCCATCCACCCCGTGATGGCTGGAAGGCTCCACGTTCTCGCTGCCCACTCCTCCCTGACCACCTGTCACAGGAGGGACCCGCCTGCTTTGAGTAACTGTCTCACTAGGAACAGTCAGCTTCACTGTCACCTTCCCCTAGTTCCAACGCTACCAGCATGTGGGGAAGCCAGGCTCAGAGCACAGAGCCAGGCAGGCGATATGTGAGAAGTTGGCTGCACGGCAAGGGGCGAGACCCTCACGGGCTGTGAACGGAACCCCAGGACATGCCACAGAATGACAACATGGTTTCTTGGGGCGCAACTGTGCCGCCCACTGGGAGGAAGCTCTAGGAAAGGCCTGGAGCCACTTCCAAAACAGAGAGGACGCCGATCAGGACCTCGATGCTGCTGACTCAGCCTGGCTGCACACGTGGAGACTTCTGGCACCAGCAACACGCAAAGACCATCAAGAATGTGCCGTGACTCCAATTTACGTGTGGACGAAAGGCGACAGTCGGGAATGCTCAGGTTCTGCTTCTAGGGAGGGCGCTCAACCTGCCTCCCTGCTGGCTCCCGGGGCTTACGTGTTCCGAGAAGGTGCTGTTCTGGAGGGCCTCCCTGAGGACTCTGGCGTGCAGGTCGTCCACAATGGCGGCCGGGTGCCGGGCGCTGGCACAGTGAGCCATGGCCTCAATGTACCTGCACAACAGTGGGGTGAGCGGTGGGCAGCGCCGGGTGCCAGGCTAAGTGCTCTGGCTGTGAGTTCCAAACTTGGGCCTAACTGGCTCTACCTTTCCCCCCAGACACATGAGGCTCCCCGCGGACAGAGAATCCAAGGGGCCTCTTCAGGTGACGGCATCTGGGGCCCCAACTGGTCTGCAGTGGACGGCCCTCCTGTGCACAGAAAGCCTGAGGACGTCGCTCGGGTAAGGATGGAGCAACCGCGTGGCCAGCGTCAGAATCTGTGCCAAGCGCCGGCCTGGGCCCAACACCTGCGCCTGCAGGGGACAGTGCGGGCAGCCGCATTCCTGGGCAAGGGTGTGCTTCTGGCTGAATAAAGGACATTCCGACCGGACAGTGCCCACAGAGCACTCCAAGGAGCAATGTCCCAGGATAAATTCTAATAAACTGACTCATCTAACAGACTCTCTCTCCTTGAGGTGGGCCCCCCGGCTACTTTGCACTCGAGTCTGCAGGCTTTCCCTCCCCGCAGTTCCTGCAAATGCATTGTTCCTCCGCCTAGAAGTGTATGGACGGACGGCTTTGGTCATTTCGTGGGCCCCACGCTCAAGAGACCTCCACACTCTTGACCGCTAACCTGTCTCGTGTTGGTTATCAGACCAGCCGAAGGCCTGAGAGAAGGGGAAACTTTCCCTTCCTGACACTCTCATATCACATGTACTTTTTGCGTTATAAATCACCGCTTATATTTTTAGACAAAATTGATACCTGTCCAGAGCTTCCGCCACCAGGGGAGTGAGGACGACGTCCACGGCACCCCTGACCTCCACGACGGCTGCCGTCCTGGCCTGGGCCGCCGGCTGCCCCAGGCCCCACTCTCCCGCCAGCGCCTCGTCTTCCGAGTCATCGACAGCTTTCTTTTCCAGAGGAGTATATGGCGTCCTGGACAATTTCACAAGAAAAGGACATGGTCCAAACGGCATGCCAAGGCTGGAGGCCCCGAGGAGGACCTGCGACATGGGGACCACACCCCCATGGCCTCTGTCCCTCTCCTGGCAAAGACTCTAGACCCTTCGCATTTCCTAAGCACAGAGCGTGAGGGAAGAGTCTTGTGCTGTGAATGAGGGACTTGTGGAAGCGCCTGGGAGCAGGGGCTGGCTGCCAACCAACCTTGCCAATAGTGGGCTGAAACTCACTGCCCTGCCCCCAGAGGAGACGGCTGGGGGACCAAGGGCTCATCAGGCGCGCCCCAGTGGCGGCGCGTACACAGGCGCCCACAGGGCAGGGCCCACGAAGCTCCGGGCTGTGAGCAGAGGCAGCTGGGGAGTGCAGGCCTGGGCAGTGCGTTTCCCCACACTGACACTCATCTGGGCCCTGTCACGCCCTTCATGTAAACTGGCAACACAGCAGGGGAGATGTTTCCCTGGTTTCTAGCCAGCTGGTCCCGCGCGCAGGGAAGGACCTGGGCGGGCGGCTTCTGGAGAGGAGATGGTATCAGCGGCCCATGGAGTTGGAAGCCGCGTCCACCCGGGGGAGTCAGAGTTAGGACTGAGCCAGCGAGTTCTCCGACTCCCTGCTGGTGTCTGAGAGTTGCCAAATTGGGGGCGGGCGGGGGCCTGCCATCCCACAGCCACATACAGCCACATTTATCTCTGCCAAAAATGTCATGGCTTAGACTAGGTGTTTTTAGACACCCCCCAAATTTTCAAAGACAGGACAAGGAGGTGCTAAAATGTACATCTGTCGAGAAGGGAATCCAGTGAAGGGAGAACACGTCCTTGGACGTGCTAACTCGGTGGTGCTTGTCCTCTCTGGTGGCCACGACGCTCACGCCTTGTTATTTCCCCGACCTTGACATGCAGGGCTGTGGCCTGGTCAGCGTGTCTCACAGAGGGGCTGTAAACGCTCAAGACCCAGGCCGGCTATTCACTGACCAGATGGTGTGTTGGGGACGATGATGTGCTCACAAGGCAAAGCCCACGGGAAAGACGGCCACCCTCAAACCAACCACATCCCCCACATGCGCGGCCTGAGGGACGCTGGCAGGCCCGTCCACTCACGTGGGCGTGGGTCCCGAGAACCGCAGCCCTCTGTCCAGCAAGGAGTTAGCTGTGAGCCCCTGCTTGATGACCTGGAACACAAAAACATCACTTACAGCCCAGTTTTGATATTAAACTAACCTCTAATTTTATGCTGTCGACCAGTATGTGCGACTATCCAGACTGTCTTGTTAATGAGACTGATCTACAAGACATGAGGCCTTAACAATTAGAAAGACAGAAAATACTCAACTGGAAATTGAGTATTTCATGCAGACACCTGGTCTACCAGCCCTGGCGACCAGGCCCCACGGGCCTCCCCCTCGCCAGGGCCCAGTACACGCGCTCCGCTCCTAAGGCCGCGGCTGGGCGAGACGCTGCCTCCCACCACTGCTGCTCCTGGCCCTCGTGTCTCGGGGAACACGCCTTCTCAGACGGGCCTTGCAGGCCCCACCAGCCCCGTTACTCTCGACCCCTCTGACGTGCCTTGAGACTCCCCTCAACTCACAGTCACAGAAGCACCTGTCCGCCTACCATCTGCCTCCTGCCCTCAAGGAGCAGCTCCGTGCATTAAGCAGCACACCCCCGTGGTGCTCTATGAATACCTGAGACGGTCACAGTTATACACTTTAAATAATCATGAAAATTTCTTTAAAAAAATTATGGCTCTATAAATATGACTTCCGTGTTGCCTACAATCGCTAAATTTACTGACCGGGTTTTAGTGTTCTCAGCAAAGCAAATTACAGAATACATTACAGAAATGGGCCCCAGCTCCCATACTAAGTGCTGACACCCGGCCTGAAACCTCCCCAACTCAAGACGCTGACACCAATGGCCGCCACTGGCCACGGCAGGTAGCTGGCCGCTGAGAAAAGCAGTTCTGAAGGCATCTTAAAAGCTCCCGTTTTCTAGAGAAACATCGGGAGTCCACGGCCCGGCACTTACCTTAAAGCTGGGGATGGAGAGCTGCTCGCAGGACGAGGTACTCTCCTCGCTGGTTGGCGTGTCTAGGTCCAGGGGCCGGTGCAGTGAGGACTTGGAGGTCCGCTTGTTGGCCGGGTGCCTCGCTGCCCAGTTCACCACCTGGAACTGGCTGAGGTAGGTCTGGTAGCAGCTCCGGGCCGGCTGCTGGGGCGGCACCTGCTCAGCCTCTGGCCGCTCAGCCTCCGCCACGTGCAGGCGCTCGGCCAGGTCATCCTCGGCTCCCAGTGCAGACACGAAGGAGGCCTGAGAGGGGTGTGCCCTGAAGGGCAGCGTCCTGCCGTCCTGGATGCTCTCCCCGTGGCCGGTCAGGGGCCCCTCCACACTGTGGTAGACTGAGCCCCGGCTGTAGTCTACCTGCTGGGCCTGCCGCTTCTTCCGCTTCCTCCCCGGGTAAGTGCCAGGGCCCTCATCGCTGCTGATGGGCTCAAACTCCTCAGCGGCGGAGAAGTAGGCCTCGCTGTCAGCCACGGACATGCTGGAGTCCATGGAGCGGTACTGGTGGAAGGAGCTTGAGTCGGCCGACGGTGTGTATGGGAAGGAGCCGAAGCTCCGCCGCTGCTTGGGCGAGTCTAGCACGTTCTCATCGCTCCGGGAGACGTCGCTGCTGAACTGGACGCCCACGGCCACTGGCTGCTTGTCCCCATAGAAGGCAGCAGTGAGGCTCTTGGTGCTGCCCAGCCGGGCGGAGCACACAGAGGCCTGGCGTTTCAGGGGGGAGCGGAGAGGGGACTGGCCCACGGACTTCTCTGCGGCATGCGGGGACACGGGGCTGCCCCCTGAGACGTCTGCCGGAGCGCTGGAAGGGAGGGCCGGCGGTCAGCATGGCCCCACACCGAGCAACTCGCTCTCAGCACCAATGCGAGTCCTTCCCAGACCCACAGCAGTTCTGGTCACTCGCTTTGTGAGGGGAGGAAGCCCTGGACTGTGCGGGGCCCTTGCAAAGGCACTGAATGGCACGACACGTGCCCGCAGCCGACCGAACCCCGGAGTGAGGTGGCTTAAAGCAGTCCAGCGCCCGCCACCCCCGCCAAGCTCCACTGACACTACTTAAGTTCAAAGGCTTTTCACATCCTATAAAGCGTGTCCAACAAAATGCACCAGGGGCCTCTGGCTCAACAGGAGGGGCCGCATGGCGCTGCCTGCAGTCTGGCCTGGTGCTGGGCTGAGGCGCCGGCCCAGGAGCCACATGAGTAGTGGGGGTGGGGGAGTGGCTGGGGGTGGAGGACTAAGGGCCACATGCAAGGACTAGGGGCAGCTGCAGAGCGTAAGTGAAGCCAGAGAGTCTGAGACAGGGAGGGAAACGGTCGGGCAGAGCGTGGAGGAGGAGGGCAAGGGTCCTGCGCCGACAGCCGGGGGCAGGGGGCGCGCGTGGGGGGAACAGGAAGAAAAGCCAAGTGTGCTCAGTTGAGGGGCAAGTGTGACAAGAAGGAAGCGGCCAACTCGGGCCTGAGAGCAGGGCAGGGGCGGCCGGCAGGCTGGGGTGTGGGGACCATCTGCCGTCCTTTGGAGAAGACAGTCGACAGCAAACACGTGCAAGGTCCGTTCAGGGAGAAGGAGCAGAGGCGGAGGGGTTTGGGAGGAGGCACGTCCCTGGTGGGGCTGAGGGCGTCCTCGCACCAGCCCCGGCCCCGTGGCACTGACCTGGCGGGGGCCTCGTCTCTCCTCGCGGCAGGCGGGAAGCCCCTCTGAGCCGCGGGGTCCTCGGCTGCGGACACAGGGCTCTCGGTCTCCCCGGCCAGCAGGGGCTGCGCAGCGCCCGAGCTGCTGCTCTCCCCCGAGGACGAGGACGCGCTGTGGGGGCGCAGGGGCACCTGCAGGCTGAGGTGCTGGGCCCGCCGCTCCGCCTCAGCACCCGCCGCCTTGCTCTCCCACTCCTGCCCCCTCACACCATTCACGTGACCTAGACAAACTAAAGCAGTGCCCGTGAGCGTCATCGTCTCAAAAGCAACCCCTGAAAACTTGTTTTTGAGGTTGGCCACCTGAAAGGGCCGGTGCGGGGGTGCACAGCACAGCCCCGAGACGCCAGTGGGCCTGAGCTCGGTGTCCCTGCCCCGCCGGAGCCTCCTCCTGGACAGTTCTCAGACTGGAACAGAAACCTCGCAGGGCCCGTGCAGAGCCGTGTCCTTGGCGCGGCCTGCATGGACGCTGCGCGCGCTGAGGCCATGGGGTGGGGGCGGCCACTGTCTACCCTAGATACAGTGATACAGCAGAGGGGCCACCAGGGAGCAGACAGAGGACACGCCCACACCCTCCTGCAGCCAGTGAGGCCCCATGGGAGCCAACCCCCCCCACCTCCCCACCGTGGACTGAGACCATCAGAAACAGGCGTTTCAGGGCTAGAAAGTGACTTCACGGGAAGGCGCTGGGCTATGTTTACTTTTCTCTCCTGAAGTGTCAAGAAGCTCTGCTGCTTGCTGGTGTCTACAGGACAACCTGCTCCTGCGAGCAAGATTGCTGAGCCTGTGCCTCCCCTGGTGGCGCAGCGGTTGAGCGCTGGGTTGCGAAGCTGCCCGCAGCCTCTGCGGCGCTGGTTCGATCCCCGGCTGCTCCCCGGCCACCGGAGGAGGGTCCCACATGGCGCACAGACCTCTCCTGCCGCCCGCTGCTCCCCTCAGCAGTGTACTTCGTCAGTCTGCTCCCCGCTCTGGCTCTGGTGAATTCTCTCACCCTCCCGCGCTTCTGACTGTACCCAGTGCTTGTATTAATAAATAAATAAATAAATCTTTAAAAAAAAAAAAAAAAAGACCGCTAAGCTGGCCTGTGGCCTGCACGCCTGCACAGGGCCAGACTGGACCCTCCCACTCAGACTGCCGTCCACACTAGGCAGTGGCCCAGAGTCGCAACCACTCTTCTCCTGCCATGTCCAAAGGCAGAGCGCAGCCCCAGAGGACATCTCTGACCCGGTCAGGAAAGACCAAGCTGGGAGGGTGTCCGGCAGCCCATGATGGGCCGCAGCCAGCACCGCTCTTGCCACCAGCCAAGGAGCCAGGAACCTGCTCCACACAGCTTTGGGAAAAGCCGCAGGAGACTGGGAGGCGCAGGCCCCTCACGGCTCCTACGTGGCAGCACCCCCAGCTCCCGGGACCGGCTCTAACAGTCAAGACTGTGTCGCACAGGAGCTGGCAGCCCGGCCACAGCAGACGCGGGCACCATGCACGAAGCCCCGGGATGCGTGTGAGCACAGGGTGCTGCAGCGGACCCAAGGGCCAGGCCCGCAAGTGGCCCTCGGGGAAGTGAGAGGGGCCCACGTGGGCAGGCGCCGGAACTGCACCTGCCGTGCTCACCACGAGACACGTGTCCTTCTGCCTCAGGGCACCCGCCCACAGCAGAGGCAGGTCACCCCAGCCACCCCAGCCACCCCCAGCCACACCGCCAGGGCCCAGAGAGCACAGGGCGGGGGCACAGACAGGCCCGCCATACCGTCCGCCATCTTGGGGACGCCCCTGGTGACGATCCACTCCCCGGGCTGCAGCAGGGACTGCCCGTAGCACAGGTCAGACTCAGTGCTTGTGCTGGAGAAGGCGGAGCTGCTGGATGGGGTGAGCTCCTCCAGCCGGAAGAAGTCGAGGCCGGTGGCCGTGCCGCCAAAGAACCTGCAGCCTCCCAGGCAGCCGCACTTGTTCCTGCACCGCCTGTTGGTCAGGTTGTCCTCGGGCCACAGGAACCACAGCCTGGACAAAGCGGACAGTGGCACAGCAGAGCTCGGGGGGAGGAAAGCCTTGCAGGTGACTAGACCTCTTAATTGTTTATAGTTCTAAAAGCTCAGGTAAATACAAACAGAGATTTATTTTTGCTGTAGTAAATCTCCTCAACCATTTGGCCTTTCTAGAAAAAACCAGGGTTCCCACCCCGGTGACAGGGAAATAAGCAGGAGCAACGATGATGGAGACACACCGTAAAAAGAACTGGAGAACTCACACAAGACATAAAAAGTTGTGATATAAATATAAAAATGAAGCATTTATAAAAAGCAAAGGGCCTCCCCTGGTGGCGCAGCGGTTGAGTGCTGGGCTGAGAAGCTGCCCGCAGCCTCTGCAGCGCCGGTTCGTTCCCCGGCCGCCAGCGAGGGTCCCACCCAAAAAAAAAAAAAAAAAAAAGTAGCTGTTCCTGGAAAGCCTAAAACATTTCCGTTACGCTGACTCCATCACCACTAATGTTTCAGCGTCTGCTCACGTGGCAAATTTAACCCACCCAAGCACGAGGGCGAGGCAGGGGTGATGGCGCCACGACTCCGACACGGGGTGCCACCCTACCGCAGAGAAGAACTGGAATGCCTTTCCAACAAGGGCTCTAGGAGGAGCCATTAAGAATCGAGACAATCAAAACTGGCTTCTCTACCTGATCGCCGTTTAGCAGAAACGGCCCATCTTGTGGCCTTCTGAGGTAAGCGCTTTTTCTCTGAGCGGCAGCTGAAACCACGCAAGTCCAACAAAAACAAGACGACGGGAGAAACACGCGCTTGGGCCCTCAAGGACCCACGCAAGCCTGCCGGTGCCTGCCGCCGCCGCGAGCCCTCGGGGCGATCCCTGGCGCCCGGCTACATCTAGCTCCAGCCGCGTTCCCGGCCGCAGCTATGAGCGACGGGGCAGGGCGGGCGGGCGTGTGAGCATGGGCAACGAGGCTGCTGCGCTGTCCTGCCAAGTCACTGGAGCGGCACGGGCCTGGCTTCCCAGGGTGTGGCAGGTGCCAGCGGTCTCACTGCAGGTGCTCTCCGGCCACTGCGTGGTGGGGTCTCGAGGGGCACCACTCACGGGCGCCCCCGCCAGGCGAGCCCTGGCCAGCCCCGTGGGACAGGAGCTCCCCGCAACCCCCGGCACGTGGGCAGGCATTTAGGAAAGTTCAGCACAAATGTACAGCACTTGACATGTTAATGGACGATTTCAGGAACAAGAAAGCACTGAAGCAGGGAGAGTGAGATTGGCTGTGGTGGTTATAGCCTTTTTCCTCTCCTCTGTGCCCCCTTTCCATGCTCCCTCACACCACGGGAGGTGGGCAGAGGCGTCGTCACCCTGCAGGGCCAGTGGAGACGGAGAGTCGAGCCCGGGGAGCTGCCAGGCGGGTGTGGGGCCTCGAGGCTGGCGAGCACACCCCTAGGAATGAGCATTTACCCCCATCCTGCTGCTGAACAGCGCACCGAGAGCCCCGCAGGCAGGATACCTGGCCACAGCGCCGTGGCCAGGGAGACACGCCAGGGCCTGCTCAGCTCTGGGTCTCCTACCTCTATGCAGCTGCCCCCCCATCTCCGCTGGAGAGGCCCCACTCACCTCTTGGTCCTGGCATCATGCGTCTCCAGGAAATGCCGCTGAGCTTCGTGCTTGGATGGGTGGTCAGCAGCCAGGGCAACGTCCACGGTGATGAGCCCAAGGCTGGCCGACCCGGCCTCCAGCCAGCAGGCCCTGCGGAGCACGGCGGGCTGCAGTCCAGCCCGGGGGCTGCTCGGCTGCTCCACGAACTGGCGCACGTGCAGGTCCTGCACGGCCGCGCTGACGCCCTCCCCGACCGCCGGGCTGTGCAGGTTGCAGTTGGCCACCCGGACCGCCCCCATCTGAGGGGCAGAAACGAGACAGAGCTGCATCCTCTGTGGCTTAGGTGACAGGGTCAACTACCAAGAGGTGTTACTGCAATTTGCACAAAAGATTAAAAAAAAGGGGCAGGGGGCACGGGAAATAAAGCGCAAATGCAACAGGATAAAGAGGACATTCCATGGGAAAAGAAGAGGAGGGAAGGAAAAGAGCTTCGGCCGGGGCGGGGGTGGGCCGAGACCGAGGGGCCGTGCAGGCCGCCCTCAGAGCAGGCGGCGGAGCTCTGAGCAGGCGGGAAACACTGAAGCGAGACACCTGAAGGCTTGAGGGGTTCAAACCCTCTTTCCAAGGACACCACAGTTTGCACCCCCATGGAAACAGCCACTGACCCAGACCCATGCAAAGTGCCCGTGGGGCGAGGCGGCCCCTCACAGGGAGGCCCTGTGGGGTGAGGCAGCGGCAGCCCTAAACCGGCGCTGGGGGCAGGTGGGGGGGGGGGCGCACCTTTAGGTTCGTGGCGCAGCCCTGCTCCACCACGTGCAGGTCGGCCCCGGCCAGCGCCACGCGGGTCATGGTGTACTTGAGCTCCTCGGAGCGGGGGCAGGGCCCGGGGACGCAGCTCAGCTGGAATGAGAGGGCGGCGTCAGACTCCCAGCCCGGTACTGGCCCCCACATCAGCCCCTCCGTGGCCCTGATGGCACCCGGTGACGCCGCATTGAAACCACCCGGGGCGTCTCCCACCTCCTGACAACAAATAACATGGCACGTGCCCCACAGCCCGCATGGGCACGCCTGAACACACCTGGGAGACGAGACTGTGTGCCTGCATCTGGGACGAGCCACGCAGACCTGCCGTGCTCGGCTCCAACAGGCCTGTCAGGAGTCAGGCCTGTCTGGGCGCGTCCCGGGACCGGGGCCCGAGGAACCCAGCTCACGGGCTCTGCCCGGACTGAGGGTGGGTGCCCGCGAGCCCATCCGCTCTGCTCACGGCCCTGCGGCTGGCCGCAGGAGCAGGGACTGCAACGAAGGGACCCGCAGGCCTGCAGCCAACGCCACCCGGGCTCTGCGGACTTGCCGGATGCAAGTCTCCCTGAATAGACTTGTTTACTAAAACTCAACACAACTTTGGGCCCAGAAAAGGAGGGAGGAGCAGCCCACATGTGTGAGAACTCCCCGGAAGAACCAACCCGTGACACACGCGAGCGGGAGCCGGTTCTCCGCAACCTGGAGAAGGGCCTTGAACAAGAACACGGTTCCATGGCCAATGAGAGCAGCTTCCTCGCTGCCAGTAACTCAGCGTGGCCACGGCCCTCGTGGGACACGAGACTGAAGGCAGGAGCCACCCCCAGCCATAGCAACAGCAGCTGGGGGCGCGGGCGGGGAGGGCACAGCGGGTGGGGTGCGCAGGGAAGCAGCTGTGTGGGGAAGAGGCGGGGCCTCAGTGCCAGCAGGCAAGGCTGCTTCCTGGTGACAGCCCTGGGCCTGGCCTCACGGGGGCCTGTGCCCGTGTCCATCCCGCATCCTCCGCCGCCCACGGCTTCAGGGGTGGGTGCCTTTGCTCTGGATCCCTGGGGGCCCTGACACCCCAGGCGAGTGCAGGTCGGGGCGGTGGCGTGGACGACGCCCAGCTGACCATGCCACAGGGCAGCAGGCACACGCCAGCAAACTCAGCCCTGGGGAGCATGCCCACGTCTGGCCCTTGCACAGGAACAGACACTGGTGGCAGGCAGAGGAACACTGAGGCAGAGAGGCAGCGTCTGCACCCTCACTGCGGACGCACGCCAGACCCGCCACATACCTTGGCCTCGCAGAAGCGGCGATCAATCCCATGCTGACACAGCACTACCGACTTGGGCCTTTCCAGCTCATACTCCCGACACACCACGTGGAACGCAAAGGTCTGTGCCCACTCCAGGAGAGACGCCAGCTGGAAGGGACGAAGAGTGCTGGCATCAGCACTGGCCAGCTGCCGTCAGCTCACCAGCTGGGCCACCGTTGCCCTGAGGGGCCAAGCAACACCAGGACGAAAACTCCTCTGCAGAAAACCTGCGTGAGCAGCTCCTGCCTCAGGCTTCTCCGCAAGGCCCTGCCTGTCACCCGGGGCCATCTGTGATGCCCCAGCAAGCCCCGGGCTCTGACTGAGCCGCATCTGGTGGCGCTGAAGCCCGAGTGTGAGAAATCAGCCGTCCTGAAGGGGCCAGCATGCAAGTAAGCGTAAGCCTCTATTAAGTTTCCATCAAATCTTAACTTTAAAAAACCTTCATTTGATTCTTTTACTAAATTTTTTTCTTACGTCACCATGGTCCCCAGCGCTCTCTTGCCGCCGAACGGCCGGGAACCACAACGCAGGCCCTCGGGCTCTTCCTTCCGTTCCAACCCCCACGGCCCCTTGCTGGAGGCCTCGGCTGCCAGTTTTGTCTTTTCTTGACCTTGGTTGGGTTTCTCTCTATTCCACACAGACGTGAGACCCTCCCGTATTTGTCTGTTTCCTTCTGAGCCATTTCGGCCAGTGTCGCCCCCCCAGCTCTATCCAGGTCATCGCGAATGGTGTGAAACCTGAATGCTACACTTGGTCAGCATGAACACTCGCCACCCCACACGTATTCACGCTGTCGCCAAGCACAGTGACCAGGGGCTTAAACTCCCAGAAGTAGGAATCTCACTTTTCAACCCCCACAAGGGCGCAGCGCCGTCAGAGCCCTGAGGGGTTCAGAGCCAGGCAGGCAGTGGTGGTGCCAGGCCCATGGGCCTGCTCCACACCAGAGCTTCGTGGCTACATGTGTCCCGGGGGGCGGTGGCCGGGAGGGTGCCGCCGTACGTGTCCCCTACACGGTTCTGGTCACCCGCTTGTCCGTGAACTACCCACGCTCCCGCTGCTTCGGGCCTGTCATCGAGCCTACCCTGACGTGTCCTCTGGGACATGAGGGCCTGGCCCCCTCACGCTCATGGCCACGCTCTACCCTATGTCCCGCCTCTCAGGCGCTCCCTGGCCTCTTCCCGGTGCCTGCTGCTCCAGGAGCCCGGCAAGCCCATCATCGAAGATGTAGCTAGAGAGGCAATGCCATGTGGCTCCTCCGCTGGGCCTCAGTGCCCCACAGCTAGGACCTACAGGACCTCAGGGCCTCAGGACCTCAGGAGGTGAAGGAGCGTGAGCTCAGCCCAAGGGTCAGACCTAGCCTCCAGACCAGGCTACTGGCCCAAACCAATGCCCACGGTGCCGGCTGCAGGTCCGGCTCTCGCTTCAGCGCACGGCAAGGAAGGCTCTGTGCCACCTAATCCCTGTCATCTTCAGTGCTACTGGTGATCCCATGTAAGGAGTATTTCTAAAAATTACTCTCTATACTATATACGCAGATTGTGTCAGCAGCGGAGCTCCAACTGATGGAATCTTAACAACTGTCACCTGCTTTCCAGACAGTCCCCCTCCTGAGCTGCCCCCAGAGAACCACGTAACACTACTCCCAACATGGGTGTGCCTCAGAAGTAAAGCTGGTCTCTGATGCAGCCGCTGCTAAGAAAATCTGCAAGGCCAGAATCGCCTCAGCCAGAAAGCAGCGAGTTGGCCACACCGAGCCCAGGGAGTGACAGGAAGGCGCATGCACCGGCCTGACGCGGGGGGTGAGTACCTGTGGAGCAGTGACCTTTGCTGTCAAGCTTCCTGCCTGCACATCGATGAGCCACGCGTATTCCAATGAGTCGCTGCCCAGTGGAAGGCCCTCCGCGGAGAACATGGCGTGGGCGCGCAGCTGCAGGCCAGACAAGCTGATGTGGCCCTCCCGGAGACTCTCGTCCGTGGTGGGTCGCTGTGGGAACACCTCAGTCAGACACAGCGGCCAACACGCACCTGCCTGCCCAGCGAACCCAGCCCCGGGGCCGCGGGCCTGAAGTGGGCGCTGCCGTCACTTCCCAGGCTGGGCCTCAGGAGGGGACGTGGAAGAGGAATGGGGAAGATGAAGGGCTGGGAGGGGCTGCGGAAGCCGGGCAGAGCGGCTCACAGGGAGCAGCCCACGCGCCTGCTACTAATACACAGTCCAGTTCAAAGACAGGGTTTCTAGGACGACTCAGTGCTGAAGGCCCATGTCTCCAAATTGAGTATCTGTGGCATGCCATGTGCCCAGGAAGGCTGTGGGGTGCAGAACTCCCTCCCCCTGCTGTGGGGCACCTCCCCACCGCAGGGTCCCATCTCTTCTCGCCCTGCCCACCTGCACCAAGGGCGCAGCGTGCCCCTCGAGGGACACCGGCCCCACTGGGGGTGTATAGCAGGCTTCCCCAGAGGGAGCGAGCACAGTAAGGGACAGTGCTGAGCTCCAGCTTCAGGGAGGCTGTGAGGCCCGGCCTGCCCTGTCCAGCCGCGCACAGCCGGCCCCCCCGCGCGCACCACGGTCATGCACCTGGTAGTTGTCGCTGACGAACACGTTCAGGGGCGACAGCACAAGCTGCAGCATGGTCTCCCGAAAGCCCTTCTTCATCTCAAAGCACAGTCTCTCCAGGAAAGCCGTGGGGCACTCGGGCCCGTCGGCCGTTCCATGCTAGAACCAACAAGGCAGAGTTACGGGGGTGGGGCACACACGGCCTGCACAGCGCAGCCGCAAAGTGCTTCTCAAAGGAGAAACAGTGCTCAGAACACCCAACAAGCCGCCTCATGCCCACAGGGGGCCGGGCTGGCCTGCGCCAGAGGCCTCTCCAGAGCCCCAGCCCGCAGAGGGTGTGGCACCAGCTGCGGCCTGGCGTCCCCCCACCCAGCAAGGGGCACCAGGTGTCTGTGCTGGCCCAGCGTGGACACAGCTGCCTGCAGGGCTCGGTCTCAGTCCTGACTGTGCACCGGGTCTGTCGCAAAGGCCAGTGCTGCTATGGCACTGGACACAAAGGCCAAGAAACACCAAGTCCAGAGCATCCAGCGGGCTGGCCACCAAGCCAGACGCATGCTCCAAGGTAAGACAGAATGGCCAAAAGGAAAACAGGTTTTCTATGATGACAAAGAAAATCATTCACTTCAGAAGCCAGAAGGACCCCTGAGCTCTGAGCGGGGCCCAGAGGCACGCGTGGGCGCCGACTTCTCTCCCAGTAAACACTCACAACAGGAAGGCGCCCGTGGACCTTGTATAGGTTGACGAGGACGGTGATGTCCCACGGCCGCAGGGACAGCGGGTGAAGCGACCTGGCCGAGCTCTCGCTGTCCTGCCTGTCGCTCTCCGCCCCTGCAGCCGTCCACCCTGAGCTGGACGAGCTTGACAGCGACACAACGGGGCTGGACACCACCTCCTCGAAGTCCATGTACACATCATCCTCACCGAAGTAGTTCTCCTGGAGGGAAGCGCAAGCTGCGTCAGGAGAGACGCCGCCCAACGGCTCAGTCAGGACAGCGGCCAGCAGTGGGCGCCCGGGCACAGAAGGAGGGAGGCACGTCTAGGTAGGACAGACACTTCCTTGGCGGCTGGCCAAGCATCCTGTAGCTACAAAAGCACAGCATCTAGAGACCCACTGGGGGCAGCACTACCTCGACAGCAGGACTCGCAGCCAGTCCTGCAGGAAGCCCTTGCGCTGGAAGACCCACTGGCTCTTGGTCTGTGACCCAGGCCAAAGCCCCGAGTTGTCCGTTAGGGGAAGCAGGCATGTCCCCAGACAGCCCCTTGGGCTCAATCCAGCCAGCGAAACACCAGGACGCACAGTGCTTGCCAGGAGTGCCCGAGTGGCCAGACGGCCTCAGCAGGAACATTCCATTTTGGTTACTAATAACACAACGTGTTATAAACAGTTGCCAAAATGTGCTCTCCACAGTCCTCCCTGGCTTCTTAGGTAAAGCGTTTCAACTGTTGATACGGCCCGCGCACCCAGTGCACCCAGTGCACCCGCGATCTGGAACTCAGCCAGCACCACTCAACGGTCCTGACGTCAGCCAGGAGCCAACTGCTCTGTCTGTGCTCTAAGACTCTGCGCGTCCCTTTGGGAAGCACACCTTTATACACAGGAAGGCGTTCAAGAGCGGCCCATAGAGAGTCATCTGCGAGTCTGGGGACAGCTCCATCTCCACGTGCAGCTTATCAGGCGGCAGCTCCGAGGGGTCGACAGGCGGGCGTGGGGCGGAGGGCGGAGGGGCGGCTCTGGCGGGCACTCGCTGGGCCGGCCTCAGCACGGACAGCAGGGTCTCCTCCATCTCGGACACTGGAGCGAACGGAGGGAAAAAAGGTGGGGGGAGAAGAGAGGTACTTCTTCGATGTTCTTCGAGGAGCCGTTCACTAAGAAATCCTACCTTGCCGGCATGGAAACAAGTGGCCCCTGAGTATGGGGTGTCACTGCACAGACACCCCAAAGGGCCCGAGGCAAGCCCCTGGCAAGCAAGCGGGCCACGGTCATGGGGCCCCGGGGTGTGTCCGGCCACGTCAGACCCAACCACGTCTGGGCATGAAAGCAAGGCTGTCCAAGCACTGCGTAACCTCTTCACATCCCACACAGACTGGCAACTACGAAAAGTTCTCAAAACGCAGCTCACTAGAGAAACGCAGAGGAACCACCCAGACTCCAGCTTCCTTCTGGACTCTTGCAACGAGACCGACAAGACTCATCAGCTTTGACTCCGTGGTTATCAGAATGGCAGAAAGAAACTAACTTCTCACCGTGCCAAGTGCTTTATGTGGTTAGATCCAAATACACCTTGTTCCCAACCCAGCCCTGCTTCTTCTAGCTTGGCAGGCCTGAGAAAATTACCTTGCCTGCTCTGCGCACAGCTGCTACAACATCTGTCACACAGAACCCTTGCAAGGGTCAGGCCAGGCAACACAAGCGAGGGACACCAGCTGGTGTCTGCCATGGTCAACAACTAGGGCAACATAGTCCTAAGTGGCAACTATGTCATGAGAACAGGTGCATCTCCAAAGTTTTTGGTCTTCCTCTTGTTTTTGGTGACTTCAATCATAAAACCAGATGTTTCCAAGTACAGCTCACACAGGAACACTTACATGATTGCTTCAGCTGTTCATCTGCTTTCTGTGGATAAATCGGGTGCCAAGTGTAGTCAATGGTAAGGACAACACTCGGGACAGTCCAGCACTCGACCCAGCCGGCCCTTTGAAGAGTAAACAGAGTTTCTAGTCACTTAATCATCTGCAAACACCAGTTACTGACAATCTGCTTCATCATTCTCTGGAAGAATCATGGAGCGATGCTCTGCAGAAACGGGGCAGGGTGGGGGGCGGGAGGGGAGCGCGGGGCAGGGGTGGGGCGCTCACCGTTCCTGCGTAATGTTGCGCCACTTGGGCTTTGCGGCTTTCTGGCCGCTCTGGCACTCTGCAGGAAGGCCGGTGTCGGGGGCCGCTCTGTTTGGGTGGCAGTTCTTCACCAGCATGAACAGCGAGTACTTACTGGGGTGGCAATCTGGCAGGAACAAGTGAAGATCAACATCTTCTCCCTAGAAAGGGAATTGACAACAGCCAATGCAATAAAGCAGGCGCCATTTACAGCCAAAGCCACACACAAACCCTTGAGAGCTGAACGGACAGAAATTTCAAGGGGCACATTTTACAGTGAAGTCACAGGAATACTGTGACTTTACCCAGACGAGGACAACTGATGGCAACATCAGGGGAAGCCGGAACTGGCGGCGCACACTGTCTTTCCAGCCTGCAGACGTCTCAGAGGCAAAGCCACCTCTCACCCCTCACAGCCTTGACCGTGCGCTGGGCTGCTGCTGGGTGGCCAGGTGGGGTGAGAGGGAGAGTGGCAGGAGTCCGGGCTAGGATCCTTACTAGGCGGGAGGCAAGTTTGAAGAACGGAAACATCACTTCACTCTGTGAGCTCGGGGGGGCATGTTCTGGATTTTATTGCTTTTCAGAATCATTAGGTCTTCGGAGTCCAGTAAGTCTTGGGTCTTCAACTGGCTTCTAGGGGCCCTGCATGGGCTACTGAAGTACCATCGCTGCGGCCACATTACCCGTCAGTCGGCCAAGCTCTGCTGTCTGCTTCCTCATAGCAGGCGGCAGAGAGACCAAGAGAACGGGCCTGACTCACTGCCTGTGTTCACCCAACGCTCACCCCTTAACCGGACAAGCTCCAGGATGCAACAGCAGCAGGCCCTGGGGCTGCTGGGCGGGACCCACCACCATCAGCAGGTGCAGCAGCCACAGACGGCGCTGTGGGTTTAAGCTGCTCCCGCTGACACTGCTGCTGTTCTGACCACCGGACCTCCTGGTGGCGCTACCTGCCAGCCAGGATGCCTGAGAGAGACCTCTCTGCTGGCTGCCTTGAGTCCCTGGTGAAACAGGAATGAACCAAGGGTGTGGGCCCAAGGTCACAGACAAGGCAGATGGCAAGACATGGGCTAGGCCGAGAGCCCAGGGGAACACCAGGAGCAACCAGCTCGAGGCACGTTTCTAGAACCCAGCTTCTTGGGGCGCAGACACTGCAAAGGCCATGGCAGCCACCTAGGGAGAGGGGGCAGGGAGGGCCACACAGCCTGTTGAGCTGGGGCGGAAACCAGGCACGGCGACACCTACCCGGAGCGAAAACTTGGTGCTGCATGTGGCAGGAACGAAGTCCGTGAAAGGCAGGGAGAAGTCCAGGGTCAGCGTCTCCCCGCAGGCTGCCAGGTACACTGCACGGACAGGGCAGGGGGAGAGCCACTTTCAGTGTCGAACCGGTGCTGCAGAGGCTGCGTACAGCTCCGCAACCCAGCACCAAACCACTGCGCCACCGGGGAGGCCCCTGACCCTACTGTTTTTAAAGTTCTTACCATTTTCCTGCTGTTTAGTGGAACAGTCAATCCAGTTGTGCTGATTAGCAGCCCAAATCATTTCAAACTGGTGGAACATGACTTTGAAATTCCACGTGTAGGGCACAAAGGAGAACATGTCGGGGGCACTATCGCTAGACCAGTCCTGGATTAAGTCTGAAATATTATGGGTGGGGGCAGAAAGCAAAAGGAATTGAAATTCAGAAAACAAACTATAAAATTCTGATACCAGACAAAAGGAAATTTTTCCTGTTACTAGAAAGGACCTTACACTGGAACATGAAAAGGTGATTAAGGTGTAAATGACCTGACGGTAAACAGTTTGACTAGCCAAGGCTCAGCTCAGGGCTCATTGGGTTAGGAGGGCACGAAACATCTCTGGCTACATTTCCCATTGACATGCTCAGCCCAAAAGGAGGTGAAGTATGGGTGGTGTGGCCAAATGCCCGCATCGGCTGCACAGGCCCGCTGGCTGGCCGCCCACGCCCGAGCCCGCGTGCCGAGCCCGCACCTGTGAAGAAGTGCTTCTGTGCGAAGATGAAGTGGTAGGTGGCCTTGTAGACCTCAAGCTCGCACTGCCACGTCTGGGGCATGTTCCACACCCGGGGGTAGCTGGCGTTGATGTGGAACTGCAAACCAAAGGGGGCGGCATCAGACACGAGGCTCGCCCAGAGCGCAGGGCCAGCTGGTGCTGAGCTGAGCCAGCTCGGGCCCGTGAGGTGTCACTGTCGCCGCTGAGGCCAGCATGTGTGGTGACCATGGGCTCCTCAGAGCGCTAAGCCCTGAGAGGTCAAACACCCACACTACGGTTTGGTGCTGAGCCAGGGCAGCAGCCTGTGTTCCCGCGAACCCTCACCTGCCCGTGAGAGCCCGGTCAGGAGGGCCGGCTGCACGGTGCAGCCAATGGCCCAGAACCTCCAGTTCCCACCAGACCGGGTGGCAGCACCGGTGGCAACAGGCCACTCAGGCATGCGCCTGCCAGCCGGGAGCAGCCTCCAGGAGCTGCATAGCCGGGGCATCCCAGCCTGTGCGTGAGTTTTCGGAGTTCAGCAGAAGCTCTGCAACAGCACAAGCTTCATCTCGTCAGCACATCACCCGAGTGTCCTCGTTGGATAAGCCACCGAGGACCTCACACCTCACGGTCTAGTCTAACACCAAAGGCCGCTCTTCAAGCATCGGCCATTATTATACAAAGCGACTGTCCCTGCTCCTGCTGGGGCTGACTAAGGAGGCCTCAACATGCAATTTTAATCAGGAGCACACCCTTATTTTCTCTTCTTCTAATGAGGAGCACTTCAGGGAAGCAATAAGATTTTCCTCCTTTTATGCCTTCATCAAGTGAAAAACACAGTGAATTATTAATCACAGAGAAAAATCCACTGGGGCCAGAAAGCAGGCAAAAAGTCTTTATAAAGGAGAGGATTAGCCACACCACACAGTGTAAAAACAATGTCCTAACAGCTTTTCCCTTTCTGAAGACCAGACCTCGCAGGCTACTGGCCTCTCGCCAGGCCGCCAGCAGGGGGCACAGTGCAGGCTCCAGCTCCCACATGGGCCAGGAGTGCCAGGGCTTGGGTGCCAGAAGATGGACGCTGAATGCCTTGCTGGTCACCAACACTGGACACTGAAAACCACATGGGCACCGTGCGTACCAGTTAGCCCCAAGTGCCCAGCAGCCGCCCACCTACCGCCAGCATCTCCGCCTCCAGCAGCGCGCGGTACTGCATGCTGGTCGTGGCATCCACGTGTAGCAGCTGCCCCTTAATTGCAGGGGTGTAGCCTGGTAAGAACAAACATTAAGAGCCTAAAAGGTAGGACTAGAACAAACTCCCAGCTGCCCACTGAGGGGTCCCTAAAAGCAGGGACCAGTCACCATTTAAACGCCCCGTGACGGGGTGTTTCTAACCAGATGTCACCCCACCTCTGGGAGGGTCCCTCCTGCCGCCCTGGGGCGGCCACCACCAGCCAAGGCAGCTCCCTGTCAGCCTCCTGGCCCGAGGGGTACGGTCTCACCACCTCAGCCTCTCCTCGAAGGAGCCAGCCCCAGACAGCACGGCCTACCCGGAGCCAGCGGAGAAGCCCTGTGCTCTCTCAGCCAGCTTCCCCGCTCTGAGGCCACCAAGATGGCAACGCTCATCCTGCTCTGGGCTTTTGTTTTTCCAACATCAAAATCCCTGAAAATAGCTTAAATTTAATTGATTATATTTTGCTAACGTTGAAGAGCCACGTCTGTTTCTCCCCGCAGGGCAGTCATCTTAGGAGCCGCTCAGGCCCGCCTGGCTCAGCTGGGCCCAAGGGGCCTCCTCGGTCCCCCGCCCCAGCGTGGTGCACGGGAAGTGTGCAAACCCGCATCCTGCCGCCACTGGAAGGCAGCACAGCTCCTGGACCGGCCTCCCCTCGGGCAGCGCAGGGAAGTTGCCCTCCATGTGAGAAAACCCCCACCGCTGTCTCGGGCCTCAGGGGCTGGGCTAAGGCGCTAAGGCTGGTTCTTCACAAAACAGGCCAAGTTGCAGGGAAAACAGCCTGCTGCTGTGGGCACTCTTCAGTGACCCTCAGGAGAGCCACGCGCCCCGTGCTGCCAGCAGGGGCAGGTCTAAGCAAAGCAGAGCCAGGAATGCAGCAGGAGGCTGCGGCGGGGGTGGGAGGTGGAGTGGGGGGGAAATGAAGACAGCCACACCACACTGACAAATCTCACACTGTGAGCGCGTCACTGACGTCTGCGTCACAGCCCGAATTTCAGACACCCGGTGAGCCTGGAGGTCATCTCAGCTCTGAGGAAACTCGCACCCCTAGGGTGTTACTTAATAACATTTTAAGTGAGAAATGACTGACTTTCTCAGTGCTATGCCGCGCAAGGTGCCCGGCGTGCTCCCTGACAAAACCCACTAACAGCTTAGTTTAAACCAGCGCCGATCGGCCACTTGGCCAACCCTGCAGCCGCACTGGCACCTGGCTCAGCCTGGCACACCCCCGCCAGCCACGAGGGGCCGCAAGGGGCAGGAAACATGCATGAGGCAGGTCACATGGGCTCAGAGCAGAGGGTGCAGGTGGTGCCAAAGCACGAAGTCCACAACTGAAGTGGATTTTAAAATGTCTCCCTCTCTCTAGCACAATTTAATTATGTCATATTCACTGTTAGTACCTATAATACATCAAGAGAGCTGAAAGAGAAAATTCCATTAATGTCAGTCTACATGGATTTACAAGCTACGGTTTCTATGTCGCTTCTCTACAACCACCCGAGACAGAAGGGCCCCTGCAGCTCACCGCCTTCCTCGACCGTCACCGGGATGTTGATCTCCAAATAGGAGCCGGCGCCCACATTCACATGGACAGCGTTTGTCTCCTGCAAGAAAACACAACTGACGTGAAACATACAAATACACATCCACCTTTGCTTTTCAGTTATTCTCACAAACCACAATCATCAGAGATATGAAATAGGCATTAAAGCTCCTAAGAACAAAAGCGCAACCTTAGAAACACACTCATGCATGTGGCCAGTTGTAAAGGGCCCGCAGGCAGTGCCGTCCCCCCGCCCATGCGGCGCGGACTGGTGATCGGCCAGGAGGGAACAGCACAATGCGGGTGGGTGCCCAGGGAGAAATGAGCCGGGAGTGGGCCTCTCGCCGGGAAGTGCCCTAGTGGAGAACGTTCAAGTCGCACACAGTTTTCTCCTCTCGGATTTCAATAATTACCCTATTTTTGGTAAACAGCAAGTCAACTGTAGCATCTGCAATGATATTCATTCGGAGTTCAAAAGCAAGAACCTGCCGGGGTCTTCCGGGCTGAGCGATTTCAGAAACTTTCAGAACTTGGTAATCAGGTGGGAAGAAAAATTTCCATAAACAATCTCTACAGGAGGCAGAGAGAATAATGATGTTATCCAAGTGAAAGCATCTCTGGCAAGAAGTCAGTATTCTCACTGTACACTGTCACTGCCACCGAAATCACAAAACACCTACTGAAAGCAGCCCCTCTGGTCCCCTGCCTTTCAGTAAAATGAAAGACTTTTGCCCAGTTTTTATTATCCCAGAGGTCAGTGAACCCTGAGCAGATAAAGACACACTTGCCAAAGACATGGGTAGGGTAAGCATAGTGTGCGGGATCAAAGAGCAAAGACAGAACAGCAGGAAAGGCCTGGGGCAAAGACCCACCCCCGCCGCCCCTCAGGGGCAGCCCGAGGCGCTCCCACAGCCGGGAAGGACCACAAGCCTCAGTCTGGGGCCAAACCCAAGGACCAGACGGCACCACCCAGGGAGCCCTGTAACCATTTCTAATCAGTGTCCCCTCAGGAAGACTTAAGAGCAACAGAGGCCTCCCTGCTGGCCTAGGGGCTGGGACTCAGACTGCCACTGCTGCTCCGCCCTGGGTTCCTGATGCAGGCATCAAGGGGCAAGCCCCAGGCGCACCTCCCCCACAGCCCTGGCAGGTACCCGGCCACCTGCAGGAGTTCCTAGCCCCAAACTCAGGAAAATGGGTCCATCGCTGGGGCCGGTGGAAACACTGAGCTGGGGGGTCTGGGGACAGTGCGGCCCGGTGGCGGGGGGGGGGGTGACCCGCACACACCTCTGCCTGTCGGCCCACGGCCCATAATTGAAGTCCGTCCCTTTGCCACACACTATGTCCAGCCCCCAGCATGGAGGCAAGTCCTGTAATTTACAATCCTCACTGCTGGTTTCTCCGTCCACATTTTCTTCTGTTTCTTCTGGAACAAGCCCTGTATGGCAGTACACACAATGCAGACGCTTACAATCATCTTTCAAATATTTCCTTAGTCAGCAGTTCTGAAAATGTTTTTACCTCAGGAACCCTTTACACTTTTCGATTACTGAGGGCACCGAAGTGGGATTTTGTATTACAGCTACCAAGTTCACTGTATTCAAAATTTAAATTGAGCAAATTTGAAAATGTTAATTTAAAAATACTTACTACATATCGACATGAAATATTTAAGCAAATTTAATACAAATATGAAATGAAAAGTAACTTTTAATGTAAAGTAACCACATTTTCCAAAACAAAATAATTCAGTGAGAAGTGCTGGCATTGTTTTGATTTTGGCAAATCTCTTTAATGTCCAACTTAACAAATCAGGTAAATTCTCCCAGTGGCTTCTGCATTTAATTCAAGGATCAGAAGAAAAACCTGCCTCACCCAATATGGCAACTAGAACAAGGAGGGGGTCATAGGAGCGTCTTCAACCCACGCCACAGGCGGCTTGCGGGGTTCTCAGAGGCTGGCACAGCTGGGCCTGAAGTGCTGCATCCCCACAGAGGCCCGTGCTGGCCCCTGCCCCCCACTGGCCCCCGCACTCGGGAGGCTCTGACTTCACACAGTGCTCATCCGGAAAACAGTGTTTTGCAGAGATAGGCATCTTCCCCAAACCCTGAGAAATCTTATTATTAAACATTTAAAAAAAACAGTCATTAGTGTCGGTGGCTCATGGTGCCGACCCAAACTTTCCAAAATTCTGTCACATAAAAACTAAAATTACAGCTTGTCTCCTGATGCTCCTTCAAACAGAACTGGCTGGGAACTCAGTCACATGAGCACTTGTCTTCAGGACAGAGAGCTCTGCCAGGAGCTCTCGACACGGGGCGGCCACTGACTATACTGACCCGGGCTGGGTGGCCAAAGCCATCACAGGGACTCGGTGTCAGCCGTTCCTATGAATGTGCCTCCAGGACCGCCAGGCACAGGAGGATCTGTACCCACCCCCAGCACCCCCACCCCTTTCACCCCCGCCCCAGCACCCCACCCTCTTCACCCCAGCTCCAGCAACCCCACCCCCACCACTCTGCCATTAGGGCAAAGGCACACAACTGCCTGGTCTTATTCTGAAAACATTTCGAACCTCACAACCCACCTGAAAGGCGTGTCGAGGTAGGCAGGAAGGAAAAAAGGACTAAAAAGCCAACACTTGGCTGATTTTAAAAACCAACGCCACCCACGAAGCCTCGGAACTAGCTGAATTCGACCCTCAAACCTCAGTGAGACTCAAGTCTCAAATCTAACAGCCTGGACTCTCCTCCCAGCTACCTGGAGCCGCCAGGGCCGCCATTCCAGACTCATGTGGCCATTCGCATTCACCGTTTTTTGGGCTCTATTTGTAAAAGTGGGAATTGGGGGGAAATTCACAGCATTGTTCTTTTTATATCAAACGCAAACGACCGCTGGACCTCTGACAGCAGCACAGCAGCCCCCCGTGGTGGGTGCCCCTTCGCCACACTGACCAACCCCACAGAGAGGCGGAGGGCGCCGGCACCAGCCACGCCCCCAAAGCGTACCTGGCTCATCCATGTAGTAGTAGACGTCCACGTCGTTGGAGTGCATCACCACGAACCCCTCCCCCATCAGCCTCGGAGGCCTGCAAGGAGGCGGGACCCGTTAGGTGCATCCCCGGAACAGAAGTGTGCAGTGCTCTGATTAGTTTCAACAGGTGAGAACAAGATAAAACTATAAAGCAAACAAATCTAGTGCCATGAAAAGGGAAAACCTCTTCCTCAGACAGTAAAGCGACCGTTGCTGCTCTCTACATCAGACTGAAGAGCTTTCAGTCGGGCTCTCATTTTCAGACCCATAAAGTATCTTTCAGAAACATAAAAATGTCATTTTTTTTTTTATCTTAAATTTTATTTTTATATTCCCCCATAAAAATGTCATTTTTTTTAACGATTTTATATTACCTATTTTTAAGCATATTTAGTTGATTGTATGAAATAAATTTAAACATCTTATTTTTTTTAATGAATTTGTGTCCCTGCTTAGACCAGTGTAGTAATGGTGAGGACAGAATTCTCTTTTTTTTTTTTTATTTTCTCATATCACTGTACATGTTTATAGTGTTTGCTGCCCACCCCCCCCACCCCATCCGACCCCCGCCCCCCCCACCCCCCACCCCTACCGTGCAGCCCCGCAGCTCTCCCGCCACCACAGCCTTGACCGCCATCATTGTCCCTGTGCGCGTCCCTGCCCAGACCCCTCCCCACCCCAGGTCAGTTGCCAGTTTTGGCTTTTTCTTGACCTTTTGTTTGTTTTCTCTATGCTCTGCGTGTAAGTGAAACATCCCGGTATTTATCTTTTTCCTTCTGACTAGGCACAAATGGCACAAGTTTATGCTTCTCCATCGCTGAGTAGCATTCCATTGTGTCGAGATGCCACAACTTTTTCATCTACTCATCTGTTTGGGGGCATTTGGGTTGTTTCCCTATCTCGGGTATTGGAAATAGAACTGCAGTAAACACAGGGGTGCAGGTTTCCTTTTGAATTAGTGCTTTTGTGCTTCTGGGTAGATTCTTGGGAGTGGAATCGCTTGGTCATGTGGCAGACTCCAAAACTGTACCCCCCAACCACGCCAGCCCCCTAAGAGTGCTCTGGATTCAGCTTCCGGCTTTCCCCAACTCAAACAGCCGTTACTGCTGTGCATTCGCTGCACGTGCTGTTCACCCACCCACGCCAGAAATGGAAACCTGCCCCTGGGCGCACGCAAGACGTGTGTGCTCTAACTCCAAACACCCGGGCCTCATCGCCCAAAATGTATTTCCCAAACATAGTGAGAGAAAAGGGAAAAAAAAAAAATTTCATTTTCCTCTCACAGGAAGGTGTGCAAAGTCTGGTTTACCCGTGGACAGCACTGCCCTGTGGCAGTGCAGCGGAGACCTGAGCGTGGCTCCCACTTTGGCCAGGAAGGACCGGGCACCCAGGCACCTCCCCTCCCTGGGAGAAGGGCCCCTTACTCGTCATTCTGCAGACCCACGTAGCGGGGGCTGGGCACGAGCATCACCCGCACGTTCTCCAGCTTCCCCTTCACGATGTGCATGAACTGGTCCAGGTGGCTGGAGGGGGGCTTGGTGGTGTAGGTCAGGAAGGCGTCGTCGAAGCTGACGCACAGGGTCTGAGGCTGGTAGTGGTTCCCAAAGGCCAAACGCCCCTGCAGGGGGAGAGAGGACGCGCTGCCCAGGCCTGCCTCCTCCTCCTCTCCAGACCGGGTCTGACACCCAGCACCTCAGGCAACAACAGGGTGAGGCCACTTGGGCGGCGCCACATGACCCGCCACGCTGGCCAATGACGCCAGTACCTGAGGGACCAGGCACTTGAGAAGACAGTCTCAGAAATGTGTGCCGGAATAGCATGAGGGGCTAATTCTTACACACTTTATGAAAGTTGGGACCAAAAAACTAAAAGAATTTTCTTAAGATTCTATTTGCAAAACACACAAAGTTCATGAGCTAAGCCACAGCGCCAACTGCGGCAAGTCACCCACCGTGCTCACGTTGACCTTGACCACCGGGATGAGAGATCTCCACGAAGACGTGGGGTCCTGGGACTCTGTTTTCACTTTAACTCTGAGAAAAAAACAATAAAAATTGATATAAAACAAAAAATTTAAATGCCCGGGGGTGGGCACGCCCATCACTAATGCCAGCTGCAGCTTCCAACACATCCCCCATGATGCGGACGGCCCCAGGGCCCCCTGGAAGCACGGCCCCACTGCCCTCTCCTGGGAAGCACCCGGGCCCTCTGGACACAGGCTGCCATCTCCTGGATGGCAAGTTCCTGACAAGATTTTCAGGGTGATGCACTTCAATGGCGAGGTTGTCAACATGACGGCATAAATCCTGATATGGGGTCACCACATACCATCATGGACACTTCAACACAGCACCCCACTTTATAAAACAACCAAAACCGTGACAGACCACTGAGGCAGGAGTCACTCAGGCGTCGTCTGGTGTTTCAAGTGCTCTGCTAAGCAGCTGACCTTTTCCTTCCTCACAACCACTACCACACGCCAGAACAAGCGCCTCTCAATGAAATGAAAATGAACAAGAATAAGAAATTTGCCACAAAGGACACAGAATTGGAGAAATGAAATATTTCACGGCAATCCACTCAAGTTCAGATGAAAGCCCAAAGCACATCTCTTGGCTAACCAGTTAATCCCGTAGTCACCCTTGAGACCATCTCCACAAAGGTGGCTTGGGTGCCTAAAACTGCACTCAAAACTGACCTTCCCCTCCCCAAACACTTTGTTTTGGGGGTCCCTGGCCTTGTTTTGGGGGGTCCTTAAGCCAGAAACTGGGACTCCCTGCCCACCCACCCTTGAGCGGGCGCCCTGCAGCCAGCCCACCTCGTCTGAAGGGACCTTCTGCCCCGTGAGACCGTCCGCTCTGCCCCTCCCTTTCCCCCTCTCCCCTGCCCCGTCACAGCGTCCTTCGATGTGCTGTCCCTGCCTCCAGCTTCATTTCCCTTCAAATATAGCCCAGCAATGTGACCGGGGCAAAGTCAAGTTTCTCCCTCTGGGGCCTGCTCGCCAGGTTGCTCTGAGCCTCCCACTCACGCCGCTCCCACGTTCGCTGTTTCTCCTCTACAGAAACTGCTCATCTCCTCTGCCTCTGTCCTCCCTCAGGCCCCAGCCCTCCCTGGTCCTCCCGTTCTTGTCCCTGTGGTAAAACTCCTGGCACTGAAATGTCTTCTCAGCATTCTAATTCCCATATCAGGCTGTGAATTTCCTCAAGACTCAGCATCGTCACAGTCCCAGTACCTCCACTGGTTAGCCAAGAGATGTGCAGTTCCCACTGAATTTTGAACAGAGAACAAATGTCCTTGTCATCTACTTTTAAGGAACAACAAATATTAGGTATGTAAGGCTGGCTCGACACTCAAACCCAACTGAAAACAACCCAAAAATGAAAAACTGCTTGATCATATCAATAGCTACAGGAAAAGCAGCTGGCAAAGTCCAACATCCATTCATGATTCCATCCCTCGGTGAGCTAGGAACGAAGGGGGCTCCTCAGCCCGATAGAGAACATCCCCCCGAAACCGACAGGGGACGTTGTACTTAAAAGGCAAGAAGCCAGAAGCTCTCCCACAGAGATGAGGACGACGGGAAAGAGCCCCTCTCCCCGCTGCTCTGCAGCTTCACGCTGAAGTCTACCTGACACACTAAGAGAGGAAATAAAAAGGAATATTTATCAAAAGGATTTTGTTTGTAGACTTGCAGAAAATCTGAAAAAACTGACCAAACTCTCAGAACTAGTAATTACGGCAAGATTGCTAGATACAGGCTATTAAGATATGATGAGCCACTTTCCCATAAACTAGCAATGAACAAGTGAAATGCGAAAATAAAAACAATACCATTTACATCAGCTCCACCAACAAGTAACTACGCAGCCACGCACTGAGCACCCTCCGCGAGGGCCGACTGGGCCGCGACGGGAGAAGGGCGTGAGCCCCGATCGGTACCGCCAGGTGCCAGCCCTGCCCACCGGCCCGCAGACCCAAGGCGGTCACGGCCAGTCCCAGCAAGTTCTTTTGTGGACATTGACAAACTGCTTTGAAAGTTTAACAAGAGGCAAAAGACCTAAATACTGAAGGAGAATAAAGCTGAAGGCCGGACACTAGGCAACTGCAGATTTACTCTGAAGTTACGGGAGTCAAACAGTGTGGGGCTGGGAAAAGACAAATGGAAAGCCCAGAAACAGACAATCAAAGCATGCATTTTAGATGCCCCTTAAATATCTCTATTTATGTATTCTGTACATGCATTCAAAGGGGTCCAAAACAATAGTATCATTTTTAATTGTTAAGAGTAGTTATCAATATAGAGGGAGGGTTGGGCCTCCCCCGGTGGCGCAGCGGGTTGAGCGCAGTGCTGTGAAGCTGTCCACAGCCTCTGCAGTGTGGATTCGATCCCCGGCCGGCCAGAGAGATTCCCACATGGCGCGGCAGACCTCTCCTGTCTTGCCCGCTGCTCCCCTCAGCAGTGTATTTCAGTCAGTCTACCTGCTCTGTTCCCCATTCTGTCTCTGGTGAATCCTCTCACCCTCCCGCGCATCTGGCCTGTACCCCAGTTCTTGTATGCATGAATAAATAAATCTTTGGGGAAAAAAATAGAGAAAGGAGTAAAAGCAGATACTGTGGAATTTAAATAATTCCACATTATTTAAACTTTTAAAAGAATTATAAAATTATTTATATGAATAAAAGTTGAGTTAATCTACAAAGAAATACAGGTTTTGTTTGGGTGAAAAGCAACAATAATATCTAATAAAAGCAAATGTCCAAATGTTGGCTATTAATAAAATTCAAGTGTGAAATGAACCTTTCAATTTTGGACTGGGTTCTAGTTCTTCCATCATCCTGGGTTTTATCATCCTCCTTCTTGGGTGGTATTATAGTGGGCTCCAAACCAAACAATTCCTGAAGACGTCCATAAAGATCCGAACGATTATAAACATGGAATTCAAAGTCATTGACTGTGATATATAACCTGGTTTCTGCCTTTGGATCTAAAGACATCAATTACAAAAAAAAATTTTAGTCAACTTTTTAAAACTTTAAATATTTTAGCCAAATCTTCGTTCACAGTTAACTAATTCAAATGATTTCTTTTAGAATTCTATAATAAAATAAAAAGCATATTTTAAAAATATATAAAACATTGGCAAAAGAAAAAAAAGCTGATGTTCTTACAATACTTTAATTTAGTATGCTAAAACACCCTATATTTCTGTATCCAATTATTGAACAACAAAATTTACAGAATTTATGCTAATAACAGCAAACTCACATTTACAGAGTAAAAATAAAACTTTACCCTAAGATAGTCACGAATTTGTACTAAATTATAAATAGCAAAATACTCAAAGTACAAAGTATTTAAAAGGCACACCATTATTTGAATCTTTGCATCACAGACTAGGTAGGGCTTTCCATGAATAACTCATCTGTGTTTTAAAGCTACACGATACTAAAGATTCCATGAGCGCTGGACTTCGAACTTAATAAGCCCACACTGAAGTGGCAAAGGGGCGGCCTGCTCTTTACAGGGAAGGAATTAGACCTGTCTTTTTTTTTTAATTAATTAATTTATTTATACAAGCACTGGGTACAGTCAAAAGCATGGGAGGGTGAGAGGATCCGCCAGAGCCAGAGCGGGGAACAGAACAGGCAGACTGACGAAACACACTGCTGAGGGGAGCAGCGGGCGGCAGGAGAGGTCTGCGCGCCATGTGGGACCCTCGCGCCATGTGGGACCCTTGCCAGCGGCTGGGGATCGAACCGGCACTGCAGAGGCTGCAGGCAGCTTCACAGCCCAGCGCTCAACTGCTGCGCCACTAGGGGAGGCCCAGACCTGTCTTTTTGAGACCTTTTTTGACCGTTACGTATTTTTATCCCTAAGCAAATTCAATTAGATCTGATCAATTAAAAAGAGTTTATTTTTTTTAATGGGCAAAGAGAATTGGTATTAACTTTAATATTAGTGGCTTTAGCTGTGAATTAGTGAGGCATATACAATTTCAACATTAATTTCTTCTCTAGTTATTAGCAAAAACAAAATTTTTGGGCCTCCCTAGTGGCACAGGCAGTTGAGCACAGCGCTGTGAAGTTGTCTGCAGCCTCTGCAGCGTGGGTTTGATCCCGGCCGGAGATACCCACAGGGCACAGCAGACTCTCCTGTCTTGCCTGCTGTGCCCCTCAGCAGTGTACTTCGTCAGTCTGCCAGTTCTGCTCCCCACTCTGTCTCTGGTGAAGCCTCTCACCCTCCTGCACATCTTTCTGGCCTATACCCCGATTCTTATATGCATGAATAAATAAATCTTTAAAAAAAGAAAAACACAAATTTTTCTTTCACACAGTAATACTCATAGTTCTATTCCAGTCTAGGTTCTTTTCCTCAGTAGTTCCTAAGATAGTTGGAAAAAAAAAGATAAACCCAATAATCCTTCACCAAGAAACTAATATTTAGGAGTTGTAACTTTTCTGGAATTTTTTAACAGCTCTTGACAACACCCTACGCTAGTATAGCAGATATTTCACTTCTCTTCTTGCTGTGGGTTAAATTCTTAAAATAAAAGCACACTTGAGGTGCCTAGAATTTGATGGCAATGAGGCTCACATTAGGTTTGTCTTTCTTTAGTCATTACCCATGCCCCCTCCCAGGTCAGCAGGCCTCTCAGCTGCACACCCTCTTTCCACAGAGCCACTCCGGAGCCCTGTCATATCCACGGCAGATCCACCCGTGAGCTGCTCCTTCCCTCACACCCTAGATGCCGGCCATGGCTCCAGCAGCTCACTGCTGTTCTGACAGTGTCCCTCTTATCACTGCATGTTTCACCTGGAAAAGTTATTTTTCAAAGGGCATGTTATTTGTCCCATTATGTAATAGATTTATTAGAAATGTTTAAATTAAATGTTTATATAATAACAAGCTTAATTTTAAATACAGTAAACATAAATGATGTAACTTGGATAATCAAAATCTCTCTGGGGCCGACAACAACCTAGAACACTGGAAAGGGTGTCTGAGAGGAGTGCCCTGAGCGCCCAGCCCTGGCGCATGAAGCCCCTCCCGGGGGTGTCACTGGTGCGGGCAACTGTGGGCCCGGGAGGCACAGACAGCACCTGCTGAGCCGGGAGGGCAGAGAATCTGGGGATAAAAGCTCCTCCTCACCCTGGGAGGTAAATGAGAACTTGGGCAGTGCCAGGAGGATGACAAGAGTAGGAAAGCGGCATAGGGGAGGATTAAAGAGGGAGCACTGCGGCCCCCACAGCCAAGTGGGCTGGGAACGGCAGCCCGTGTTGAGGACGAGCTGAATGAATAATCAATCGGCTAAAGGCACAAATCAACCACACAAGCAGAAAGCCAACGGAGGGTTTTTAGCCCAGGGGTAAAAAAATCAATTTGTAAACGTCAAAGCTTTATAAAAATATTTTAATCTATTATAAAATGCAAAACATTTCAATATTTATAAATGAAAACTCTAAGGATACGACTGCAGATTTCAAGTACATGGAAACTCACCGTGCTGTTTCTGCTTTGGGTTATACATTTTCCACCACCGAAAGATTACAAATCCATCTTGAATTCTACACAAGAAAAAGTTAAAGATAAAAATGTAACGATTTACGTAACTCATTTCTTCATTAGATTTTATAGAATACAAGCAATAAATAAAAAATGAGGAAATACAGAAAATTTTCAACAAGACACTGGCATCCCTAATTGTTCCCTAATATTCCAGTGATAAAAGGAAAAGAGGACTTGCCAAGTTCTCAATTAGATTCCTCGATTTTGGTAAAATATACCAGATTACACTGAACAGTAAACCTAAGTGTAACAAAATGTTTTCTTTTCTAAATGTTGTAGAAATTAGGTCAGCTGTTAAAAGGGGTGTCAGCACACTGAGGGGAGACTTGGAAAGTCTGTAATGATGGGTTCCCTCAGGCGCCAGAGTGTGTATTCACAGCCTCTTCCCTTGCTACCTTTTACTTTTAATTTGGAAATAATTTTAGACTCACAAAGAAGTTGCCTCTGAATTAAGTGAGATATGGGTGATGCCAAAGAGCACCTCCCAACTAATTCAAACTGATCAAGTTCTATTTAAGTGATACATTTTAAGGAAATAACAAAAATAAAGCTTTTCTTTCCAGGCTTACATGAAAAAGACTATCTCATAATTTTAATTATCATCTACTATCATTCAGATTTGCATTTCCTTTTTAGAGTAAAATTAGAGCTACAGCAGGTGCTAAACAATTCTAAAAACTTACTACCTATAATAAGGATCCAATGGATGAGTTATTAACACTCTTGGTCCTTATTTTATATAACATATGACCATCACAAATTCTACAACAAAAATATTCAGAGATTTTAATAACTCAATTTTTCATCTAGGAATGAAATGATTCATTTCTATAAGTTGCTAAATCAACTTTTTGTCAAACTAAATAAATCCACTGAAACATTTTAAAACATCAATACACCAAAAAGGATTTACTGAGTAAATGATTTTTTTTTTAATTTTTTTTTTTTATAGAGGCATGTTTTATTTATTTATTTATTTGTTTGTTCGTTTGTTTTGTTTATACATGCACTGGGTACAGTCAGAAGTGCGGGAGGGTCAGAGAATTCACCAGAGCCAGAGCAGGGAGCAGAGCAGGCAGAAGGACCGAAGTACACTGCTGAGGGGAGCAGCAGGCGGCAGGAGAGGTCTGCGCGCCACGTGGGACCCTCCTCTGGGGGCCGGGGAGCAGCCGGGGATCGAACTGGCGCCGCAGAGGCCACGGGCAGCTTCGCAACCCAGCGCTCAACCGCTGCGCCACCGGGGAGGCCCGAGTAAATGATTTTTGATGTAGGTTTTACATGGAAAAGCAAGTGATACTAAATAAAGTGTCACAATCAAAAAGTTTTAACATTTCAAGCTTGTCTAATGCGCTCTTCTTTGTATTATTTCTTACCTAATAGACATGTCTTCCGTAATGTAATAGATTTCACGGACCATGACTTTTCCAGAAAGAACCGAAAAAGAGAAAGAGCCTGAAATGGGAAAAAAACCAACTGATGAATATAATCGCTGTGACAGAGAACAGAGCCCTGAAAGTCTGAAACCACCTCAGCACAAACGGCACCCAACGGCTGCAGGCTCTCGCCTCCCTGCCCCGTGCCTACAGACCCAGGCGTTTCCCATCACCTTGCCTCAGCCAGAACAAAAAACAACACAGGTGTCATCAGTAAGGACTGAGTTAGCAAACAGCCATGAGGACAGTTTAAAAGGCTGCTTCCTGGGGATAATCCCCTCCCTTATGCACCACTACTAAGTAAACCAAAGCAGCAACTAATTCAATATCCTTCTCCATTGGCGTGGGTGACTTGGGACCAGTCACTGTCTCTAATCAACGGAGAAGAGTTACGTCTGGGAGAAGTGTTATGTACATGCACTAAGAGGGAGTCGACTCTCAGGAAGGTCGAGTGCTCTGCTCAGAACCCCTCATAGCCGCAGCCAGGTGAGGACTTCCCAAAGCATGGGGCCTCTGAGACACCCCCGTCTGTCTGCAAGGCCTCTGCTGGAGCACATCGGAGATGAAGCAAATGCGGCACATCAAGATAAAATACACAAGGCGATAGCGACTTAGAGATTTCTAAGCATATAAAAATTACTTTGAAATAAAAACAGCAAAGTTTTCACCCAGCATTAGACATTTTCTTTGGATGGTGAATTCTTGAGAAATTTCTACGTCCCTATTTTATGTCTAGATTTTTCTAATTATTTTAATGAGCATCTTTCACAAGCAGCGACAGAATCTACCAGCTGCCCCAGGAACACCTGAAGACGACCGCTGGGCGGGGCTGCGGCCTGCCCACCCAGCAGGCACCACAGCAGGGTGGGCTCCAACTCACCGATGTGGATGTAGCCGCGCTTGTGCAATCTGTTCAGAACTAGCGTCAGGATCAAGCCAACATTCCGAGAATTATAGTAGGTGAGATAAATAATCCACCCGCAGGACAAAATGGTAGCTGTTGGGAGAAGGAAAATTCAAAAGGATCTCACATTAAGTTTTCTTTTGATCATCACAATATTTTAATAAAAATGGTAGTAAGGTGATCACACATAACATTCAGGATTCATTCCCTTGATAGAATATCATCTTATAATTTAATATTTGAAACTGAAAACCAGAAGTTGATTCTACTTCCTCATTCTCCTTAGTCACTAGCTAGAAATGGAGAGATTCCAATCAGTGAATTAAAAGAGATGTTTCAAGAACACCGCTTCCCTTTCTTTCTACTTCTTTTCTCAATGCTTTCTACTGTTTTAGTGATTATACGCGTGTAAAGACATCCTGGGAAGAGAAAGTCCATATTCTGAATATTCTGGAAAACAATCCCCCTTACTAGGCTAAAGGCTCATCTCAATCTATGCCTCAAGGACACAATCACTTCAAAAATAAGAAAACTGATGAGTTATTAATTCAGAGAAAAGTAACTTTAAATTGCTTTTTAAAAATTAATGGAAATGAGTAGGAATTTTAGCACACTTAAGGCAGGTCTATGAAAGGCAGTGCACTTACACTGGCTTGCTGTAACTGGTAAAACAACAACCTACTCTTAAAGAATGCCACCGAATATGCTATAGTAAATGTTATTTGACATTTGACCATTTCTTTCTTTTTTTTTTTTTAAATATCCTTCAGCACAGTTTTTGTTTTTTTTTAAAGATTCATTTGTACATGCACTGGGTACAGTCAGAAGCGCGGGAGGGTGAGAGAATTCACCAGAGCCAGAGCGGGGAGCAGAGCAGGCAGAAGGACCGAAGGACACTGCTGAGGGGAGCAGCGGGCGGCAGGAGAGGTCTGCGCGCCATGTGGGACCCTCCTCCGGTGGCCGGGGGGCAGGCGGGGATCGAACCGGCGCTGCAGAGGCTGCGGGCAGCTTCGCAACCCAGCGTTCAACCGCTGCGCCACCGGGAAGGCCTGACATTTGACCATTTCATATGAAAAGTTAATCATGCATAAAACATGGTAGTCCGCAAATAACCTAGTTCATGAATACGCAAAAATCAAAAGAAAGCATTTTGACAATATTCTTTTGCTTATCCACTTAAAAGTATAACTATTTCCTAAATTAGGACAAAAATGTCAAGCAAATTAACATGTGTGAGCATCTAGCAATATTAACTTCTCAATGCATTTAATTATTTAATAGAGATAAAACTAAGTCCTAGAGTCTGACTACAGCACAGCAGGGAAGGCAGGCCACCCCGCAGCTCTACAAGCAAGTGCTATGAATTCTCCATGGAAATTATTTCCACGATTCTATTGAGACTTTCTGACTAGAAGCCTTTATGTTTTAAGTCTCGTGTATTGCGTATGGACTTTTATCACAGAAGCTCTGTCAGCAGCAGGCTGCTGGAGTGCTTCAGAGACACAACAGGATTGCTGGGAAAGTCTGGGCCTGGCAGTGACGCCCAGACTGCAGTGTTTTCACCACATCAAGCCCCCACCCGTTTCTGTGATAAGATCACTCGTAAAACAGCGGGATTTAACAATCACTAATGATTTTCTCACTATAGCCACCTTTACCCACTTTCTCCTGCTCTGGAGAGGCAGCTGGCAGAGATCCTGGAGGCGGCACAGGCAGGGTCAGTGCCGGCCCAGGCCACGGCCCCAGGCAGCTTCCCCACACTCCCCGCCCCTGGAGGACCACTGGTGTTAGTTATTTCATTGTCTGACAAGTTTACAATCAAGCAAATAATCCTAAGTTGCTATAGCTGCTGTTTGTTTATAGTTGACTCTCTTGTAAAATACAAACTTATAATATAAACCAAATGATTCAAAACTTGATAGGAGTCAACGTAGGCTGTCTGTCCACACAGCACTGGAAGGCGGTCAGTAAACAGCCACTCAGGCTGGCCCTGGCTTCCCCCCACCCAGATCCCTGTGCAAACCGAGTGCGGCCCGCCCAGGGCACCAGGAGCCTACAGCCCTCCTCCCCGGCTCCGCCACATTCTGTAACTGCCCCTGGCATCTGTTTACTCCAGTCACTCACACGCCCTCCCTCTCTCTGCCATTTAATGGTATACTGTTTATGATTTCTATAAACCTAGAAAGCTTCTGGAATATTAGACAAAAAAGTTATTATTGGCAAATTCCATAGCCATACAGAGTGAGGAGAGATGAGAAAACGGATTAGCAAAGACATATTTACCCAGAGGACTTTACTATGTTTGTCATAAGGACGTTCATGTCTGTGTCAGGTGGGGTGAAGAGGGGACCTGCAGCAGCAGAGACAGCGAAGGGCCGAGTCTCTCTGCACCCACCTCCCCCACCCAGGCCCCAGTAAGAGCAGGAGCAGCCTAAGAAAAAGCTTCCAGGGAGGTCTCCCTGGTGGTGCAAGGGGTGAAGACATAACCTATGAAGCTGTCTGCAGCCACTGCAGCATGAGTTTGATTCCCCGGCCTGCCAGGGAGGTGACCCACATGATGGAGCAGACCTTTCCTGTCTCCGTGCTGCTCCCCTCAGCAGTGTACTCGGTCTGCCTATTCTGATCCCCGCTCTGTCTCTGGTGAATCCTCTCGCCCCCCACACCTCTGGCCTGTACCCCAGTTCTTGTATGCATAAATAAATCTTTAAAAAAAAAAAAAGATAAAGATAAAGCTTCCAGAGCCAACTGTCACAGAAACAGAGGTTCCAGTCTCCCTCCCTGGCAGAAAATAAATAAATGGGGCTGTAAACACTCCGGCTCCAACCACCACTGCTTGAAGCCTGGCAGCCGCTGGTCCATCAACCAAAAACAACCAAGTACAAGGAGACAAGCCACTCACCGACGAGGAGCCACACAACGTTGGAATTGTGTTCCGTGAGGAAATCCTCCAGCTGAGTCAAACTGGGGACGATGCTCTCATTCTTCCTTTGATCCATTACAGACGTTTTTCCTGAACCGCCCCAAAAGGCCTGAAAGAATGCAAATGTGTAGAAGACTAAACTGTGAGGGAAATCATGTGGGCGGGGGGGGGGGGGGGGGGTCGAATACACATGAAAGTGCATTAAATCACATCCTGCTCCTTCACTGATGAGAACTCAGCATCACAACGACAGGACATTTCCATATCTCCACATAAAATGTAAGACAGGAGCAGCAGGCCTCTCCTGTCTCCCGGCTGCTCCCCTCAGCAATGGATCTCAGTGGATCCACCTTTTCTGCTCTGTCTCTGGTGAATTCTTTCACACCCCGCACCCCCAGTCTATACCCATTCTCCCCCATGACAAAAAGAAAAACAAGCAAAATGTAAGACAACGTATCCTATTTCCAATGTCCTGACTTCACCACCCCAGCAGACACTCGGGCTCAGCTACTGTACTCTGGCTCAACGTGACAGGGGGTGACTGTCCTTAGATCTGTTCACACGTTTACCCCACAATGATAAGGGAGCATTAACCACGTAGTTACATAAATTCACAGATAACCCAGAGCAGCCACCGGCAGTGTGTGCGTGTCGCGTCCCAGCAAGCCTCCTAGCCTCCATCAGGGTGTCCTCCTCGTGCGCCGTGGGGAAGCACCTCCCTAGGGCAGGCAGATCTCCTGCCACCAGATGCTTGGCTACACCACAATGCACTGTGTGAGGTGTGTGTGTTAGCACGAGTGTGAGTACTCAGATGCACTGAGAATGAGTAAAAGGTGAGGAATGAAAGCTCTTATTTTATGATCTAAGAAACAAGAAAATCATGCTTGATTATACGGTATTAACATAAAGTCCCTATAACACAACTATCTGTGGCAAATGAGAAAAAGGAAAATTACCCTTCACAAAAAGAGCTATACAGTTAATAATCATTCAAGACAACACATGAGAGAATGAAGTCAGATTACTCACTCGCCCCATACACAAAAACAAACTCCAAATTGATTAAAAATTTAGATGTAAAACCTGCAACAATAAAATGCATAGACGAAAGCTGATGACGCAATGTGTGACGTCAACAGTGGAGAGATCTGGGCGACTGGACCCCTCTAGCAAGGGAATTAAAAACAAGAATAAACAACTGGGATGCCCTCAAGTTAGACAGCTTCCAAGCAGCAAAAGAAAACACAAGTCAGGCAGATCCCGGCTGAATGGGGAAAGACAGCTGCAAAGAACATAACTGACAAGGGGCCAACATAAAAACAGACAAAAACTCATACAATTCAACAATTAAAAACCAAATCACCTCTTAGTAAATGGGCGGCAGATAGGAACAGATGACCCACCCAAGAGGCTGCCCAGAAGCCACAGACACAGGGAGAAGAGCTGTGTCGCGCCCAGGGACAGAGGCCAGTTGAGAGCACAGGAGACGGCACCGCGCTCCTGTGAGAAGGGTGCCTACCGAGCGGGCCCCAAGACCCTTGCCGGAGAGGCTGTGGGGAAAGAGGGGCCGGTCACGCTCCAGGGCCACCTCAGCAGGAAGCAACCTCAACTTACCTTAACAACTGAAAGTGGAACCACACAGCCCAGCTCGGGCATCTCTCCAGTGAGCGTGAGCCCTATCACTCACAACAGCCAGGACGCGGAGGGACGCAATGCCCATCAGAGGCCCTGATCGAGAGGCAGGGCGCCCACACTTCGGGGTACCGTGCGGCCATGAGAAAGGATGCAGGGCGGCCACTTCCAGCAAAAGGGAGGGAGAGTGAAAGAATCGTGTGCAGCAAAGTCAGAATAAAAACAAATACTGGGTATTTACATGCAGACATAAAGATAAAATACTTTTAAGAACATAAGACACTTTCCAAAAGACATGGACCGTCACTAAGCCTCCCAAGGACTTGAGGCAAGCCAGGGAAGGGAGGGCGTTGGGGACACAAGGGACGGAGGTGGGGAAGAAGCCCTTCGAGGCCAAATGGCAGAGGCAACATTTTGAAAAAAAACTAGAAAAGCAGATTTAAAAACAGGAACAGTATGCGAGGAAATTCACTTGATTTGTCAACTTCCTAAAATGTTCTCTGTTTATTAACCACAAGGCCTATGTTCAGAGATCACTAGTTTAAAAACGGGGTGAGGACACACTGCCCACGGCCTCCACAGCAGTGGCCACGTCCACACCCCCGCAATGCTGAATGCGCTGTGACCGCAGCAGGCTGCTCTAAAGCAGGGAGAGCTTACTGGCAAAGGCTAACCATAAACAGTGACCGGGAAGCCGAAGGGTGAGGTTGCAGAGCAAAAGTTTAAATGCCTTTATGAACCCTCACCCTGGAGGCGAGTAAAATGCTCACACATCTAACAGACCGGTGGCGGTAGGATATAGGGGTGGGCCACAGAGGAAGTGGGTGACAGTCAAAGGAGCAAGTCAGGCATGACGGGACTGCAGTGCGGGGGTGCCCACAGAGGGCGTCAGCACCGGGCTGCAGAGTGGATCTCCACAGCCAGGTCGCAAGCTGCGGACAGTGGCTTACACAGAAGTTCAGCTTCAGGGAGTTCCAGGGGGACATGACCCACACAATCCTAGACATCTGCCAGGGCCTTTAAATGGGCATGGAATGGACCAGAAATCTCTCCATAAGCATAAAGAGTAGCCGAGCACAACCAGGCTGGGGGCCCAAGCTTGGCCCCTACAGAGCTGTCGGCTCCTATAACGGCCACCCCAGAACCCACTGTTAACATGACAAGGCAGGACGTGCCAGGCGGGCCAGGACCTCCACTGGCTTTGGAGTCCGCCCCAGGGCTTCTCCTGGCCTCTGTGGTCACAGAAATCAGTCCTCCGTTCACTACAAAAGACGAGTTTTCCTGCCAGCTCTAACCTCTAGCTTAGGAGCTAATTTAAATGTTACCAAAATTCATTTTAAAACACTTTATAACACAGGCAGCTTAATGAGCAAGGGAAAGAGAGAAAAGAATGTTGACGCGTGATAGACAATCAAGTAAGAGCTTCCCTCGGCTTTCTCCTGACAATACCCAACCTCAGACAGCTGCGGCTCAGCGGTCAGGCAACACGGTCACGTTGCGGGCCACCAGCGTCACACCCGTTCCTTTACCACCAAAACAGATTAAACCACAGGTGAAGCAGATTTCCTTATCTGAATATCCAGTGGTAATCAGATTTTTTTTAATTTAGACAAAATATATACCCACGTTTTTCCTGAGTGTGCAATGTTCTCTCTCCTTCTTGTCTTCAGAAGGCCTGTTCCGAGTGCTCCATCCTAACAGACCTGAAAAGCACAGCGGTGGAACCCACTACTCAAGCCGTCGCCAGCAGCAGCGCCCCCGCCCCAGCTGGCTGGTCGGGCGTGGATGTGGGCGGGGAGCCTCCAGCGCGCGCCCCTCCCTAGCGCGGGCGAGCCTGGGGCGCCCCGGCCCTGGGCCTCGGCTCCTGCGCCCTTCCCAGGCTGCACTTACGGAAACGCGCGATTCTGGCAGCCGGAGGGCTGCAGACGTCGAACCCCACCTTCAAAACACGCAAACACGGCCTTGAGAAAGTCGTTCTCCCCCACTGCCGCCGCCGCGTCTCCTTCCTAGCCCGGCGCCCGCAGACCTGCCCCAACGGAGCGTCACCCGCAAACCACGGGCGCGGGCGGCGAGAGGGCGCCGCCCGCCGTGGCTCGCCCCGCAGCTCCGACGGACGACCGTGCCGCCCCCGCGCCCGGCCTCGCCCAGACGCGCGTCCCGCGGGGGCACCGACTCCGCGCGCCAGGCCCAGTGCGCGCGGACGCCGGCTGCAGCGCCGGCCGGACGGCCACAAACGCGGCGACAACCGCGGCCCCGAGGCGACGGGACGAGGCCCCGCGGCCCGCCCCGCCCCCCCGCCCCGCCCGCCGCGCCCCCGCGCCCCACCTCCCGCCCACGGGGCGGCGTCGCCGCAGGAGCCTGCTGTCCGCGGGACCCGCCCCGACCCACGCGGGAGGGGGCGCGGGCGGGAGCCCGTCCGGGGGCGCGCACGACCCCGCCCCCCCGCGCCGGCCCGGCCCGGCCCGGCCGGCCCGGCCCAGGCCCTCCCGACAGCGGGCCGACCCCGGCCCAGAACGCTGCGCGGACCCCGACCCGCCCGGCCCGGCCCAGGCCCCTCCGAACCCAGGCCGGGGCGCCCGCCGCCCGAGAACCCGCCCGGCCGGCCGCACCGGGGCGGCGCGAGGGGCGACGGCCTCACCTGCCGGCAGGCGCCGCGGCGGCCCAACCGTCCGGCCGAGCCCGGGACGCGGGTGACGCCGCAGACTCCGCGGGGGGCCTGGGCCTCGGCCCGCGCCCCGCGTCCGCCGGGCGAGCTGACGGGCGAGGGGCGGCGGCGGGCGGCTCTGCGGCTGCGCCAACGCCCCCCCCCGGCGCGGCGCCGCGGGCACGTCCCCGCCCCGCCCCTTCCGGTCCCGGCCCGCGACGCGGGCGGGGGCGGAGCCGAGACGCGGGGCGGGGCCGAGACGCGGGGCGGGGGCGGAGCCGAGACGCGGGGCGGGGCCTGAGCGGGGCGGGCCGGAGCCGGGACGCGGGCGGAGCCTGACAGGAGACGAGGGCGGGCCAGAGCCGAGACGCGGGGGCGGGATCCGGGATGAGGGCGGGGCGGGATTTGGGGCCGGGCGGGCCGGGGCCGGGCGGGGCGGGCCGGGGCGGGCGGGGCCAGGCGGGCCGGGCGGGGGCGGGGCCAGGCGGGCGGGCGGGGCGGGGCGGGGCGGGGCGGGCCGGGCGGGCGGGCCAGGCGGGCCGGGGCGGGGCGGGCCAGGCGGGGGCGGGGCGGGCCAGGCGGGCGGGGCGGGGCGGGGCGGGGCCGGGGCGGCCGGCGGGCCGAGCGCTGCCCCTGAGCCGGCGCGTCGCGGCCGTCGGGCCCCGCCCCAGGCCTGGACGCCAGCGGGGCGCACGCGGGCCCGGTGCAGCCGTCGCGCGCGCGCGGCGGGCGGACGCGGGAAACGGCCGCGCGCCGCGGCCGGCGGGGCGCTCGGGCCTCGCGTGCGGGGCGGGCGGCGGCGAGAGCCCCCGGCCAGGCCTCCCAGCCCCGGGCCCGACGTCCCGGTCACTCCCGGTCCAGGCGCAGACCGCGGCCGCCGGCTCCCCGGTTCCGCCCCGGTGCGCTCCCGGCCCCGCCCGCGCCCCGGCCCCGGGTGCCGCTTCCGCGTGCGCTGGTGTTTCTAAAAAACGACGCGAGCCTCCGGGGGCGCAGCGGTGGGGCGCTGGGTGGCGGGGCTGCCCGCGGCCTCTGCAGCGCCGGTTCGATCCCGGCCGCCGGCGAGGGTCCCACCAAAAAAAACCAAAAAAACAAAAAAAACCCGACATGGTTGTGGGGTGTGTCGGTGGCCGCGCACGCGCACCCCAGCTTGCATCGCAGCGAAGCGACTTTCAAACAATGAGTTTTGAGCATCGGCCGGTTCCCCCACCCGCAGAGGCGGGCAGGACGGGCGCCTCCGCCCTCCGCAGCCTCGGGGCTCGCCGCCCGCCCGCCCGCTCGGGACTCCCCAGAAGCGGGTCGTGTCTTCGTCCGCCTGCACGTGCAGAGACGACGCTGCGCCGCCGACGGGGACACAGCAGTCCTCGCAGCAGGGTCGTCGCGGGGCGCGCGGGGCCGAGGCGCGGGCGGCCAGCGGGGACGGGGGCGCGGCCGGGCGCGGGGCGGGCGTCGGGGCAGCCCCCGTCGGCGCCAGGAAAGGGCAGCCCGGGCAGCGGGCCGCCAGGGAGGGGCCTGAGAGTCGGGGAGGGAGGGGCCTGGGAGAGCTGGTGGCTCCGGAGGAAGCCGGTCCACGCACTAGAGAGGCAGGAACGGCTGGAAAATGAACTTTTCCATCCGAACAATCTGCGGCAGGAGACACTCGAGTAGGATTTACTGGTGAGAGAGTGTGAGATAACGGGAAGACGGACGTTTCAGAGACAGAACTAAAGAGAAAGTTTACCTAAACAGAAAGCGTATTGCATTGATTCTGTTTTGATAGGTTAATAATATGCAAACTAAAATTACAAACTCCCAAACTTGGCAAGTTGTGTATCCTTTCTCTTTGATGGAATCTAAATTCTGAGTAACAGCAAAAGGTTCCTGGCTATAAAGCTTCACTTTATAAACAGCGCAGGACAAATAAATTTCAGTTAGTGCACATATAGGTAATTTTATTATTCTGGAATTCAATTTTTTCTCTGTTTCAGTCAAGTGTAAATATTGGTCATCCTACCGTTGAATTATTGTTCTGAAGTTACTAAAACTTCCAGCAATAGATGCAATTTTGAATAGCAATTTTTATGGCTCATTCTAAGCACTGTCAGGGTCACAAATCACAGTGTCAGCATTTTCATTAGAACAAAATATCGTAATTTGTTTATTTGTTACTGTACATCAAGGATATAACTCTCTAATGTACACATCTATTAAACTCTAATCGTGTTTTCTCTTCCACAAACTTCCATTTCAATAACGAGTAACTGGATTATTGCCCCATCCACATAGCTATCAAAAACAGCCCACTGTCACTTTCCCTAAACTATTAAGGTAATTCTTTTAGAAACCAACAAATTACAACATGATTCATCTCAATTTATATAAACTGATGGTCTCCCTAGGATGTTGGCAGATACTGAAGTCGGGTTGAATGCTTTTGGGTCTGAAAACACTTTCAAAGTCTCCCTTTTGGGCTAAGAAATGTCTGAGAAGAATTTGAGAAGAATCTGAATGAAAGAAAAATGTTAAATGTCCGGAAGTATGGGGATCATACCAGACTTGGTGTTCTTCTTGTTTAGTTAAATGGCAAGTTTTTAATACTGAAGAGAGGAAAGCTGAGCGGCGACCCTAAACAGACATGCAACTGGGTGTAGGGTTCCCCACAGGAGGACACCCCCCCACACACACATACACAGTGGTGTAACATGCCTTCATTTTACAGACGTGAACACCTACAGAAATGAGATTCCTTTCAAGACTGGCGGTATTGGGCCTCCCAGGTGGCGCAGCGGTTGGGCGCTGGGTTGCGAGGCTGCCCGCAGCCTCTGCAGCGCCGGTTTGATCCCCGGCTGCTCCCCGGCCACCGGAGGAGGGTCCCCCATGGCGCGCAGACCCCTCCTGCCGCCCGCTGCTCCCCTCAGCAGTGTCCTTCGGTCCTTCTGCCTGCTCTGCTCCCCGCTCTGGCTCTGGTGAATCCTCTCACCCTCCCGCGCTGCTGACTGTACCCAGTGCTTGTATAAACAAAACAAACAAACAAACAAACAAACAAATAAATAAATAAAACATGCCTCTATAAAAAAAAAAAAGACTGGCGGTATTGGTTTTTACAGTGTATAAATACTACAGTATACTTTACTAACCAATTCCAACTAGCAATACAATAGGAAACAGGGCACCATGAACAACATCAGTGAGAAGTAGTCTTTAATGCACAATCCTTCATGAACAGAACTCTCAGGGGCATATGCAAGGCTGGAGTGAGTGGGGAGACGGTGTGCTCGTGAGGCTTGAGTTTCGCGGGGCCTGGACGGCACACCTGGGCCTGACCTGCGCGCTCACCCGCAGAGAGAAGAGCATGGAACCTCGGCGGGCCTGGACGAAAACGATCCTGTCACACGGCCCGGGCCAGGCTCCCAACATGGGTCTAAAGCAAAAAAGTCAGATGAAAATGGAAGTTGACTATGTCAGATTTTTTCTAACTAACAATTTCTTTTCAAGGTAAGTAAGACACCACAGGTGACATTAGTAGACACGTGACTGAGGAAGAAAAGATATTTTTAGTATTTAAAACCAACCGATTGCTAATGTGAAAAGCAAAGCAAAGCAGTAGAAGCGAAGTGGGGTTCGTTGCGAGCGGAGAAGGGCGGCGTCGGGACAGCAGGCCAGTGCCTGCCGGGGACCCCGAGAGCCGTGGTTGCCGATAGACAGGGAAGGGCGCGGCCAGCGGGCCTGAGCCCAGCCAGCGCCTCCCGGGACCTGCCTGCCGCCCTCAGGGGAGCTTCCTTGGGTCTTCCAAGGCACTGGCGCAGTGGGGGCTGCGCTGGCAGCTGGGGAGGCCGGAGCAGCAGGGGTGGAGGAGCCACCGGCTAGGGGGCCAAACTCAGGATCCTGACTTTCAGGAGCAGGAGAGGCCCTGCCACAACGATGGCCTCTGGCGCCCGCGTCTTAGCCAGACACACACTCAGGTGAGGTCCGTCCTGTGGTGTCTTTCGTGCCAGGAGCTAAGAGGGCACAGGAGGGCACAGACGGCTCCCTGAACCCTGAAGTGGCCCCACCACTCTGCCCGTGGCGGCCCACTCAGATAAACGGGCACAGCCACAGACTCCTCTGTGGGGGCCAGATGCCCCCAGCCCCTGTGGGCTGTGCCGCCTGCAGGTCCTGGCCCCTCTCTCCAGGACGCCAGCTGCCCCACCCCTGCCTCCGGGAACTGACCACGTCTCCAACCAGCCACCCGGATTTGGGTTCACCGGGGTGACCTCCTCAGCCCTCATTACCTCTCTGAAGCCTCTGCTGAGGTTCATTTTGGGGCTGGGACGGTGACATGAATTTGGGGGGACACAATTCACTGCACAACAGACAGCTGCTGTGAGAAGCAGGCTCAGGCACAGCCCTAGCTCCTGTCTAGAAAGTCAGCTCCTCTCCCATGAAACTCAGA